GGCGATCTGCATATAGGACTATGATGTAATACTACCCTGTGGCTATCTGCATATAGGACTATGATGTAATACTACCCTGTGGCTATCTGCATATAGGACTATGATGTAATACTACCCTGTGGCTATCTGCATATAGGACTATGATGTAATACTACCCTGTGGCTATCTGCATATAGGACTATGATGTAATACTACCCTGTGGCTATCTGCATATAGGACTATGATGTAATACTACCTTGTGGCTATCTGCATATAGGACTATGATGTAATACTACCCTGTGGCTATCTGCATATAGGACTATGTAATACTACCCTGTGGCTATCTGCATATAGGACTATGATGTAATACTACCTTGTGGCTATCTGCATATAGGACTATGATGTAATACTACCTTGTGGCTATCTGCATATAGGACTATGATGTAATAATACCCCGTGGCTATCTGCATATAGGACTATGATGTAATAATACCCTGTGGCTATCTGCATATAGGACTATGATGTAATAATACCCTGTGGCTATCTGCATATAGGACTATGATGTAATACTACCCTATGGCTATCTGCATATAGGACTATGATGTAATAATACCCTGTGGCTATCTGCATATAGGACTATGATGTAATACTACCCTGTGGCTATCTGCATATAGGACTATGATGTAATACTACCCTGTGGCTATCTGCATATAGGACTATGATGTAATACTACCTGTGGCTATCTGCATATAGGACTATGATGTAATAATACCCTGTGGCTATCTGCATATAGGACTATGATGTAATACTACCCTGTGGCTATCTGCATATAGGACTATGATGTAATACTACCCTGTGGCTATCTGCATATAGGACTATGATGTAATACTACCCTGTGGCTATCTGCATATAGGACTATGTAATACTACCCTGTGGCTATCTGCATATAGGACTATGATGTAATACTACCTTGTGGCTATCTGCATATAGGACTATGATGTAATACTACCCTGTGGCTATCTGCATATAGGACTATGATGTAATACTACCCTGTGGCTATCTGCATATAGGACTATGATGTAATACTACCCTGTGGCTATCTGCATATAGGACTATGATGTAATACTACCTTGTGGCTATCTGCATATAGGACTATGATGTAATACTACCTTGTGGCTATCTGCATATAGGACTATGATGTAATACTACCCTGTGGCTATCTGCATATAGGACTATGATGTAATACTACCCTGTGGCTATCTGCATATAGGACTATGATGTAATAATACCCTGTGGCTATCTACATATAGGTAAATGGCCGAAACATATAATTTTATGTTTTTCAGAAAATGCTTAACTTGTTGCTAGTGCCGTAGAATTCCTTAAGGGGCCGTCCATAAATGACGTCACGCAATTTTGGACGATTTTTGACCCCCCCCCCCCCTCGTCACAAAAAGTCAGACCCCCCCTCAAATATGACGTCACAAAGCTCTGCCCCCCCCACCCAAAATAAAACATGCTTCAAATCGCTTTAAACTATTGTCATTGTAGTGCGTATTTAATGTGGCGCTGCACTCTGATGTAGGAGAGAAAAGAGAAAACATTTATTAAAAAGTATAATTAGGTAGAACGTGTTGTCTATATTTATTTAAAGTTGCGCATTTTGATGTGACGTCACATTTCTCAAACCCCCATCATTACACATCGTCACAAATGTCTGACCCCCCTAAGTGGCATTTCCCGTCAGCTCACACGGATTCACATTGCAAACCGAGGGGGAAATATCACTTAAGATAACAGCCCAGCGAAGTAAATAAAAACAGTTTAGTTTTCGTGTAACCAATTTATGCTGCTGCTGGGTGAAAATAGCGACAGTGGAGGGGGAATTAAAGAAACTTGCATCGTCGATTTCATCTGCCGCTCACCGTTACACCACCAGCGGGGCAGTGCCAATGTTCATCTTAACGCCTTTGCCAAACTATAATTAAAAATAACTTTTCGTCATATTGTTTAACTCGGTGTTACAACAAGAAAAAACGTGTGGAGGCAAAACTCGGTTGAAATAAATCGGTTTATTTTCCTTTATGATACGGAACGGGGCCAACAAACAAATTGTGAAAGATTGTACACGGCTCTCAATTGCTAAAAATACGAAACTTTAAACCGAACGCAGAAAAACAAGAACAAGCAACGGCATCGCTCGAGATTCGGACACAAGCCCCGTGACGAATCCCTTCCTTGCGTTAAGGGCCATCGCCCGAAACGTCGCCACTTCAAAAGTATATTTTAAATACCACGGTGTTGCTGACGATTGTGTGGAGTTTTTTAATATCCCATGCACGGATTTAAAATACAAATCGAGACAAACATTTCCCCTCGGATGTTTTGGTTTCACTGGGTGACCTAATATCCCTGCAGAGGCAAGTGTAACACTCACCAATCACTGACCGGCAGATGTTTACATTTCAGCGCGACAGACGTTGACAGACGTTGTCTCGACGTTCGAGCTCAGACAAGAGACAAACTGAAACCAAACACCCGGCACGCCACATCCAGTATACCCCCGGGATTCATTTCTCAATCGATATTTTCTGGTACGCTGCGAGGACTGACTTAGAGAATGGATAATCAGCTCACAGCACTATTATACCACTAGATTACAATGTACGCCTATCCGTAATAATCCTATATTATTGTATAGCCTACATTCCTAAACATTGTAAGTATGGTACTCCTAACACGAGACTACAATGTACGCCCATCAACAATAATCCCATATTATTGTCCCATGGCAGGGTCAAGCATGGTTGGTAAGGTACGCTGCGAAAGAAGTTCAACATTCTAAGTCTTTCAGTTGCACAACTTCCGTTGTGGTCGTGGGGCACCATGATGGCGTCATGTGAACTACCTCGTCTGGTGTGCAGGAGGTCGTGGGTTCGATCCCGACCCCGACGCCTGCTGCATATTTGGAGTCTGCGTGTCTCTCTCTCATCATCATCACGGTGGCTAGATGTTAACTACCTCGCCTGGTGTGCAGGAGGTCGTGGGTTCGACCCCGACGCCTGCTGCTGCTGCATATTTGGAGTCTGCGTGTCTCTCTCTCATCATCATCACGGTGGCTAGATGTTAACTACCTCGCCTGGTGTGCAGGAGGTCGTGGGTTCGACCCCGACCCCTCCCCTGCTGTATATTTATAGTTTGCGTGTCTCTCCTCGTGGTCACGTGGATTTTACTCCGGGTTCTCCGGTTTTTCCCTCCACATTTAGAAACACGCGTTCACGGTATCTGGCTGATATACATTTCGACATAAGCCACTTCGTTGAGCTATCATTTGTGGCCACGTCGCTGCTGACAAAGAGCTACATAGCTCAGTAGGGCCTTACTCCGTAAAATAAAAAAATATATTGCTGTGGTTTTCCCACCTGATGATTGCTTGTGTTGCAATTGAAACGTCGTGATATATTTTATACCTATGTGACTTTACCGAAAGAACCAAAGAGTATGGATTCCTGCAGTCACGAAAGCTTCAAATCTAGATTCGAATCTAGATAGTAAAACAAAATTAGACTTCCCCACAAGCCGTACTCATTCTTACGGACTCCGGAAGCAGGATGGGCTCCGAGTTAATCCCCATTGATAGCGAACCACGATTGGAGGCCACTCAATCTCCCGCCGTGCCACCTGGCAGGGTAGCCACAACAACTATGGGTCACGGGGGACGGGGGGAGGGTTACTTCACCATGCTGGTGAGTTAAATCAGAGAGCATCGGCGTGCCAGTCTAGTACAGAACAATGTTTTTTCCTTCTCCCCAGCAGTGCCCACCACGTGGTACCAACACCGCCGATAGCACCAAGCTCAGACGCATTTCTCGAGGAACCATTTCACTCTCTCGAGTGCCGTTCCTCCGGACGAAGCGTCTCGTTCAATTCAACGCAAGCGGCAGGGGAGCGGGCGGCTCGCCATCGGAGGTGGCGAGTTCAATTCCCGGTCGGCGGTTGACTCAACCCATCACAACTCTCTGCCGGGGGGGGGAACGTGGATTTATCACCACTGTGTCGGAGCACTGAATGTTGAGGCGGGAAATCGATTCTTGACTTTTGAGTCAAGCGCCCTCACGTCAGAGTGCTCCGCTCCCAGCTGGGGTCAACTCAGCTCACCATTACTACCATAATTATCCCTCGACAGATCATGGTAAGTCAAGTGATCCTCTAAACGGCAATACTGGCTCCAGACATGGGAATGGAGAATTTCCACCCCGCCCCTCCCACTCAGTGGCTGCAGGGCGGACACCGTAGATGAGTGCAGGCCGCACCACCGGCTGCGAGCACGGAGGACAACGTTTCATCTCTTTTCCCACTGCACAAGTCGAGCCGCGCTGGGGCCGTGCCGAGGCCAGCCTGGCCCAGCCCGGCCTAGCCCGGCCCAGCCCAGCCCGGCCCGGCCCAGCCCGGCCCAGCCCGGCAGGCAAGACGCGGCAACATTACTGCAAGAGCCGAGAGAGTCGTGCCGCTTAAAACATTCGCACACAATCAACGAGTCCTTGGCCCTGCCTGACTCCCCACCCCCCCGGCGAGCCAGACTGGGTTTGGTTCCGCCACGCCGAGGCAAAAGAAAAAGAGGCGGTGGGAAAAAAAATCAACGGCTCCTTGCGAGCCCCCGCAGCTGGGGCCGAGACGTAGGGGCGCAAAGGTGCGGCAATTAAAACAAGCGCGACGAAAAAAACTCGCAAAAAAACGCAAGAACGGCCGACATCCAACTGGGCGCTTTGACGCTTTAATCTCGGCGCGTCGACTCCCAGGAGTGGACGGCCACTCGGCAGCCAGCCAACGCTACGGCCACCAGTTCGGCAATCCATGCGCTGCGAGTCGCGAGTGTCACCGCAGCGACTCCGCCACGACCCTGCTGCCCAAACAGTATCGGCACGGCACGTTGTTGTTGTCGTCGTTGTTGTTGTTGTGGCAGGACTGCCCAGCAAACGTCACGGGCACACGAGTAGATTATCTGGTCAAGAGCATTCGAATCAGACCGGCGAAAGTCTCCCCGTGTCTTCCAAGCTCCTGCGCACATCACAAGACAGAGATCCTCCATATAGCGTCGACAGACTTTTTGGAGCAAGTGCTGTTAGCGAGTAGGCCGGCATGTCACGGCACACGAGGGGGTGGGTGGCCAGCACCCACACCCAGCTGCCTTTGGCTCCCCAGTGGCGATGTTTACACACCGCACCAGGTAATCATCTGAGACCGAGTTGACCTAAGGGAGGCCCAGGACCGGTTCAGATAATCCATCATTGGTGTTGGCCGTGAACGGGAATCGAACTCGGGTCGCCGGGTTCATAGTGCAGCGCGCTAACCGCTTCGCCAGCTCTGCCCACACAAAGAACAACACGGACACAGACACACAATCAGACACACAGCGTTACAGGTCTCAAACGTGCTTTATTGTTTGTTGCCGGGCACTGTTGAGCACGATGTCGGACGTTCCGCTCCACGTGCTGGGAGCTTCTTTCTTCTCCCTTCTTCCTGAAGCTCCCAACTACTGGGCTCAAGTAGACCCGTTAAGGTACAGAATTGAAAACAAAGAGCTCTTGCCAAGCAGACCGGCAAAAGCGAGGACATTCACTTAAACTAACGGTGATTTATATTTGTGCACCGTTTTCAACTTCTCTTCGTGCACTGCAGTTGCTTTTGCCCCGGTTGCCGTTCGCTTCACTGTCGTGCTCGTTGTTATCGCTCCTCCCTCTTGTTTGGCGACCCCCCCACCTCCCGCTCACCCTTTGCCAACGAGACTCGAACGGCCGTCCACTGGAGTTGTCATCCGAGTCAAACCAATTCAAGTTTCAAACCCCTCACCATTTCAGCTGCAGGTACTTGGTGTGCTGTTCCATCAACGCCATCTCCGCTTCAACATCCGAGTCGTTGGAATCGTCCGTGGAATCCAGATCCTGCGGACGGCGGACGCGAGATCACCACAATCAGGCCAACATCGCTCCAACATCGTGCCAACATTTCGTCAGCGTGACGTCACCATCGAAGTTTTTGATACGAGGGCTGGTCGGCTGTGCGCGAGTTCGTCTGCTCTTGGCAGGGTTCACGTTGCGAAAGAGTCCTCGGTTCACAAATACCGATCGGCGTCCCGAACCGCCAGCACACCTTGGACCACAGGGGCCTCGGAGAAACCGTTCGCCCGTTAAACCCAGCGACTCTTAACACCGCGACGCAGGGAAAACTTTTATCTGCTGTCCGTTACGTGGGCGACTTTTACAAAAAAATTCAACGCTGGCAAGGATCTTGGAAAATGTTGCATCGAAGAAGATAAATAACGAAGTGCAGGCACACAGCATAAAGCGCTCAGGGTGCATTCTGGGTAAACAGAGCGCTGTACCAAACAGCGCTCTAGGAGGTGACTACAACACGGTTTCAATGGAGATGCGTTACCAACAGCGCTATAGGAAACAGCGCTATAGGAGGTGACTACAACACGGTTTCAATGGAGATGCGTTACCAACAGCGCTATAGGAAACAGCGCTATAGGAGGTGACTACAACATGGTTTCAATGGAGATGCGTTACCAACAGCACTATAGGAAACAACGCTATAGGAGGTGACTACAACAAGGTTTCAATGGAGATGCGTTACCAACAGCGCTATAGGAAACAACGCTATAGGAGGTGACTACAACAAGGTTTCAATGGAGATGCGTTACCAACAGCGCTATAGGAAACAGCGCTATAGGAGGTCACTATAACATGGTTCCAGTGGAGATGCGTGACCTACAGCTCGAATTTTTTTTTACCGATGAGAAGACGTCTTCAGAAGACGGAAGCTTGTGTTGCCTCCAAAACACCGTGATTTAATTTATTTGTTTTCTTTTTTAACCTACGTGACTTTACCGAAAAAACCAAAGAATAGAATTCATTGTTTGTCGAGTTTCTGAGTGTGACTGCGCCAGGATTGGGCAAGGACACGGTAGCATCACTCTGTACTTCGACTCGTCACCCTTACAACAATTACAAATGCTTAAGAACGCACAATTTCAAAAAATAAAACATACAATTCAGAAGAATTAACAAAATCGGATCTTTTGGGGGGAAGTGCGGGGGGGGGGGGGGGTAGCGTAAAACGAAAGACGAGAAATCGCGCCTCTCAACGCTCATTTGGGAGACTCGCGTGCGTGTGTGTGCGTTGAACTTCTTTCGCACCGTACGTAGCCAGCCGTGCTAACGGGAGGTGCGGACTCCGGAGAGCGAGAAGAGGGGGGGGGGGGAGCGGCGATGTCTTTCGGTGACAACCTGGGGCGGCGTGGCGCCGCTCGCTTACCGCGGGGTGCGCCGCCTGCGCCGCCGCCGCCGCCTCCAGGTACAGCTCGGCGGTGACGGCCGCCTGCAACAGGTGGCAGTAGGACAGCCACTGGCGCGGTCCCAGCCGCCAGAGGAGCGAGCATACGCTGCACGCGCACACACAAAGACAAAGATCCCCCGTATAGCCTTAACAGACTGTTAGGCAAGTGCTATGAAGCACCTATGAAGGCCGGCACGGCAGACGAGGGGGTGGGTGGCCAGCACCACGCCCGACCGCCTTTGTCTCCCCAGTGGCGATGTTTACACACCGCACCAGGTACTCATTTGAGGCTGAGTAAACCTAGGGGAAGCCCAGGACGGGTTCAGATAATCGTCACCGGTGTTGGCCGTGACCAAGAATCGAACTCGGATCGCCGGGTTAGTAGCGCAGCGCGCTAACCGCTGCACTACCGCTCCACTATACACCGGCACACACGCACACAAACAGTGCAAGACCCCAGTCTAAATGTTCGTCTAAACGAACTACACGAAGCAGCGCAATGCAAGATCCGAGGTCTCCTCGAACCGACCCCCGCGGCCACCGCGCCTGGCACGCACGGGCACACACAAGGGCATGCACGGGCACACACAAGGGCACGCACGGGCACACACAAGGGCACGCACGGGCACACACAAGGGCACGCACGGGCACGCGCACTACTCACTCGACGACGGTGTAGAGCGCCACGGCGGACGTGTCGGGCGCCACCCCGGCCACGCCGCGCGACGCCATCTCCTCGAAGAGACCGGGGCACGAGCTCCGTGGCAGCGCCAGCACCGCCGTCTGTGGCTGCGGGCAAGCGGTGAACGACAACGGGACAACGTTGGCGCACGCAGACGCAGCGCGCCGTGGAGCAGACATTGCACGGGGACGGCGGTCACCGCATCTTCATCATCTTCATCGCCGCCGCCTGCCGCTTTCAAGATGCGCCGCCTCTGCGGCCGTCTGGAACGCCTCTGCCGCTTAAGCTATTAAAGAAGCCACTGTCGTTGTACTTTTATGTAATAATCTATATTGACTAGATTTTCTGTGGTTGGCTTGTTGTCCTTCCCCCCGCACCGCTCATCAGCATGGTTGTCTACGTACGGTGCCCGGAAGAAGTTCAGCAGACTTCACGTGACACTATACACTCCACTTTTATACACTACGCTATAACATACACTACACCACGATACTACATTGACAACTAATTTATTTAGAACTGCTTCTCTGTGTTTAGTTGGTTGTCTTTTCCCCCATACCTCCCCGATTAGCCACGGTTGGCTACGTACGGTGCGAAATAAGTTCAACGTGCACACACGTACGTACAAGGCGGGCGACGGGCGCGGCGGCATCGGCGTCGCCGGTGCCGTCAACTCAAGCGGCCGCCCTTTTTACCGATTTGCAGTCCCCGAGTTGCGCGATGGGGAACGTGCGCTCCGGGAAGAGCACGGAGGAGATTTCCGACTCCACGCAGAAGCTCTGAGACTTCCAGAAGACGACATGGACGTGGCACGAGCCTCCTAGCTCCACCCTAGCGCGCAGCAGACGCACGTGCGTACAGAATCAGAATATGTATTCACACTGGAGGAATCCGATGAGCTATGAAGCTCTTTTTCACGGTTTAACATGTAGGCCTTTCGCGACTAATAGTACCCACAGAGGTTTTAATTTGGGATCGCGTAAATATAAATGTGTCGTTAAACCCGCCACCAAAACGTGCCAATTAATGCCGAGTTCAGCACAACGGTGTGTTGGAGAGTAAACTCACGACAACATTTACCGTGGCGTTTCCCCGGTAATAACAACAACAAGCAGCATCATCAGGCGACGGCCAGATTTGCGGATAAATCCTTCTCCTGTTTCGGTCTTTTTCACAGATGTCCAGTGGGGGCGGGTCAGAACGTTAAAACAACAACACAAACACACCATAGGAGTGCACAGTAGAGGAAAGGTAAAGAAATCACTTTAAAAAAATAAACATAAAACTGAACTATGTTTTATTTTACCACGTAAGGCCCACTGAGCTATGCAGCTCTTTTTCAGAAGTGGCCACAAATGACAGTTCAACGAAGTGGCTGATCACGTGGTCATTTATAGCAATAGCCAAACACTCTGAACGCGTGTTGATGCCGATTCTAAATGAGGGACCCGGAGAAAAATCCACGCGACCAGAGGCAGAGAAAGAGTCGCAAACTCAAAATATACAACAGCAGCAGGCATCCGAGTTGGGATTGAACCCACGACCTCCTGTACACCAAGCGAGGTAGTCAACATCTCGGCACCATCGATGGCGTGGCGTGCCGACCGCTGCTCCACCGCCCTCTGCTGCTGGCAACGGAGCGCGATCCCGCGCGCTGCGCAGCACACGCGCGCGCGGAGGGACACTCACCTTTTGACCTTGAACGGCGCGCTGGGCGGTGCGTCCGCGTGGGTCGCGGGGCCACCGCCGCCGTCGGTCCTGGCTAGCGGCGAGCCGTCAAGCACGCAAGGCGGCGGTGGCGGCGGCGGTGCAGCAGCGGGTGGACCTGTGGACTCCTCAGCGACGGGGAGCCACGCGGCTTTGGACTCGTCAGACGAGCCTGGCGGCAGGGCTGTCGCCGCCGCCGTCGATGACGACGACACAGACGGCGCTGTTGGTGGTGGCACGCGGGCGCCATCGTATGAAGCAACCGCGAGCGAGCCGACAGGCTCCTCCGTGCAGGGCCGGAGCACGGCCTGGTCGTCGTCCCGGCCTGGCGGGCGAGCCACCGGCGGCGGGCCGGACGACCGCCTGCTGCACAGGCCGGGGCCCTTGCAGGCGATGAACGCTGCCAACCGGGCGCGCGTCTCTGTGAATCCTGGCGCTGCAGGCGCTCCCCGCCCACTCGGGCCGGAGCTCCCACCGCCATCACCGCCACCGCCTCCACCGCAGGGGGTGGACGCGGGCGCGCTTGCGTGGGGCGATGCGAAACGTAGCGCAGAGATGGAATTCTTGAAACCGGGAGCCGAGGCCGAGAGTCGGTAGTTTTGTTCCGAAGGGGAAACCGGAGACCGGGGGGGATTGGTGGCGGCGATGGCGGTGGTGGGCGGCGGCGGCGAAATCTCTGAGTGGCCGAACGGCGGCACGGCCACGGTGCCGTGCCCGCCAACGGGGGTCGGCACAGAGTCCACAAAGGTGGGTTCACCGTCGTGGGCGTGGGCAGCGGGGACCGCTGTGCCGGACGTACCGGCGCCAGGCGGCAGCGGGGCCGCCGGTCGGTCTAACGAGACTGGCTCGCAAATCAGGCTGTCGTACCAACGGTTCCAGAGAACCGGGTCCGATGCCGCACCCGCAATGGGAGCACGTGGTGTTGGCGTCGGAGGCGGCGGTGGCGGTGGCAATGGTGGTGATGTTGGTGGCGGCGGAAACAGTGGTCGTGAGCCCACCCAGTTGGGGACGGTTTCCTCTGGGCCCGCGTGATCGCTGGCCTCTTGCAAATATCTCCAGTGGGGGTGACCATCGCTCAGGCCCTGCGGGGAGAGAGACGAGAGAGAGAATCGGCGTTGAAATTCATTGTGTGCGGCCTACGCAGGCTGCTGGGAACAGCGGTTCCAGAACACCTATTGAGGCCCGAATGGTGCAGGATGGGATGATGGCCAGCACCACGAGATGTCCAGCAGGGTCACGGGGTCAGAACGTTACAACAGCAAACAGAACAACAACAACACGGCAGGCGAAACCACCCGGGACCGGTTCAGATGATCATCACCGGCGTTGCTTGCGAGCGCGGGAATCGAACTCGGGTCACCGAGCTCGTAGCGCAGCGTGCCGACCGCTGCACCACCGCTCCCCACAATCAAACACAAAGATTCCTCCCCCCCACCCTCTACGGCCTTGCATCACAGGAATATTCATTTATACCGCATGAGGAATCCAATGAGCCATGAAGCTCTTTTGCACCGATGCGCAGTGAACGACGGGCTTGTTGGGGCGAGAGCTGTCGGCGAGAACTTCCTCAGAAGAAGACCGGCACACGGCACGCGGCACACGGCACGCGGCACGCGGCACGCGGCACGCGGCACGCGGCACGCGGCACGCGGCACACGGCACACGGCACGCGGCACGCGGCCGAGGGTGGGGTGGGTTTGGAGGTGGTGGGGGTGGCGTGGTTCGGGCATCACCACCCCAGGTGGAGTTTCTCTCTGGTCACACCACGCACGTGAAGCCCGGCCCACGCGCCCGCTGCCCCCACCCCCCCCACCGCCCCCCTCACCTGGTAGCAGTCGTGGTCGGGGTGCACGGCGAGCGCCAGGCCCAGGCTCACGAAGAGGTCGTTGAAGTGGAGGTCCTCGCTCTGCGTCGTGTCGCAGAGGCAGAGCGAGAGCACGTCGTTCCGCGCGGAGCATACGATCGCCATGAGCACGCGGTCGCGGCACAGCTGCAGGAAGAGGCGCCGCGAGGTGGTGCACCAGGAGCCCTGTGGGGGGGGGGGGGTGGGGACACGAGGGGGAACGTGCGTATGTACGTACGTACGTGTGTACGTGTGTATGTACGTAGAACTTCTTTCGCTCCGTACGTGGGCGACCATGTTAATGGCAGGTACGAGGGGACGTGCAGCGGATGCAAGGTTGATGAGGGGACACGAGGGAACGTATGAATCCATTGTCCTCCTGCCAGCAGGGGAGCCTTCTACACGTGACGGCCGCAAGCTGCACCTAGCCCGGCGCAAGCTTTGGCCGCCCTAGCTGCCGTTGGAGCGTGCGTGCGAACCGAGGCGTGTGTGCGTGCGTGTGTATGGTCATGTGTGTGCGTGTGTGTGCGTGTATGCGTGTGGTCATGTGTGTGTGCGTGCGTGTGTGTGTGCGTGTGTGGACCCACGGCGCCCCGCGCGACGCCGCGGCCACACGCACCTCTGCTGGCGCGACGCAGGCGAGTCGAGCCGGCACCGCCTGCGCTGGCAGCGAGAAGAAGGCGCACCTACACACCGCACAACGACGACGACTCTACAACCACTCTACAACCACTCTACAACCACAATACAACCACAATACAACCACTCTACAACCACTCTACAACCACTCTACAACCACTCTACAACCACTCTACAACCACTCTACAACCACTCTACAACCACTCTACAACCACTCTACAACCACTCTACAACCACAATACAACCACAATACAACCACTCTACAACCACTCTACAACCACTCTACAACCACTCTACAACCACAATACAACCACAATACAACCACAATACAACCACTCTACAACCACTCTACAACCACTCTACAACCACTCTACAACCACTCTACAACCACTCTACAACCACTCTACAACCACTCTACAACCACTCTACAACCACTCTACAACCACTCTACAACCACTCTACAACCACAATACAACCACAATACAACCACAATACAACCACAATACAACCACAATACAACCACTCTACAACCACTCTACAACCACACTACAACCACTCTACAACCACTCTGCAACCACTCTACAACCACAATACAACCACACTACAACCACTCTACAACCACTCTGCAACCACTCTACAACCACTCTACAACCACTCTACAACCACAATACAACCACACTACAACCACTCTGCAACCACTCTACAACCACAATACAACCACACGACAGCCACTCTACAACCACACAGCCACAACCACCAAACTACAACAACCACTACAACCACACTACATGGAATTTGTGGGGGGGTGGCGTGAATTGGGGATGGCGTGGAGTGGGGGGGTGGAGTGGGGGGGGCGTGGAGTGGGGGGGTGGAGTGGGGGGGTGGAGTGGGGGGGTGGAGTGGGGGGGTGGAGTGGGGGTGGCGTGGAGTGAGGGGGGGGTGTAGAGTGGGGGGGTGGAGTGGGGGGGTGGAGTGGGGGGGTGGAGTGGGGGGGGCGTAGAGTGGGGCGGGGGCGTAGAATGGGGGGGGTGGAGTGGGGGGGTGGAGTGGGGGGGCGTGGAGTGGGGGGGGCGTGGTGGTGGGGGGGGGTGGCGTGGAGTGGGGGGGCGTGGAGTGGGGGGGGCGTGGTGGTGGGGGGGGGGGCGTGGTGGTGGTGGGGGGAGGGTCGTGGTGGGAGGGGGGGTGGCGTGGAGTGGGGGGCGTGGTGGTAGGGGGGGGCGTGGTGGTGGGGGGGGGGTGGCGTGGAGTGGGGGGGCGTGGAGTGGGGGGGGCGTGGTGGTGGGGGGGGGGGCGTGGTGGTGGTGGGGGGAGGGTCGTGGTGGGGGGGGGGGTGGCGTGGAGTGGGGGGGCGTAAAGTGGGGGGCGTGGCGGTGGTGGGGGGGGGGGGTCGTGCTGGGCGCTCTGCGTGAGTCTCCCACGGCAGCAGGCGGAGGTGGTGGAGCTGCACGGTGCCCGTCTGGCCGTAGTCCACGTAGTAAACGGGCACCGCGCCGTTGGGGCCCGGCGGGCCCAGCAGCACGGCGCGGTCCCACTCGTCGTCGTTGAGGGCGGCGCACGCCTGCCCCTCCAGCGCCATGGCGGCCGGCAGCGCGTACAGAGCGCCGGCGTCGGGGCTCGCGTACAGATGCCTGCGCGGGGGCGGGAGGGTGACGGGCGAGCAGGAGAGCGGGGAGAGTGAGTGGTGAGCGTGAGTGGTAGGAGTGGTGAGCGTGAGTGGTAGGAGTGGTGAGCGTGAGTGGTAGGAGTGGTGAGCGTGAGTGGTAGGAGTGGTGAGCGTGAGTGGTAGGAGTGGTGAGCGTGAGTGGTAGGAGTGGTGAGCGTGAGTGGTAGGAGTGGTGAGCGTGAGTGGTAGGAGTGGTGAGCGTGAGTGGTAGGAGTGGTGAGCGTGAGTGGTAGGAGTGGTGAGCGTGAGTGGTAGGAGTGGTGAGCGTGAGTGGTAGGAGTGGTGAGCGTGAGTGGTAGGAGTGGTGAGCGTGAGTGGTAGGAGTGGTGAGCGTGAGTGGTAGGAGTGGTGAGCGTGAGTGGTAGGAGTGGTGAGCGTGAGTGGTAGGAGTGGTGAGCGTGAGTGGTAGGAGTGGTGAGCGTGAGTGGTAGGAGTGGTGAGCGTGAGTGGTAGGAGTGGTGAGCGTGAGTGGTAGGAGTGGTGAGCGTGAGTGGTAGGAGTGGTGAGCGTGAGTGGTAGGAGTGGTGAGCGTGAGTGGTAGGAGTGGTGAGCGTGAGTGGTAGGAGTGGTGAGCGTGAGTGGTAGGAGTGGTGAGCGTGAGTGGTAGGAGTGGTGAGCGTGAGTGGTAGGAGTGGTGAGCGTGAGTGGTAGGAGTGGTGAGCGTGAGTGGTAGGAGTGGTGAGCGTGAGTGGTAGGAGTGGTGAGCGTGAGTGGTAGGAGTGGTGAGCGTGAGTGGTAGGAGTGGTGAGCGTGAGTGGTAGGAGTGGTGAGCGTGAGTGGTAGGAGTGGTGAGCGTGAGTGGTAGGAGTGGTGAGCGTGAGTGGTAGGAGTGGTGAGCGTGAGTGGTAGGAGTGGTGAGCGTGAGTGGTAGGAGTGGTGAGCGTGAGTGGTAGGAGTGAGAATTGGCGGTGAACGGGAACCCACAATCTGCACTACTGGCATTCTTCACAGGGCGCTGACGAAGGCTTGGCTTAACCCCATGGTTAATAAAGCACGGAGAAGCTGTGCTTCATGGTCACAGGCTCACCCCTCGTTTTTGGGCGCATTGTAGTACCCACTACAACCGCTACAACTCCTGTGCCCCTCGCCCTCCCACCTACCCCTCCAGCCCCCCACCTACCCCCCCACCCCGCCCCCGACCTATCCCCCCCCCCCCCCGACTCACTTCATGTCCAACACCAGGTCCTCCAGGGCCTCGCTCGTGTCCAGGCCGTAAATCTGCACGAAGAACTGCCCTGGCGAGTCCATGTAGGAGACGTAGAGTGGACGCATCGAGTACTCGCGCGCCAGCACCGCGTGCCGACGGAACCGCAGGCCCGGCCCCACCCAGGCCCCCGGCCACGCGGGACACGGTGCAGCCGGAGACCGTGGAGCAGAAGAAAGTGCAGCAGTAGATAGTGGAGCAGTAGATAGTGGAGCGGACAACCGGGCAGCAGAAGAAAGTGCAGCAGTAAATAGTGGAGCAGAATACTGTGCAGCAGTCGACAGTGCAGCGGGAGACTTTGCAGCAGTAGACGGTGCAACAGTAGACGGTGCAGCGTGCGTGGCGACACAGCCATTGCTCGCTCGCAAGGGTTGAGCACAAGGGGCTCGTCCATCGGCGGTGTCGGCGCGCTCCTGTAAGGGAGGAGGAGGGGGGGGGGGTGCTGCTCGTGTACCAGGCCTCACCCACAAGCCATCGTCGCCGTCGCAACGACGGTCGGTTGCGAGAGCCTCCGTGCCGAGCCGGGCGACGCGCGATCCGAAGCCGCGACAAATCACTCGACCGCAGCGGGAGGGGGGCCGCTGGCACGACTTTCATCGCGATTATCGATGATCATGATCTACGCTTTCTAACCAGCAAAGCCTCACGGAGTCTCAAGACCCTTTTTCAGGTAGGCCCTGCGCACAGTTCTCCCAGTGGGTTTGGACGACGATCGCCGCCGAGTGTGAGATTCCCAACGAGCCATCTTTTGGGGGACAATTTTTAAACTCGAAGTGACTTGGAGCGCCACTCGATGGCGCCGACTCTTGCGAGTGACGTCACGGGACCTTGAACGCGTCCCACTGCGCCACGGTGGCTAGGAGATGTTAACTACATCGCCTGGTATACAGGAGGTCGTCGTGGGGGTTCAATCCTGACCCTGACAGGTGCTGTACATTTGGAGTTTGTGTTTCTCTCTCTCTCTCTCCCCATGATCGCGTAGATTTTTGCCTCCGGGTCCTCCGGTTTTCCCCTCCAAATTTACAATCAACATCACCACGCGGTTAGAATCAACATCACCACGTGGTTAGAATCAACATCACCACGCGTTCAGAGTGTTTGGCTGCTACTATGAATCTCCACGTGATGAGCCGCCACTTTGTTGAGATATGATTTGTAATAGTCAGGTCGCTTCTGAGAAAGAGCTACATAGCTCAGTGGGGCCGTATGTCATGATGATGACGTATGGGCCTGTACGTACGTAAGTCATCAAAAACATCAAAGCTTTTTAAACAGGTCCTTACATTTATATATATGACTAAAAACACATTTTGTGCGTGCGATTGTGAACAGTTTTGTTTCCCAACCTCTTTGCAGGCGGGCAGCTGGGATGGATTTTGAAAACAGCTCGACGACCTGTGGATGTCCTTGGTGACGTGGGGCACCTGTCGACTTGCCTCAATGGCAGCAGAGTCCTCTAATCGCACGCACGCACGCACACACACACACACGCACGCACGCACACGGAGGAACAGCGCCATGCATAGCGAGCGTGGGTCTCGTGAGCACGCGCCGTGTGCCAGGCGCCGACGCACCGCACCGGGCCTGTCGTCCAAACCCGCTGCTACATTTGAGGCCCTCGACCAGATTCGGTAGATCAAAGGGCAACTGGCCGAAGATGGGGCCGGAGGCAGCATCATGCTTCCCCCACGCTGCGGCGGCAATGGGGGTCGAATGACTATACTTGACCTTCAGCTTGGCGTGCGCTCACGAACACCCTTGCAAAAGAACGAGACGTTCCATCTCGACGGACCGTCCGGGGCCAAAATAGTTTAGAAGTGAAGCTCCGGCACGATTGGCCACCGCGGGCGTTGGTGCTCACCCCTCTTCCGTTTACAGCCCCGAGCCGGCGATGGAAATTCCACATTCCTACGGCGGGAGCGAGTTTCACTCTCCCCGCAAGGTGGCGCTCGTTCTGCGGCCCGTGGACGGTGAAGCGCCGTTAACTCAAATGGTAAACGTTGGGGGTTTGCTCTCCAACACACCAGATGTGCCGAGTAGCCACCAATCGGCACGTTTTCTTCACGAGACAAACCTTAACAATTGTGTACGTTGAGATTATTTCGCACCGTTCGTAGCCAACCGTGCTAAATCAGAGGTGCGGGGCTAATCTGAGGTGCGGGTGGAGGTAGGTTCACAAATGACGCGATCGGACCCCAAAAAAAAACGTTGTTACGAATAATATTGGCAGGCGAAAGCCTACGAGTTAAATAAATGTGTGTGTGTGTGTTCATCTCATCGGAGTGGGCGGCGTTGGGCCCAAGAGGTGCCGCGCAGGCTGCGGCGTGGACACCGTGCAGGAGGAAGTTTACCAGCGGAGCCACCCCGCGAGAAGGGGAGGGGGGGGTGCGTGGAACGGGGGACTCACTCTTGGGGTGGCGGGGATCTTGCGCGATCCTGACGACGAAGTCCCCGTTGGGGGCGGGCGCGAGGTCGAACGCCGCTCCCAGCGTGGACACGAGCGCGCAGACGCTCGTGAACCCCAGGCGAACCATGGGCAGCTCGGAGCCATAGGCAGCCTGCACGCGCGCACATGATATCGGAAGCGTGTACGCATTGAAATTCTTTCGCACGGTACGTAGCCAACCGTGCTAAATCGGACGGTGCGTACAGGTACCTGTGCCGACAGACAGGATCGGCTATGGAGATTTTTTTCTCACAGATGTCCAATGCACATATAAAGGACAGAGACAAAGATCCACCGTATAGCCTTAACATACTTTTGGGGCAAGTGTTGCTCGTGAAAACCTATTAAGGTCGGCAAGGCACACGATGTGCGTGGGTGGCCAGCAACACGCCCGGCCGCCTTTGTCTCCCCAGTGACGAATGTTTACACACCGCACCAGGTACTCGTTTGAGGCTGAGCCGACCTAGGGGGAGGCCCAGGACCGGTTCAGATAATCGCCACTAATATTGCCCATGAGCGGGAATCCAACTTGGGTGGCCGGGTTCGTAGCACAGCATGCTAACCGCTACACTACCGCTCCCCACACGCACACACACACGCACAACTACGCACGCTCGCACAACACAATTACCTTGAACTTGGAAGGCAGCTGAGAGGCAAGGATTCCGTCCCGACTCTCGGACACGACCTGTCAACGCGGGCACAGCGTCACCAAGGGTGGGGGGGGGGGGTCGCGCGTCTCACCTGGCCGGAGGAACACCTCCCCGCGCCGTGTCACGTCACCGGGGGTTGTTGTTTGATCATACTTCACCGCGCGGGTACGTGCCGCGGGTTCGACGCGATTGTCGTCCATGTGCCGCTCCGCAGCCCAACCGGGCTACGCTGGCCTCGCAGGCAAGGGCGGTGTTGTTACTTACAATTATTGACAACTTTGTACTCGACCCGTAAGTGTGCACTATGTTGAAATGTTTTCACACCGTACCGTGCGATTTGTTCCTAGCTTTAGCTGGCTGCGGCAAAATCATGAACCCTGTCATCGTAATTGAAACCCAAAGATGTTCCATTTAACACGTCGGCTTTCGCGACCAATATCATCCATAATGCAGGTGTTTTTGGGTTAGATCGCGGAAATTTAAAAAATGTTCCGCTGGCCGCACATTGTGGGGGGGAGTGGCGGGCGGTGGTGGTGGTGTGGTGGTGGGGGGGGTGGTGGCGGGGGGTGGCAGAGAGGGTGGTGGTGGTGGTGGGGGGGTGGTGACGGGGGGTGGTGGCGGTGGGTGGGTGGTGGTGGGGGGTGATGGCGGCAGGGGGGGGGGGGGGGGGGGTCGCATATTGCTGAGGGGCACTCACTTTGTAAATCCGCGCCCTCAACCTCGGCTCCACGGCGCCCAGCGACGATCTGCTCTCCGGAGTCGCTCTCACCTGGGCGATCGAGCGGGCACACACACGCAGCAGCAAGTACGCTCGTGCGCACGTTGGAAGACAAAGGCGGCCGTGCGTGGTGCTTACCGCACCGGCCCCTTGTGCGCCGGCCATCGCAGGTGCTGCTCGTTAACTCTCTGAGCAGCAGCCTGTGTGGGCTACACACACACACGTGCAGCGCACACGCAGCGCACACACAGCGCACACGCAGCGCACACAGCGCACACACCTGCCCGGAATCTTCTTGTTGATGTGGCGACGGCGTGGGCTGGGTGGGCCGCGTGGGCTGGGTGGGCTGGGTGGGCTGCCCTCTCCGCTTGGGAGCGCCCCGGCTCTGCGATGGGCACACGTCGAGCGTCAAGAGCGTCGCCGACGACGCCGCGCGCCCGACTCGCGTGCGCAGCGGCGGCGGCTTCGCCAGCGGCCGAGGAAGGGCAACGCGCCGACGACGACGCGAGCGGTCGTCGGCTGCACCGCGGGAGCGAGAGGTGCCCTGACACTTGGCATTGCCCTGGTACTGTTCCCGTTTGTCGTTGTTCTCTGGTCTAACATTGGTGCAGAGACAAGGCCATAATGAAGGCGGTGTGTCTGGTGTAGGCCAATCAATTTCAAAGACAATACGTACATTATTGTCAGAGCATGTTAGTTTTGCCACAAGTACGTGTGGTTGATGCAGACTTGGTGTTTGAACATCTTAAAACAACTCCTATTTTATTTCCAGAAAGAGTAAACACCTATTCTTATACCGGAGGAACCCGGAGGAAAATCCACGCTGCGACCACCACGGGGAGAGAGAGAACACGCGGACTCCAGATATACAACGGCAGGCGTCGCCAGGGTCCGGAGATCGAACCCATGGAGACTCTTGCGCTCCAGGCGAGGGAGGCCACATCTCCAGTACATTCCGTGCGCCGCAGTCCAACTGGACATGCTGATCACGGCCACCCATGTCGGGGTGGGGGGGAGGAGGGGGGGGGAGGAGGAGTTGGGGTGAAGGGGGGGGGCACCGACCACCTTACATGGGTGGAGGAACGAATGAGCCAAGCTCACGGCAACGGCGGAACTACCAGTGGTAGTTCCTAGTAGCCACAGAAGAGTGACGAGGAGGCGGCTGACCGCCGGTGAGTGACCGGAGCGAACCGATGAGGCGCTGCACGTGGGAACCCCACGGCGTTGGCTGCGGTTTTTGTTTTCGGTGGCCTGGGCTCTGTCTGCTGCGAGGCGGTGACGGTCACGAGGCCCCCGCCCGCCACACGTCTTACCGTGACGTTCGACACAACCGATGCTCCTTTAGATGCAACTAATGACCGTCACCTGGGGGCGAAACGCTCAGCGCTCATTCAGACCCAGATACGATGAGTAGCAGAGCAGGGCCGGAAACCGATTGGACGAGGCTCCCGAGCGGACCAACTAACCGCCGAGGGACTCTCCACACCTCGCACGTGGACTTGCTGGCCACGCACCCCAGGGAATGCAACGGTGACGTCTCGTCGCCACCTCACGGCGGGCGCACGATGACGACAGCACGCGGACGGCCGCTTTACTCCCAAATCTACCCAACGCGGCGACGAGATGGGAGCCGGGTGGCGGGGCACCACGGACGGCGAGGCAGGATTCCACCTTTGGCCGAGCGAGTGCACCCGTACGGAGGTCGTGACCCCGGCCATCGAGACGCACCGCGTCGACCGCGCTGCGCAGCACGACCCGCCCCGTGGGCAGGGTCTCCATGGCGACGATGTCCGCGGTGTAGGCCAGCATGGCCTCCAGGGAGTCGTAGCCGAGGCTGCGCCAGTTGAGGAAGATTCCCGTGCGGCGCATGAACGCGTCGGGCAGATCGGCAACGGCGAGGCCGGACGGGTGGGCGTGGAGCACGGAGCCCAGCATCACGCGCAGCCACGACGGCAGAGGCTTCGCGCGGGCACACACGCACAATGACAAAGATCCCCCGTATAGTCTTAAAGACTGTTGGGCCAAGTGCTGTTAGCGAGCGAATATGAAGCCTGCCACGGCACACAAGGGGGTGGGGTGGCCAGCACCACGCCCGGCCACCTTCGTCTCCACAGTGGTGTTTACACATCGCACACTGGGTACTCATTTGAGGCCGAGTCGACATAGGGGAGGCCCAGGACCGGTTCAGATAATCGTAACTGGTGTTGGCCGTGAACATGAATCGAACTCGGGTCGCCGGGTTCATAGCACGTCGCGCTAACCGCACGCGCACATGCATGTACAAACACGTGTAAACACAAGCTGGGTTCAATGACGAGATCGCCCAACGCCAGTGTCTACGAGAGAAGAGCCGTTCATTGTTTGCTGCCTCTTTCACCCTTTCGCAGCCAGGCGTGCATTGCAGGAGCTGGTAGTAAAGTGACATGACACGCAGTGCATTGTGCATTGTGGGAGCCGGTACTAAAGGGACATCAAGAGACGCAGTGCATTTTGGGAGCTGGTACTAAATTTACATTATGAAACGCAGTGCATTGTGGGAGCTGGATCTAAAGCGACATCATGACACGCACTGCATTGTGGGAGCCAGTACTGCAGAGATATCAAGACGCGCAGTGCATTGTGGGAGCTGGTATTAAAGTGACATTATGAAACGCAGTACATTGTGGGAGCTGGTGCTGCCGCAACTTCAAGACATGAAGTGCACTGTGGGAGCCGGGAATAAAGTGACATAAATACATGCAGTGTATTGTGGGGGCCGGTACCACAGCAAAATCGTTATAAGCAATGCATTGTGGGAGATGGCACTAAAGCGATATCAAGACACGCCTTGCATTGTGGGGTGCCAATGGCAAGCGCACGCGACGAGCTCACCGCAGGGACGCAGCGCACACGTTCGGCTGGCCGCGACCTCCCCCTCTTCCTCCTTTTGTGGCTGGAAATCAATCGTGACATCCCATTGGTGACATCAACAGAGATGGCTGCAAAAGAGAACGCAAAGTCAACCCGCGAGCATCGTCACCGCAGGGAGCTTATCCACAAGCGCTGACAGAGACGAGCAGCGCTGGGAACATTCTCCGAGAGACACACGGACAGGGAGACAAAGAGATGGGAGAGACGGTAGAGACAGGGATATGGAGAGACAGGGAGAGACACGGAGAGACAAGGAGACGAAGAGATGGGAGAGACGGTAGAGACAGGGATATGGAGAGACGGGGAGAGACAGGGAGAGACAAGGAGACGAAGAGATGGGAGAGACGGTAGAGACAGGGATATGGAGAGACAGGGAGAGACACGGAGAGACAAGGAGACGAAGAGATGGGAGAGACGGTAGAGACAGGGATATGGAGAGACGGGGAGAGACAGGGAGAGACGTAGTACCGCATCTGTTGGACCAAAAAGTAAACCACTACAGTCTGCACTCCTTCAACAAAGCAGCATTCAGGAGAAGCAGATCGAGAGGAGGCCACGTGGCTCAAAGGTCAGAGCACTCGGCTGGCACGGACGTACCGTGCAGCACCAGCCCCCGCGTGGGGTGTATCTCCACGCGCGCCACGTCGGGCATCGACTGCAGGAGGCCCAGCGTGGAGGACTGTCCCAGCTTGGCGTAGGGCAGCGCGGAGCCGGTGAACGTGCGGTAGTCAAGCTGCAGCCTCTCCGGGGTGAGGCCGTCCTTCTCCGAGAGCAGCAGCGAGCGCAGCAGGCGCTTCACACTCACCAGCAGCTCCTCGCGCTTCTCCGCCATCGTGCCGGGCCTGACCAGGAGGGGCAGGAAGAGACTGAGGGGAGATAAAGAGAGTGGGGGGTGGGGGGCAGACAGATGAAGAGGGGGGGGCAGGGAGAGATAGGGAAAGAAGAGACGGGGAGAGATGCAGAGATAGGGAGAGATAGGCAAAGTTGGAAAGACAGGGCAATGAAGAGAGGAAATAGGGAGCTGAATAGAGGGGGTCACAGGGATAGACGATGAGATGGGCAGGAAGAGACGGGGACAAAAGGAGATACAGGAAAAAATGGTGAAATAAGGAGAGATAGGGTGAAGAAAAGAGGAAACAGGGAGACAAAGACGGGGAGAGATAGAGGAGATAGCAATAGGGAGAGATGGAGAGACAGGGAGACGGAGAAAAATACAGGTAGATGGAGAGGAAGACACGGAGAGATGGAGCTATAGAGTGTTGAACAGACAGACAGCGAGGTAGATGAAGAGGCAGGGAAATAAAGAGTTGGAGCATGTAGATGGAGAGAGACAGATGGATCGGGAGAGTTGAGAGACAGGGAGATGTAACCAGGTGGATGGAGAGAGAGAGAGACAGGGAGAGACAGAGACACAGAGCGATGGCGAGACTAAGAGACCAGGAAAAGTGAGGAGAACAGAGCTTGAAAGAGGAGACAGGCAGGCGGCGGAGGGGACCAGGGAGAGATAGCGATCCAGGGAGAGGGAGAAGACAGACGGTAGAAATGGACAGATGAACCTTATGGCGGGACCCCGGGGTCCCGAATAAACGAAAGTCAAAATCGTAATTAATTTATTTATGGCGACTCCATCCCACACCGCGCACATCAACGCCGCGACCCACCAGAAATCAATCCTCTCGTTCTTCACCAAGCACCGTCGTTGCCAAAATTGCCGTAGCCGTAAACAAAACTTTTAAATTTCGATTTAAAGCTTTCGTGACTGCAGGGATTCATCTTCTTGGTTCTTTCGGTAAAGTCACGTAGAAGGGAAATAATAAAAATAAAACATCATAAAATACAATTCTCACGACGTTTCGGCCACAACGCAAGCAGCCGTCCTCAGGTGAAGAAAAGGTCTGTCGGAAAGACAGCGTCCCTTTCAGACGCTGTCTTTCCGACAAAACTTTTAAACTTTGATGAGCGCATCGTGTAGAGCTCGTCGAGAGGAATAGATTGCCGTATCGTTCGCCTCCAACAGACGTTAAAAGACGTCGCAACGCAGTTTATGCGAGAGCCGGGGGCTTATGGGACCCCGGGGTCCCACCATGAGGTTCAGATGTAGGTAGACGCAGAAAAAGGGTCTGGTGTGCGGCTGTTGTGTTGATGTTTCTGCTGCCTTGCCCAAGCTTGGTGAATCTGACCTCTATGAATACATGTATTTATATTGAGTCACTTTGCTTACCATTTTTTCTAATTTCCACTGCTATCGTGTTGCTGTTGTATAGTTTGGTTGTTGTAACTCGCTGACGCCCATGCCCACACTGGACGTCTGTGATAAAGAGCTTTATAGCTCATCGGATTCCTCCCGGTCTAAATATTCAGATTTTGTTAGAGAATGTGGTGGGTGGCATGTCTCACTCAACGCGTGGCAGGCTTAGTCGTCACTGGCATGCCTCGATTGTGGTGCATTCGATTGTTTTTCTGGTACATACTTCCACATGATAAGCCACTTTGTCGAGCTATCATTTGTGGCCAGGTCACCTCTGAAAAATAAGTTTAGTACATCGGTGGCCTTGAACTGGTAAGATACAACTAGTTTATTAGTACATTTTTAAAAAGTGAGTTGTTAACCTTTCCTATACTTTGCACTGCAGTCGTGTATTGTGTTTGCTATTGTAACAGAAGGGGCACAGGAGTGACGCTCACAACAACGAGCGGTGCGCCGGGTGGCTAAAGCAGAGCAAGTTGGTACAGTAGGGGGCACAGGTGGTGCATCAGCCAGTCATCTCGGTCATCTCAGTCAGTCGACCCGTGGCACCTGCTGGGTTTGCCCCGTGACCTCCTACCAGCGGGCGTTCGACACTTCACGTGGCCTCAACGTGCACCTAGCCTGGCACAATCATTGTGGTGACGTTGCCGCCACTTAGTGGCGAATGGCGGTTGTTGTAGTTGTAACGTTACGACCCCCGCCGTGACCCTTACTGGCTTTCTATGGGGGGGGGGGGGGAAGAGCTTCACAGTTCATCGGATTCCTCGTCAAATATAAATATTCTAAACTCTGAATTAACACAAACTCGCCCAAGAGCAGCTTGCCGCCATCATCAACAAACTCGATCACGGAAAGGCATCAAGACGCACGTGGGTGGGGGGCACGTGGGGGGGGCACGTGGGTGGGGGGGGGCACACGTGGGGGGGGGGACGTGGGGGGGGTGGGCACGTTGGGGGGGGGACACGTTGGGGGGGGGGGGACACGTGGGGGGGGGGGGGGGGCAGCACGTGGGGGGGGGGGGGGCACGTTGGGGGGGGGGGGGACACGTGGGGGCCGATCCCAAGCGTCGCCACGTGGCTCGGCTCTCCAGGCCAGCGGCAGGCCTCGCTGGCGGCCTGGCCGGGCCTGGCGGCAACGAGGCGCACGTGGCATGGCGAGTGACACGTGGCACGTCCTGCCAACGCTGCCGCCACTGGAGATCGTCAACGTGCCCTCTCGCAAAGCCCCAAACCTCTTTCCCTTTCGCCTCTTAAGTCTACAACAGGGTGGGGTGGTCTAGATGTATTTTGACCCCCAATTAATTTACCCCCTAAAATGTTTCCTTTGCATTTTCATTTGTTTGAAAGAAACATTCTTTTAATGTGCCTTAGATAAGTAAATGGGGGTCACAAGACATCTAGACCAACCTGTACACACTATATCGCTGTCAATTGTTTTTCATTCGAAACTAAACTTTATATCAGAGCTATGAAGCTGTTTCTCAGCAACGGCCTGGCCACCAACACGTGGACGTGTACAGCAGCGTACGTAACAAACCGTACTTGGCCCTGCCATGGGAACGTAGAATTTCCACCACTGGCTCTGCACGGCTGCGTGTAAACGGGAGTGAAAGTCACTCCCGAGTGTGGGGATCGATTAGTCGTTAACAATTGAGGCTTTTCGTGGTGTCCTCACGCTCTATTAAGGCATTAAGGGTTATTTAACTTACTTTAATACCGGCATTAAAGCATTTCAATAAGTTTTTTAGGTTATTATTTGATGTTATTTTTTTTTACTTACGTGACTTTACCGAAAGAACTAAAGAGGATGAATCCCTGCAGTCACGAAAACTTCAAATCTAGAATTGATCTGTTATTATTAATAATAATAATGCTAAACTCCACCGAAATTAATTAACAAAACAACCTCGTGTAGACCAGGCGAGCTAGTAAACATCGCCCCATCTTGCAGCACGCCCCTGCCATCGAAATCAAATATCGTCGCCGTTCTGTAAGCTGCAGCAAACATTAAATGTAGCTTCAGATTAACGTATAAATACGACATTTAGATTCGATTAATGTCAATTTAAACAGAGCCCTCTCACCTCAGGATGCGATTCAAATGGGCGCCGGCCCGTCACGTGACGACACAATTTCCCCCACCCCCACCTCTTATCGATTCGATTAAATCGTTTTGATTCGATGACGTTATCGATTATTTATTGACGTCAATCTGCCGGTCATCTCGGGGACCCCCCCCCCCCCACGTTCGCCTGCTGCTGCGTTCTGTCTCGCGAGACTTCGACACTTCGCGTGGCATCAAGGCGCACCTAGCCTGGCACCGGCGCGCCGTGGTGACGTCATCGCCACTTGGTGGCGGGTGTTGTGATGCAGTGTCACGTCAATCTGACGTCGGCATATAGCATCTATTGTGGTGGAAAATACTGCAAACCTATCGATTTTCGATGGTAATCGAATGTAATATGATTCGGTTTTACTAATCGATAAATGTGTGGGTCTGGAGTGTTTATGGCTCACGAGACAGGAGCGTGGCTGTCGACGTCACTTTGTTGGGGAATGACGTCATGTATTTTCTATTTTAAATTGCATCACGTGAGCGGGCTGGTTATTCAAATAGTCCCCGGGTTACGGAAGGGTTAGGTTCCCGAGAACGATCCGTAACCCGAATTTTCCGTATGTCGGAAACTGAACAAATTTCGCCCCCAAATCAACGATAAAATCCCTTTACCTGAATCCTAGTCAAGCTCGATTGAGGCGTAAGGCGGCCCGCCTTAAATTTATATTCGATCACGCCTCGTTCCGTGGCATTCATCCGCAACCTCACCGCGCTACACTACTTGCGCTTACGTAACTAACGCAAATATTTCCGCGTGTTTAATTTTTTAAACATGGTTTATGGGAGCATTTACGCAAAGTCGGATTTACGTAAGTCGGGTATTCCGCAACCCGGGGACAGTGGTAACATTTGTATTAATGATCGATAACCTCGGGGCCGTCCATAAATGACGTCACGCGATTTTGGACGATTTTTGACCCCCCCCTCGTCACACGACGTCACAAAAAGTCAGACCCCCCCCCTCAAATATGACGTCACAAAAAAACATGCTTTAAACTATTGTCATTGTAGTGCGTATTTAATGTGGCGCTGCACTCTGATGTTGTAGGAGAAAACATTTATAAAAAAGTCTATTTATTAAGTAGAACGTTGCGCATTTTGCTGTGACGTCACATTTCGGAACCCCCCCCCTCCCTCGTCACACATCGTCACAAATTTCTGACCCCCCCCCCCCCCCTAGGTGCGTGACGCCATTTATGGACGGCCCCTAACCCAATCGATGAATTTGCACGCAATGGCCTACTCTAGCGAATGGCGTCAGGGGATCTTTAAAGGCGGGGCAGCCGCTGGATTCGAATTGTGAACCTGTGCGTGCCGCTGGACGGGTGGTGACGGGCGGGACTTGAGTGACAGCATGGACATCATGGGCCACGGTCACGCTGGGCGTGGCTTGTAGGGGGTTTCCAACGTTCGGGAGGCAGAGAATCTGTGCAGCGATAATTTTACTGGCAGGAACCTCCTGGTTACACCAGCCCACAGAGGATTATTATGTCCGTCCGTACGTCGTGCATCCAAAAATGGGAGGGGTGGGGCTGGGTGGAGAGGGGAGGGGCTGGGTGGGGCTGGGTGGGGAGGGGAGGGTGGGGAGGGGCTGGGTGGGGCTGGGTGGGGAGGGGCTGGTCACCCCGTGGTGCCCTTAAACGTTTAACCTACTCACGCCGGCTTGTGCCCGCCCTCACAGTCGGGCATATTTGCGGAATACACCACGCCGCCGTTGACCCTGGCCATTGACCGAGCAACCCAACGTTCCTACCAGCTCCCTCCGCAGGGATGTGTTTTATAGCCCCCCCCCCCTCCCCGAGTAATTGGCAAAAAAAAGCAATTGCAACTTTCATTCGATTGCTCGACTTGACTGATCATCCCCTCGACTCGTTTCCCCCACAGTAATGTCTACAACGCCGAGAGGAAAGGAAATCACCCTTCCATCTGGTAGCAAGACTGCTGAAGTGCAAGATCAATGAGTTAGTCACGTGACAAAAATGATGCAAGAAGTAGCTCTTTATTGATATTTACCTGATATCACGTGACACGATATATGACACTGACCAGAGCCTATAGTGCGATATAATGTAATGATATAATCCTCACACACAGCCTCGACAGTACTGCAGAATGCTATTAAAACTTTCTGCCCTCATGTCAATCTACTGCTGGATCAAGGCCGCCCCCCCCCCCCCACGCTGTGTCAGTCATAGGGGCCGTTTTGACCACACTTCATCACATCGACCAGTGTGGGTTGGTGAAGATGGGGCGGGAGGCAGAACCGTTTGCTGCGACCAGCACTCAATCTCGGGCCGCCGCCGGTTTCGTCGTGGTAGCGCGCCAGCCAACGGCATGGCACCCACTATTCCCCGCAGAGTAAATGCAGGTCACGTTTCCTGTCCGTAGTGAGGACCTTTCTTAGAAGATGCGAGATAAATGGGCAAAAACTTCCGTGGGGGGGCCAAACGTAGCAGGATCCAAATTGGGTTTTGTTTCACTTTTTTCAACGCAACCCGAGAACAAAATGTCAGCTAGCGCATCTAGGAGACTTGACTTTTGTTGTTGTTGTTGGAGAACTTTGTGACATGCCTGGAGTGAAATATTAAAGAATCTTAAACCGGGCAATGAATTGCTATTCAAAATGCGGGAAGGGTAGTGGCAGAAGTGGTTTGGGGAACTGGGGATGGTGTCAGAGGTGCACCCTGGGAAAGGTGGGGGGGGCAATATCCCCCACACCCCTCCGCCCCAAAAGGCCGTTGCGTATCATCATCTAAGTACGGTCCAACATTTGTGATGAACAAAAAAAAAATCACAAAGAGCCATCGATACGATTTTTTGGATTGGAGAAAAAAATAGTTTTGGATATATTCCAAAGTATTCTGTCACATTACATCACTTCTGTGCTTTTCTTGCCAAAGGTGATGTCACTTTGCCTCGGGTGACATCACGTCTGTGAGCACAAAGACACTTCAAATGATTAAATAATGGTAACGGATCCACATATCGAAATAAATACCGCGAAATTGTCCTGAAATCATGCAATGGTGGACCATTATTGTATTTCTCAGGATTGTACGATTCCACGTAAGTCTTGATTTATATTTAATTTTAAATGCATTTTATATTTGAATGCATTTCATTTTCCAGAAACAACAGACCGGCACTGCTGAGGAATCCCGAGTTTCAGCCGCTTGCGATTGTATCGTGAATTGCTTAAGAAAGCAATATAAAAATAGTTTTCTTAATTGATTGAGATTTTTTTCCATTTTTGAGACTGGTACGTTGTGGACTGCCGCATCGACAAACGCTCGTCGCATGCAATGTGCCACCGCCTCGTTGCGTACAAGGAGCCAACCGAATGGAAATGGCGATAACGCGTAGGCTTTTGAGCAATTGGTAACTTAAATTAAAATGTTTAGTTTACTTGACAAACCTTAATAATTGGCTGTGCCAGGTTGGTGGCGGGTTTAACGACACATTTATATTTACGCGATCTAACCCAAACCCCCCCGCCCCCCCCCCCCCCAGAAATTATTTAGTTCAGGAGTTTTGGGTGACACCTTCTGGGTCGTTCTCCAACGCAAGGTTGATGTGCTGCTGTTCCGAATGGAAATTTGTCCCGTAACACGAGGTCAAATGGCACAATTTAATTATGATTGGGAGATGAAGAAAAACTCGACGGCAAACAAAAAAGCAATTAAGACTAGGTTATGAATCGTAATGAAAAACAACAAAGATCCCCTGTATAGCCTTCACAGACTGTTGGGGCAAGTGCGGTAAGCGAGCACCAATTTATGCTGAATACACTCCTTACCATCCACAACTTCGATTGAGAAAAAAAATCAAACTTGGCAATTCTGCTCTCGTTGCCAAGACTATTGAAGTTGAACGAACGGATTAACTCACCAGGACGCATGCGTCAATATGTTCGCCCGAGTTTTAACACGAGAACTGGCCCGTTCTCCTCTCACGAAGAAACGCCAAGGTGTTTCCCTTCTCAACCAGTTAAAGTATTGTGCGAATTTCTCCTCAGGCTAGCGGTGGTGGGAATCCACAATCTCCGCAGAAGGAGTCAGACCCTCCATCGGTCAATCGCCGTTGTCGACTTCCACACAGCGGTACGAGTTGGCCGACTCCCAACGGGAAGGTTGTGCTTGCGAGCCGGGCACTCCGATCACAGCATCATCCCGCCAGATATTTTTTTTCCCGAGTTTTACGAAACAAAAAATTCCCGAGTGAAGAGGTGGCTCAGAGGTCAAAGGGCACCGAGCTGGCAGAGTTGAGGTCATGGTTTAAAATCCAGGTCGCCGGGTCAAGTGTAGCGAATTGATGGGCCTCAGCCCAATCACCAAAATAAAAACCTCATTAAGTTTGTTTCTGTACTTAATTTGGCTAAATTCCAGCTCTAAGAATTTAAATAAATATTGGTTTAAACCGTCATGTGTCGAACACTACTCTCGCATGGAAATCGGGTGATGCCCACCCCCCACCACCTACTCACTGCAGAGTTAGCTCTGTGATATCCGCTTCCGTGCGCCGTTCTCTAACAACGAATCGTTGCGCCGCTCTGCGAGAGTTCAATCTTCATCAAATAACGTGGCGACGGCGGCGATGGTGGCGCAATCGGGGAAAACGTTGTGGGGGTATAAAGACAAAATTAAATCGAAAAGCAAAATGATAAAGAGTGCGGTCAATTAAACAAAAGGGACCGCATTACAATTATTATTGCACAAGCACTAACTTCACTCACCGTGTTTGCCATTGTCACCGCCTTAACACAAACTACTCGAAAACTGAGGCTACTGAATTAATTAATTCTCCATTGTAGGGCACTGGAGTGATGACAACGGTTGCGAGTTTATTCATTTGTGCTATAGCCACGAGTCCTGCAAATGAAATGTAAGTGTAAATGTCGTTCACTACAGCAAAGGGATCGCTCAACGTGACAAACACAAGGTGCCCATTGACTCCGTCCTCCCTAGCTCCCCTCAAAAAAGAGTTTGACAAAACATCGAACTCTCAAGCGCCCGTCCAACAGCCGAGCGATCGGTTCCATGCAACTTCGTCCGCACACAACAAATGAACCGCTTCCACGTGGATGTCTGCAACCGGTTGCGAGCAGTTGCACCACTGGTTGCGTGCGGGGGAGAGACAGACTCGGCTTTAGAGGCGTCGATCTGCTCAGCGATTTGTGGCGACGTATTCCGGGAACCACGATTGCGCGGGAGCGCGCGTTTGCGAGCTGCGCTTTATTTGTTACGACCCTGAATACGAGGTTCAATTTCCCCTTGTTGCACCAAATACTTGCTCTGATGCGGGCAAAGCGGCAGGTGATTTAAGTCGCGCATATTGAAGGGTTACTTGGTTAACTACCGATTGCTCAGATGAGATGTAGCTTGAGAGAATGGATTTTATCGACATTTTAGCGATGTTTTAAAAAGTAGTCATTATGCTTCTCTTGTAGGATAGGGCTTGCGCCGTCAATAACAAACATTGGCAGTGCAGCATCACGTGATCACGAGGGACAACAATGGCTTAAGGAGGGCCTTGTCTATCCAGCAGTCGATGGACAACGGCTTAAGACGTTAACGATGATGGTTCAATGGTCCCAAACGTTGCTCCGGTTTAAAAATAAAAATACCACTAATTCAAAGGAACGAGGTGGGGTATTGTTTGTTTGTAGAGCAAATGCACCTCGAGACTAATTTCGAGCGCCACTTTGCAATATACTTAAATATATTTCTGTCGCTGCTATGTGAAGGCATGATATCCGTACTTATGAACTCCATTCAGAAATGCCTCAACCTGTGGAGTGAAGTCAACGTGATGCAGGTCCCGTCAAGTTAAGTCAGTTTTAAACACCAGCGTCCATCAGCGCAGGGATCGCTGCTATCGTGGTGGAATGGTGAGCACGCTGGAACCAATCCAGAGGGTGCCAGTTCAATTCCATTTCCCGGCGCCTCTGTCCACCGAGCAGTATAATTGGCTTACACCGTAGTTAGTCGGCCAGCGGGTGTTGGTTTTCCCACCTCTTCTAAGATATTTATGCAGCGTGACAGAGTAGATCAAATATCCTCCATCAGAGGGGGGGGGGGGGGGGGCTCTCTAGAGCTTCCTCTAGCGGAGTGAAGGCCCTTGTGCCAGCAGCTGCGTGAACAAACAATGTCACAATGTCAACCCTCATCATGGGCGCATCTGCTGTTGGGCGCGCGTGTCTCTAAATGAAGGACAGGAGGACGGAGTGGAGGGTGGCTTCCATCTCACTGCCGTTGCACTGCACCTGCGAGAGCTCCCAGAAACCCCTGCTGCGTTGCGCGATCGTGAGCGGCGCCGTCAGCAGGAATTCCAGGCACTGGCGGCACAGCTCGCCGAAGCAGTGCCGCTCGGCAAACGCGTAGACCGCCGGCAGCGACTCGGCGCGCAGGCAGCACGAGCGCACCACCGCGGTGAGATCGCGCTTCAAGTCCGGCAGTAGGAACTGATTCGACAGCGCCATGAGCTCGCCCAGGAGGCTGCCCGCCAGCGAGCCGCCTGGCTTCCCGCGCCGCTCGCCGCTCCCCGCAGGTCCCGGGTCGGCGCTTTCCACTGCCGCCGTCGCCCCTTCTTCCGCAAACGGCGTCACGCAGCCGGGCGAGTACACCGCCCGCAGCGCCCGGCACGCCGGCAGACAGCAGCCGTGCAGGTGGTGCATGAGGAGCGTGAAGGCGGCGTCCGACGCGTTGCGCACGGCGACGCACGACTGCTGCGCCTCAGAGTAGTGTCCCTGCAGCATGGCGCCGAACACCTCGGAGCGCGACACCAGCTGCTTGCGCTGGGCGGACACCTTGGCGCCGCAGTCCAGGACGAACCGCACGTCCGCGGCGCCGTCGGCCACGCAGCGCGCGTAGCCGCAGGACGAGGTTCCGTCCCGCGGCGGCGCGCCCGACAGTTCGCTCGGAGCCGAGGCGGCTCCGCCTTCCGAGTACGGCGGCTCGCTCCACTTTCCCGACGTGAATTCTCCCGGCGGATGATGAGGATGAGGAGAAGAGGGGGTGCCGCCCTTGCCCTCCAAGCTGCAGAATTCCAGCAGAGCCCCCGTGGCGCGAACCACGTAGCTGGGGTCCGGGGAGCGCAGCATGTGCGACACCAGCAGCTGTAGGCCGCACTGGTCCACCAGCAGCCTTCGCCGCAGTGGCTCGTTCCTGCGCCGTCATAGTCGCGTCACGCGCAACACGCGGCAATAACAACGATGATGAGAGCGATAAAACTAAACCATTTTGTATTTTACCAGGTAAGGCCCCACTGAGCCATGTGGCTCTTTTTCAGAAGTGACCTGGCCACCACAGGTGATAGCTCAAAGAAGTGGCTTATCACGTGGACATTTATAGCAGCCAACGCGTGTTTTTAAATGTGGAGAGAAAAACCGGAGGACCCGGAAGAAAATCCAGGCTTATCTGGAAGCGCATTGAATATGCACATGCACAATGATGATTTGAAGCTTTCGTGACTGCAGGAATCCATACTCTTTGGTTCTTTCGATAAAGTCACGTAGGTAGAAAATAAAACAAATCACTACGTTTCGATCGCAACACAAGCGGTCGTCCTCAGACGGGAAAAATATAATCCAGCAGTTCAGCCGCTGCATTATATGTTTGTGTTGCGATCGAAACGTCGTGATTTATTTTATTTTATACCTACGTGACTTTACCAAAAGAACCAAAGAGTATGCACAACAATAATAATAATACTCCTCTTTGGAGATGGGTTCTCAATACACTTGCTATATTGCCACCGCATCACCACATTGCAGTCTCGTGGGCATGGGAGGCTCACAAATTCTGTGTGATTCACCAACCCTTGCCTCAATCAGGCTGGCTGGATCACAGACGTGCCGGCCGAGTGGTGAATGTCACCGGAGTGTCACGTCACACTGTCCACAGGAAGGGCTGCCCACTAGCACTGTACCACAACAAGAGAGACTACACATGTGGAACTGGGAGAGCACCAGGGGGTAGTGATGGCTGTGAGCGTTCATCGTTTACCGACACCACAGGGAGAGCACCAGGGGGTAGTGATGGCTGTCAGTGTTCATCGTTTACCGACACAGGTAGAGCAATGCGAGGGCGCAGGCAGCTTTGTCTCCCTGTCGGGTCGACAGCAGGAGGTGGTTCAGGGTTCCGGTTCCAAACCCCGACTCGGCTTGAACACGCAGACTCCGCAACATTCCCCACGCTGCCGATACACACAGACACACGTGCAAAAACACGTGCGGGAAAGTATCTGAACACAATATACGCGCACACGCGCACACACATGAATGCACGTATAGGTATGCACGCAGAAAGGCATGCAGGCACGTGTGCATGCAGGCATGCACGTGCGAGCACAAACAACGCACACACACACACACGGATACAAATATATGCATACGTGCAACTAGCACATCGACGCACAAAGACAAAGATCCCCCGTATAGCCTTTAACAGAATGTTGGGGCACGTGCTGTTAGCGAGCAGCAACTATGAAGGCCGGCACGGTACACGAGGGGGTGTGTGGCCACACCACGCCCGGCCGCCTTTGTCTCCCCAGTGGTAATGTTCACACATTGCACCAGGTACTCATTTGAGGCTAAGTCGACCTCGGGGAGGCCCAGGACCGGTTCAGATAATTGTCACTGGTGTTCACCGTAAGCGGGAATCGAACTCGGGTCGCCGGGTTCATAGCGCAGCACGCTAACCGCTACACTACCGCTCACCCCGTACATACAAGCACACACACAGATGCAAACACATTTGCACAGACTCAAGCACACATGAGCGTACAAGCAGAGGCTTACACATATACACAGGGCAGTGTGTAAAAGAGCGACGTTTGACCGCTCCATTCTAATACAGCAACCGCACGAGCAGATTTAACTTAAGTCTGCAATAACTGTTTCAAGTGCATTGTAGCAATCAATAACTGCTGCAGCAGGGTGTGGTGGCCAAAGATGGGTGGTCATCATTGGCATGGGCAGAACCCATGGCAGCACTAAATATAACTTATTTTTGCTGTGGCTGAAAATATCCTGCCGTAGGCTGCAGTCGTCTGCTTCAGACTGGTGCAATGTTGAAAGTTGAACTCGAAATATGTTTAAATTAAATAAATGCAAAAGCCAAAAAAAAAATGCCGAAATGTAAAAGAGTGCATGCGTGGCATGGGAGCAAATGCACCGGCGGTCCCGAGCCAGCGGTGGAAATTCAACATCCTACGTCGGAAAGGGGAGCCGCAATGGGCCGTGTCCCAGACATTTCAGACAACTTCACAGTTATAATTTAAAAATCCCATCAGGTAATTATACGCAGGCCTCTACCCACATATTGAAATGTACGTGCAGCCGCCCGGCCCTTCCACAAAGCGGTACTTGTTTTGTCGACCCTGAAGAAATTATTACAATGATCAGCCAAGTCGACCCTTGGCTGGGACAAAGATCCTCGTGGTTGCTTGAACAGGCTGTTGTGAAAAGTGTTGTTCGTACCGATGAGGGCGGGTATGGCGCATACATGGCTGGTGCGGCTTGCATCATGCCTGGGCCACCTTTATCTCCCCAATGCTGATGTTTACGCACTACACTAGCTACTCAAGTCGACCTAGGGGGTAGGCCCAGGACAGGTTTAGATATTTGTAGCCGATGTTGGTCGTGAGCGGGTGTCAAATCTAAAGGCCGCCGGAATCGTGGCACAGTGTGCCAACCACTACCAGGATACAAAGACAAATATCCCCCGTATAGCCTTTAACAGAATGTTGGGGCAAGTGCTGTTAGCGAGCACCTATGAAGGCCGAAACGGCACACGAGGGGGTGGGTGGCCAGCATCAGGCCCGACTGCCTTTGTCGCCCCAGTGGATGTTTACACACCGCACCAGGTACTCATTTGAGGCTAAGTCGACCCTAGGGGAGGCCCAGTACTGGTTCAAATAATCGTCATTGGTGTTGGCGGGAATTGAACTCGGGTGGCCGGGTTCACAGCTCAGCACGCTAACCATTACACTACCGCTAGTGAGCGCCTATGAAGGCCACACACACACAAATACAGAGTGCTCGATTCCAAGTCAACAGGGCAACGATGTAATGCTGACGTGTGACCGCCTGGGCATTGTCATAACACGGGCGACAGTTTTCAAAGCGGTGTCCCCCACGTATAGCGCTGATGTAAAACGCCCTCATGTGGTTAACGTAGCCGGCTGCGCTCTACGAGTTGTTAACCGTCATTTACCGGCATTTCCTCCCAACCGGAAACATCACACCGCCCTTACCCAATTCGCGGTTACTCGCTGTGGTCAGCTTCAAGTTCGCAGTCTTCTGCACGAGAGACTCGACACCAACTCCGGCGCTCCCTTCACCCGCGGAAAGGTCGCCCCGCGCCCGTTCCGCCTCCCCGTCAGGGCACAGGCCGTGGCAGAGGCGCAGGTGCAGCGTGGAGATGCCGTGCGTGCGCACGAACGCCTCCAGGCAGTTGGGGTTGGCGGCGAGGCGCAAGAGGATGCGCGCGGCCCGGGGGCTCGGCCGCGCCGCGCCCAGCACGTAGTTGAGCAGACCGCGGAGGACGGCCGTCGTCACCAGGAAGCTGGGGTCCACGTACATGGAGAAGCGCGACAGCAGCCAGAGGATGGCGAAGTCGGGCCCCACCGCCTGCTGCGTTTCCGACCCGTGCCCCTGCTCCGGTTTGGACGTGGCGCCGCTCGGGCCCGCCGCGCCGCTCGCCGTTGTTTTGCCGGCGGCGGCGGCGATAGAGTTTTTGTCAGTGGCGGCGATGGCGGCGATGGCGGCGGTGGCGGCGGTGGCGGCGGTGGCGGCGGTGGCGGCGGTGGTGGCAACGGCCGTCGTTGTTGTCGTTGTCGTCGCCGCCGCTCCCTGGGCGGGGGCTTTACGAGGCGCTGGGGGGTCGTGTCGTCGAGCGTCGTTCTCTTTGCGTTTCGTGGCGGCGCTTCGGTTCGGCTCGCCGCTCGCGAGGTCGGAAGCACGCAGATCCGGTGAGGACGACGACGACGAACAAGCTTCCTTCTTGAGTTTGACGGACGTGGCTTCCGATCGAGCGTTCTGGCAGAACTTGAGGAGCCTGAAGTGGAGACGGGTGGAGGAGGCCTGCGGGGATTGCCGCTGGTCTTGAGGGTGGGTGAGCAGTCGTTTCCGTCGGCGCGCCGGCAGAGTTTGCTGCCGAGCTCCTCCCGTGTTCTCGACCTCCGAGCAACGACCCGCGTGAGCACCCGTCGCCGTGCGCCCATCGTCTTCGTCGTCCTCGTCGTCAAGTTTCGCTCGTTTGGCATCGGCGCACGCCCTGTCGACGTCGCCGCCGGAAGGGCGAGCCACCCGGGGGCTGCCGGGCTCCTCCACGGCCTCGGCGTCGGCCACGGAGGAGTGGAGCGCGACGAGGCTGCCGCACCGCGGCACCGCTTCGAGATCCTCCAGCTCCGTGTCTCCCGTGCTGCCGTCCGGACACCATCGCGGGGAGATGTCGCCCGGGCTCACGATGTAGCCCTGCGTGAGAAGCCATGACCTGTCGTCACAAAAGCACGAGTGAGAAAACATGAAGGAAAAGCAGAATGTGTTACGGAATCGACTCCGAATGACGTCGAATCGATTACAAACGGAATCGGAAGTAGAAGGCCAATGCGGGAGGAGGGCGTGTGGCACAGTTTGGCGTCAGCTATCATAGAGTTCGGCGGTCGTGTCGCTACAGTTTTCCGCCGTGAATGTCTTTAAAAACAGCGGCGATACGCCTCTCGAAATAAAATTAACGCCGAACCGCTCGCGCGTTCCGAGAATCAGCGGTCAACGGGACTCACATCCTGCAACTTGCAGGGGTCTCGGAACGGGAAAGGGTTAATGATGCTGCTTTGGCAAGCAGGACAAGTTCAATTTATTTAATCAGGTGAGAACTTAAAAGAGACCAGGATGACTCTCATTTGTGTCTTGGGTCACAAAATGGCAACAGCAAAACAGAGAACAGCAATTACAAAAGCACTGTAGCACAAAGTGGGTTTCACTCAATTGATCCAAATTGCTCATCGGGCTTCAAGTCATTAGGGCAGTCCACAGCATGGGAAACGTGGACACGTTTTACTCTAATTAGGGCACATCGGTGAGCCACGCCTCGTTACAAACTGCCATGAATGGACAGTTACACGCAAAGAGCATAGCGGAGCCATGAGGCTCATAAAAGTTGCAGTAACCAAATGGTAATAGTTTGTGTTCACACTGGCCCGGCAGCAAGAGTCATGGATTATATAACGGTTTTACTTTTCACAATATCAAATCAATCATTTCCCCTGGCCTTTCATCCCACGAGTGGCGCTAATCCCTGCCAGTGGTCCTGAGCTCGTGATGGAAATTCCACATTTCCATGGTAGAAAAGAGTATCTGAACAAGACAATCACTGCAGACCTCCCACAGAATGACTCGTGTTATGGATGTCAAACAGCTGATTGGTTGAGTTAATACCCAACAGAGATTTGAACTTTCAGCCTTCCGATTGTGTCAAGTGCTCTACCCACAGTGCCACCTGCTCAACTTTTAAGGCAGGGCTGGGGAACATACGGCCCCTGAACAGCCCCGTGGCCACACGAAGAGCTAATGACTTTGAAACAGCCTTCAAAAAATAGATTTATTTGTCGTTCAAAGCATCTTAGATGCACTAATCAGGTACCAGACGGGAATGTATTTGACCTGGCAACACCGCATTCCTAATTTTAGTCCGTTCATCACCGCAGGGGCCTCTTGCAGTGACAGAATAAACTGATGTGTGTGTTCATGTGTGGTTGTTTGCCAAAGGTACAGTCTGTTCTACTATGAAGCGGTAGCTGCGTTCCTGAAGAACATTGCGTTATGGGAAAACTCGCATTATAATAAATAATATTTCATGTAGGGTAAAGCGCAGTCCGTAATAACACATGAGATGCCTACGCGGGCTGAACAAAGATGGAGGCGCATGGGTAGCATCTAGAAGCATCCAGCAGCATCCCGCCTTGTGTGATGCTACACCGAGGCAGTCGTACAAACGCTTGTTCCTACTCGCGCTGCAGCGGTAGTTCCGAACACTCAATCGCGTTATATCCAATTCGCATTCCGAAAACATTCGGCGTTACAGGAGAACAGACTGTATCTGAAAGTCCTATTGAGGCCTCAGCAAGGAAGAGCTCCCCCACCTGTGTTTAAGGCGAGCAGTGAATACGCAGAAACAAAAAGAATCAGCAGTAGCCCACCTCATGCTGAGGAAGCTCGAGGACTCCGCATTTGGTTCCATGTCCGGCTTGCGGTTGAACTCTGTCGGGAAGTCGTACGAGGCGGCGTACCTCTCGTCCTCAATGTCGGCAACGACAGCGGTCGCCTGGAACTTATCGGACGCGAGTGTCCACTCCTCCAGCCGCCTCACCAGGATGGGCACCAACCCGTACCCGAGTAGCACGTCCAGCGCGGACTCCTCGTAGAAAAAACCGAGGAAGGCCAAGATGATTCGGTCGTGGGACGCCTTGAAGTGGGAGTCCTTGAGCAGCGAGAAGAGCAGCTCGATGCCACCGCTCTCCACAACCTTCGCCCGGTTCACAGCCTCGCGGCAGCAGAGGCACAGAGCTCGGACGACGTCCAGCACTGCGCTGCCAGCTGGAGCGCTGCTGCTGCTGTTGCTGATGGTGTTGCAGCTGTTGATGCGTCTGCTCATGGAACTGTTGGTGCTGGTGCAGCTGTTGCTGGTAGAGCTCTTACTGTTGCTGCTGCTTGTGGTGCTACTGGTGCACGTGCTGCTGTTGGTGCAGGTATTACTGTTGGTGCTGCTGCTGGTGCAGCTGCTGCTGTTGCTGATGTTGCTGCTGCTGTTGGTGGTGCTGTTGGTGGTGGTGCTGTTGGTGGTGGTGCTGCTGTTGGTGGTGGTGGTATGGTTGGTGGTGGTGCTGCTGGTGGTGGTGCTGCTGTTGCTGGTGGTGCTGCTGTTTGTGGTGCTGTTCGTGGTGCTGCTGCTGGTGCCGCCGCCGCCGCTGTTACCGCCGCCGCTGTTGCGCGCGCTTCTGATTTCGTCGACGAAGCAGCGTATCGCGCCGGCGCTGCCCAGGGTGGGCCGCACGATGGCCTGGGAGCACAGGCTGCTCAGCGTCTGCATGGCGTCGGCGCGCACCGCCGCGTCGCCGCCACAGACCAGCGCGACGAGCGCGGACGGCGCATCGACTCGCGACAGCACCTCGGCGCACTCCGTCGAGCACTGGCGGCTGAGCTCGGCCAGCGCTCGGGCGCTGGCCCCCACCACGCCCGAGCGGTCGCCCCTCTTCAGCAGCTGCGCCAGCGGCTCCACCACGCCCTGGCTCACCATGGCGGCGCGGTGAGACGGGGAGTCGGCCAGGTTCCTCACGGCACGGACGGCGCTCTGCAGGCACTCGTCGTCACGGCCGGACTCGAGCAGCGCTATGAGATGCGGCACCGTGCCTGCGCGCATTACAAAAATCGTAACACCACAGTGTCGCGTGTGCGGCCGTCGAGTGTCGGCCCTCATCGATTATCTTGCCCCCCACCCCCGCACAGTTCAAGGAAAAATGAGTCCGCGACGTTCGCAGCATCCGCAGTGGCTACAAAGAGTAAAAGGACAGCCCGAGACGGCCCGAGGCAGCCCCGGAGCAATGAAGACTCGGCCCGATCAGTGGTTAACATGGCTTCACAACAGAAATCCTTTGCAGAGAAAAAAGACGAAGAACTTTTTAAGATTTTAAAAGTTAACAAGAAGCCATTCAATGTAAGTTGCTGTCCGTTTATAACTTTTAAACTTCTTGGTAGGAAACGACATCTTGTCTTAAATTATAAACTGCATATTAATGTCCAGTGCAATGGACAAGCTGCCATTCGGAGTCCCCTCGGCGAATACAGCTGCCTCCGAGACTTTTTGTTACTTCATGGGTACAATATAAATGGAAGTATTATATTTGTATTCTTTAATAACCTACTTACTTTGTCCGGTAACTTTTTTGTGCACGGTGTTAGCCGTAGTTTTATATTTGTTCACATAATCTGACCTTTTCACATGTCTTCCCATGCCTCCAGTCGATCGGATTTGCACCGTTGTACTGTACACAGTTACGTGCTCAGGATGAAGAAATATGAAACAGCAATACAAATCTTTTGCGTATGAAAGAAACTAGAACGACCACATATCTACATATGAGTGGGTAACACTGGTTTGTGCCACTCAGACAGGTTTTCTAACCAACTTACTGTTCTGCCATGCCTTGACCATCTTGCGTCTCACTAGATTCAGGAGTTTCACGAACCTATTAGTCCCCCCGTCCTCGCAGTGCTGAATTGCAGGCATGCGCCAGCACTCACAACTAACAGAAGACATGATCATTATCGGTTGTACCCAATATTACTTGCTCCCCAAACATCACTGGAGGAATCAACGAGCCAAGTTTACGGGAACAGCGCCCGTGGTGGTAGTAGCAGAGAACAGATAAGGCGAGAGAGTGACTTGAATGGGCGAGTGGTGGACAATCTTTCCACCTGCTTTTACGTCGAATTCTTATCGCAGGCGGCTGTTTGGATTCCAACTCAGGAAGGTCGTAGCAGTGCCCGCTCAGGCGCCCTGGGGTCCGACCCGGCTGGCAAACTCCGAGAGCCTCTCTGCAGCGCTTACCAGCCTTGTGCAGAATCTCGCTGTTCTGCTTGTCCTGAGCAAGGTTGGCCAGCGCACGTGCTGCCCGATTCTGAATGCTCTCCACCGTCACCGACTTCAGCACCAACACTGCTCGGTGAGACACAGGCGGTTATGACAAACATCAAATTGTGTTAAACTGTGCACACACACACGGATGGGATCTACGCTTCATGTGATGAGTTTTTGATGACTCGCCCATTACCAAATCACCCAGAATGCACCAAATCTCATCAGATCACAGGAGCCAAGTAGGGTTGAGCCTATGGCGGTGTTTATGTATTATGTTCAACTTCTTTCGCACCATATGTAGCTAACCGTGATAATCGGAGGTTTAAATGGATGAACACTGTGAATTAAAGAGGTGTTGCAGGCGGCTGCAGAGCTATGATGTGGGTGGTGCAGATACAAATTGTTTGTACTGTACATCTATGCTTCCACATGCCCACCACCACCGCCTTCGCCAACCTGCACCGACTAGCGTGACGTATCATCAAATAACCCTCACGAAGGGTGTGGAGAGGCCGTCGCATATGGCAGTGGATCGAAAAGAGGAATGTACACCAGTATACAAATGAACCTTATGGCGGGACCCCGGGGTTCCATAAGCCCCCGGCTCTCGCACAAACTGTGTTGCGACGTCATTTTGAAGGCGAACGATATGGCGATCTATTCCTCTCGACGAGCTTTACACAATGCGCTAATCAAAGTTTAAAAGTTTTGTTTCTTCTGCGCATTCGTCCTCGCTGCACTTGGATGGCATGACAAGTAAATGATCTGCGCCAGGTGGGTGACGGCGTTTGTGTGTGCGGTGGGACGGAATCGCCAAAAAATATTTAATGAATTACGATTTTGACCTCTGTTTATTCGGGACCCCGGGGTCCTGCCATAAGGTTCAAATGTGCAATGTACCTGGTGCCAGCCAAAGGAAAGTGGAATTTCCACCACTGGTTCAAAGTTAATTTCAACAATTCCATTTGTAAGATTGTCGTTTTCTAGGGGAATTCAGTCAAGCCACATCATCATTATCATACTTAAGCCAAAGCTAATAAGCCTAAACAACAGTCTATCAAGTTCCAATAAACAGCACCATCATCATCAACATTTGAGTACCATCATCATCCTTCTTAATCAAGTATCATCCCCAATCATATTCCCTCCAGTCCCATCATCACTGAATCAACCACCATCACACCATCATACTTAGGCTTGAACAACACCATTACTCAATCCAGCCCCATCACCATCTGATGATAGCATCACTCGGCCAGAGACTATCACCACCATCACCCCCCCTATCATACTCAATTCAACTTCATCCACCATCACTGAATACATCATCACACTCACTCCAGCCGCATCACCATCATACTCAATTCAACTCCATCATCATCACTCAAGCAACAACAACTCACACTCAATCCAACATCATCAAACTCACTCCAGCCCCATCACACTCACTCCTCTGCCCCATCAAACTCACTCCAGCCGCATCACACTCACTCTAACACCATCACACTCACTCTAACACCATCACACTCACTCTAACACCATCACACTCACTCCAGCCCCATCACATCAATCACCATCACACTAATAACACTATGTAACACGATTTTTGTCCCTGTGTAGTGCTTTTGTGACCAGGACTTTACCTGAGGGAATGACACAAATGCACACCATGTGTTCTCATTGACAATAGGTACATTTAAAACTATCACTGTCCTGGTCACAAAAGTAAAGTTTGTGGGCAATAATAGCCACTTTCTGCTGTACTTTTGAGGCATAAGCAATTAGGAAATAACACTACCCAGGAAAAAAAAAATGTTGTTACAGTGTAATCATATTAACTCTTATATCATAACTCTTATATCATAACTGTTGTCATAACTCTTACATTATAACCCCTGACCCTGGCACACGTGACAACGCGGGCCCATAGCCCCCTCCCCCTTCCACCGCGCGCTCTGCCCCCCCCTCCCGCCCGCCCACCCACGTGACGCGGTGTTTACCCCAGCCGCGTCACGTGCTCGGGGGGGGGGGCGAGCAACCAATGGGCGCGCGCGACGTGCGGGTTCGTGCCACTCACCGATGGGGGGCAGCCCGCCCAGCCTGCGGATCTGCGCGCCCACAACACACGCACACAACACACACAGCATGCCTGAGGGGGGGGGGGGCAAACTCCCACCACCACCATCACCACTATCACCACCCCCCCAAACAGAACACGAAATAAAAACACCACAAACGCTCGCAAATGATGCCCCCTTCGACCGTTGTACCTCCTTCCTCGCTTCGCTCTCTGTGCAGCAATTGGCGATAATGCTCAGCGAAATGTCAACTATCTTCACATTGGGCTTCTGTATCAGAGCCACGAGCGGCCTGAGGCCGCCGTGCAGGCGGAACTTCTCGATGCCGCCCCTCTCTTTGATGAATTTGGTTCGGATCGTGACGAGGGCATTGACCACGGCGGCCGTGCAGCCGCTATGGAGCTGCGCCACGCAAAACTTGAGGCCTGGCCCGTGAGTCCGACTGCTATCCGCCATGGCGGCAAGGGCGAGGCGAGGGGGCGGGGCCGGGGGGATGTTGTGAGGGGAGGGGGTTATGGGGTGAGGGGAGGGGCTGTGGGGGGTGGAAGGTCGCGAGCGCGCGCCGTTGGCGGGAGAGCGCCGCCTCGCGCCCGCTGTGTTGGCCGCTTGCACTGCGCCGGGAGCGTCACGAGGGCGGTGGGGGGAGGGGCGGTGAGGGGAGGGGCGGTGAGGGGAGGGGCGGTGAGGGGAGGGGCGGTGGGGGGAGGGGCGGTGGGGGGAGGGGCGGTGGGGGGAGGGGCGGCGGGGGGAGGGGCGGCGGGGGGAGGGGCGGCGGGGGAGGGGCGGCGGGGGGAGGGGCGGCGGGGGAGGGGCGGCGAGGGGAGGGGCGGCGGGGGGAGGGGCGGCGGGGGGAGGGGCGGCGAGGGGAGGGGCGGCGAGGGGAGGGGCGGGGAGGGGGGGTGAGGGGAGGGGCGGTGAGGGGAGGGGCGGTGGGGGGAGGGGCGGTGGGGGGAGGGGCGGTGGGGGGAGGGGCGGTGGGGGGAGGGGCGGTGGGGGGAGGGGCGGTGGGGGGATGGGCGGCGGGGGGAGGGGCGGCGAGGGGAGGGGCGGCGAGGGGAGGGGCGGCGAGGGGAGGGGCGGCGGGGGGAGGGGCGGCGAGGGGAGGGGCGGCGAGGGGAGGGGCGGCGAGGGGAGGGGCGGGGAGGGGCGGTGAGGGGAGGGGCGGTGAGGGGAGGGGCGGTGGGGGGAGGGGCGGTGGGGGGAGGGGCGGTGGGGGGAGGGGCGGTGAGGGGAGGGCGGTGAGGGGAGGGGCGGGGAGGGGGGGTGAGGGGAGGGGCGGTGAGGGGAGGGGCGGTGAGGGGAGGGGCGGTGGGGGGAGGGGCGGTGGGGGGAGGGGCGGTGGGGGGAGGGGCGGTGGGGGGAGGGGCGGTGGGGGGAGGGGCGGTGGGGGGAGGGGCGGTGGGGGGATGGGCGGCGGGGGGAGGGGCGGCGAGGGGAGGGGCGGCGAGGGGAGGGGCGGCGAGGGGAGGGGCGGCGGGGGGAGGGGCGGCGAGGGGAGGGGCGGCGAGGGGAGGGGCGGCGAGGGGAGGGGCGGGGAGGGGCGGTGAGGGGAGGGGCGGTGAGGGGAGGGGCGGTGGGGGGAGGGGCGGTGGGGGGAGGGGCGGTGGGGGGAGGGGCGGTGAGGGGAGGGGCGGTGAGGGGAGGGGCGGGGAGGGGGGGTGAGGGGAGGGGCGGTGAGGGGAGGGCGGTGAGGGAGGGGCGGTGGGGGAGGGGCGGTGGGGGGAGGGGCGGTGGGGGGAGGGGCGGTGGGGGGAGGGGCGGTGGGGGGAGGGGCGGTGGGGGGAGGGGCGGTGAGGGGAGGGGCTGGGTTTAAGGGGGGAGGGGCAGGGTGGGGGTGTAAGAGGGGCCAGCGTCTTGCTTGCGTTGAGGCAATGCAGCTGAGATTGTGTACACCACTACAACAACAACAACAACAGGCCGTGTTGCTGCGTAAAAATACTTTAACGCGGATGGACGAATACGTGAAGGAGGCCTACTCTCGACTTCGGGGCCGTCCATAAATGACGTCACGCACCTACGGAGGGGGGGGGGGGTCAGACATTTGTGACGATGTGTGACGAGAGGGGGGGGGTGAGAAATATGACGTCACAGCAAAATGCGCAACTTTAAATAAATATAAACGACACGTTCTATTTAATTAAATATACTTTTTAATAAATGTTTTCTACTACAACATCAGAGTGCAGCGCCACATTAAATACGCACTACAATGACAATAGTTTTAAACGATTGGAAGCATGTTTTTTGGGGGGGGGCAGAGCATTGTGACGTCATATTTGAGAGGGGGGGTCTGACTTTTTGTGACGTCGTGTGCCGAAGGGGGGGGGGGGTCAAAAATCGTCCAAAATCGCGTGACGTCATTTATGGACTGTCCTTTACGTGACAAACAAATGTGTGCACCCTTTTGCCAATCCACTGCTAGATGAGGTCTTTCTCACCCCACTAACCACGCTATTTCGTATGGGTGAGTGACGATTCACGTGCAATTCTATATCGCTGCCCTGCGCCGCCGACTGCCCATGACGCCCAGTTCACTACCCGTCTTGTGCGCATGACGATTCGGTGATACTGCTGCTGCTACAAGTTGGCAGTGTTGCGAAAGGACAATTAACAAAAACACTCGAACACATTCTTCAATGCCACTGCGGCGTTAAAAGTAAAAAAAACTATTACAGGAAAGTTTTGGGAAATGGCCATTTTTCATAGCACATAAAAATTAAGAATCCTTTATTATGGGGAGCAAATGGCACCTATGAGGGGGTGGTGTGGCCGTCTCGACGCCCAAACCACATTTGTCCTTCCCCATAAGCCGGTATTTCCACATTGCATTAAGATTCTCATCAAGGCTAATTCGACCGAAGGGGTTTCCCAGAACAACGTCAGATGTCACTTAATACCCAGGGAAGGGTCAGAGGTCACTCAATTCCCAGCGCAGGGTCAGACGTCACACAATTCCCAGGGCAGGGTCAGAGGTCTCTTAATTCCCAGGGCAGGGTCAGAGGTCACACAATTCTCAGGGCAGGGTCAGATGTCACTTAATTCTCAGGGCAGGGTCAGAGGTCACTTAATTCCCAGGACAGGGTCAGAGGTCACACAATTCTCAGGACAGGGTCAGATGTCACTTAATTCTCAGGACAGGGTTAGATGTCACTTAATACCCAGGGCAGGGTCAGAGGTCACAATTCCCAGGGCAGGGTCAGAGGTCACTTAATTCCCAAGGCAGGGTCAGACGCCACTCAATTTCCAGGGCAGGGTGAGATGTCACTCAATTCAGGACAGGGTCAGACGCCACTTTATTCCCAGGACAGGGTACGATGCCACCTAATATCCAGAAGAGGGCGAAATGCCACTTAATTAACACATTGTCCTGCGCAGGGAGCTGGTAGGAACGTTGGGTTGCTCGGTCAATGGCCAGGGTCAAAGACGGCGTGGTGTATTCCGCAAATATGGCCGACTGTGAGGGCGGGCACAAAGCCGGCGTGAGTAGGTTAAACGTTGAGTTTTATAAGGGCACCACGGGGTGACCAGCCCCTCCCCACCCAGCCCCACCCCTCCCACCCCCACCCAGCCCCACCCTCCCCTCCCCACCTAGCCCCTCTCCACCCAGCCCCACCCCTCCCATTTTTCGATGCACGTCGGACGGACACAATAATCCCCTGTGGGCTGGTGGAACCAGGTGGTTCCTACCAGTATCACTGGCGTTAGCTGTCCGTGTTCGTCGTCAGCTAACATGCACATTAAATTGCAACTTGCTCTAGGAATTGGTATTTGTGTTCGGGTGACAGAAATTTAATTTGATCATCATCTGATGTTGAACTTCATTACAGTACAGTACACTACTCAACTATTTCCCGAGTGTTGATAGACCTAGGCTGACTGAGAAATATACAGAGTATGATAAATATATTTCTGTATAAGGGTTGACCCACGCTGGTAGGCGGTGTAGGGATCGTTTCACCATATTTCACCACGCTGGTCAGTGTGGATTTATGAAGGAGGGAACATTAAAGTACAGTACAACAGTTGATTTTTTTGGACGGACTTCTGCTGCTCTCCACACATAACCCCGCAGCCTATAACACCTGTTTATGCACGATTGTGGGCTTGTGGCCCGTACAAGCACGATCCAGGCTCGTCGCTGCTTAGCTTCCGAGATGAATTCCCGGCCACAGCTGATTGACATCAGTGGCGATGATATCTAAATCGTTCTTGGGCCCCTTACTTCGTCAATCCGCCCTGACCAACGTGGTGATGTACTGTATAGCCAAACAACCCCTGTTAGCGGTGTGGGAGTTGTGTGGCCAGAACCGCCTTTGTCTCACCAGGGCCGATGTTTACACGCCTTCACAGGGTACAGTACTCATGTAAGGGTGAGTCGTCCCTGATGTTAGCGAGTCGATTCACAAATGGGTTGTACGGTGCGACCCAGCCACCACGCCCGACCACCTTTGTCTCCCCAGTTGACCTTGGGGATAAGCCCAGTACCGGTTCAAATATCCGCCCAGTGCATTGATCGGTGAGCGCGATTCCAAAGAACACAGGATGAGATGTTACTATCCTTTGTGCAAGCACTTCCAAGAGTTCATGAACAGTGAGCCTGGTGAAATTTGGGGAGCGCATCGTCAGTAGTGACCCTTTGGTTCCTAGGGTGTTTCGGCCTTTCATACTATACACCCTCCCCAAAGGCGGCCAGCGACAGGGTGATCAATCCTACGCTTGCGTCTCATTCCCAATTAGTCATAGGAGTTGCCTTGTTGATAGCCAACATCCCATGGGACTATGCATGGCAGGGGCGTCCTCCTCCCTGAGTCAAGCATTGTTGACTGCATACCTCCTGGCCCTCTCATTTTGGGGCCCAGCTGGGGTCTTTCCTCTTCATCCAGAGCCACTGACTGCTCCCTTCTGCCGCCTCCGATACAGCTCTGATTGCCGAACGCTGGCTCTGGCCCTTAATTCCCAGGTCTCTAAGCAGTCTGGTTGTAGATGTTGCCACAAAACCTCTGCAGCCCACCTCCACTGGTCGGACTTCTGTGTTCCAGCCATGATGCCGTGCTTCGGCAGCTAGATCGGCATAGCGCAGATGTTTTCGCTCATAAGCCTCATCTACTGAGTCCTCCCAGGGTACTGTGAGCTCAATGATGAAGACCTTCTTGAGCGAACAGGACCAGAGCACCATGTCAGGTCTTAGGGTGGTGGTTGCGATCTCCGGAGGAAACACAAGTTGCCGGCCAATGTCAGCTAGCATTTTCCAGTCGCGGGCCAAGTGCAGCTGGTCTCGCTCTATTGGTGTAGAGCCGCTCTTCGGTGGTTTAGCCCCTTCGCGGACAAAGGTCGTCCGTAAGGGGTGTGATGCTGCTGGGGGTGGTAGGGAGTTGGTGGCAGCTCGCTTGTCCTCCAGGGCGGACGCAAGGTTTTTAAGGACTTGGTTGTGACGCCAAGTGTAGCGTCCTTGGGTGAGGCTTGTTTTACACCCTGTGAGAATGTGCCTGAGGTTGGCTGGCATGGAACAGAGGGCACAGTCCGGATCTTCACCATACCATTGGTGAAGATTAACTGGTGTTGGAAAGATGTCATATGTTGCTCTGATGGAAAAGCTCAACCGCCTCGCTTCCATGGCCCACAGATCCTTCCAGCTGATCTTCCTCTTCTCCACACTGTCCCATCGAGTCCACTGTCCTTGTTTGGCAAGAGAGACTGCCTTGGCCCACCTTGCAGCCTCCTCCTGATGGCGTACTTCCTGCACTACCATCTTCCGCCGCTCTGGTGCAGTGGCCTTACTCCAAGCAGCACGGCTAGTTAGCCCAAGGCCTCCTCTCCCTTGCTGAACATGACCCACAATGTCAGCATGTCTGAGGGCTGCTGTTGCCTCCTGGACTGCTTTTCCTGGCCTCCATTTGCGCCCAGTTGCCAAGGTCGGCGCGTTGTTGCTCACCACTGGGTCTCGAGATTCATTCAGTGTCATCTGGAGCCTGGTTTTTGCACACTTGAATTCCTCGGTTAGACTGGTGAGGGGCAGCTTGAGGACACCATCTCCATAGAGGCCTATGGTGGTAAGGCATCGTGGAACTCCGAGCCACTTCTTTAAGTAGCTCGTGGCTCCTCTTTCCATCTTCTCCACTGTTGAGATTGGAACCTCATACACTGCTAGGGGCCACAACACCCGGGGTAGGAGACCAAACTGCAGACACCAGGCCTTTAACTTTCCAGGTAGCTGGGTGTTGTCGATGGACTGTAGGCTACTACTGATGTCTTTGCGCAGCTGTTGCACCTGGTCTTTGTCCTTCAGGCTTGCATCATACCACCTTCCAAGGCTTTTTACCGGCTGCTCAGACACTGTTGGGATTTGGTCATCTCCGATGAAGAATTTCAGGTCACAGAGTACTCCCTTCACAATCGAGATGCTGCGTGACTTGGATGGTTTAATCTTCATACGGGCCCAGCTGATGTTCTCCTCGAGTTTTCTGAGCAGTCTCCTGGTGCATGGGACAGTGGTGGTCAATGTTGTAATGTCGTCCATGTAGGCTCTGAGTGGAGGGAGGCGAAAACCAGAGTCGACTCGCTGTCCACCAGCAACCCATTTTGAGGATCTGATGATAACCTCCATTGCCATTATGAATGCCAATGGAGAAATGGTACATCCCGCCATTATACCTACATTCAGGCATTGCCATGAGGTGGTGAACTCTGAGGTGGTGAAGCAGAACTGCAGATCCTGAAAGTACGACTTCACCAGGGTTGTGATGGTGTCCGGTATGTGGAAAAATCTGAAGGCAGACCACAGGAGTTCATGGGGCACAGAGCCAAATGCATTGGCGAGGTCGAGGAAGACTACATGGAGGTCCCTTTTCTCCACCTTGGCCATTTGGATCTGGTGCCAGATCATGCTGGAATGTTCCAAGCAGCCAGAGAACCCTGATATTCCTGCCTTCTGTACAGATGTATTGACGTACGCATTCCTTTGCAGGTACTCGGCCATCCTCTGGGCAATGATCCTAAAGAAGATTTTACCCTCGACATTCAGTAAGGAGATTGGGCGGAATTGGCTGATGTTCACTGCATCCTTCTCCTTAGGGATCAGGACCCCGCCTGCCCTACGCCACACTTTGGGTATTATCTTCTTTTGCCAAGCTGTTCTCATAAGCCTCCAGAGGAACCTCAGAACGTCTGGTGCGTTCTTATACACTTTGTACGGGACTCCATTTGGCCCCGGGGCTGATGCTGTTCTTGCCCTTCGAACTGTGTTTTCCACCTCTTTCCATGTCGGAGGGCTGGTCTCAATATGATGTTCCGGGGGTTCAATGGGTGGGATATCTGATGGGATGGCCAGATGTTCATGTCGCTTTGAGTCAAAGTTTGTTGTTCTCAGGTGCTCTTCTAAGTCTTTCTTTGTTGTTTTTAGAACTCCACTTTTTTCCTTCGTGAAGAGACTTTTAAGGAACTTGAAGGGATCTTTATAGAATCGAGTTCTAGTTTGTTCTTTCTTCCTTCTGCGCTTCCGTAGGTTCTCTGCTCTACGGAGGGATGCCAACCGGGTTTTGATGTCAGCCTGAAGTGCCTCTATGCCCTCCTTTTCCACTTCCGAGGCTTTCTTCCACTGTTTCTTAAGCTGTCTCCTTTCTTGAACTCGAAGTCACAGAGTTCGTTGCGCAGCGCGCTAACCACGGCGCCACCGCTCTCGGCATTTACAGCCTGTTCACCCACCACACGCACACAGTGACACGTGTGGGGGTGTGTGTGTATGTGCACTGTGAATTTTCGGTACTTTCCTAGACCCCGCCGAGATATATATAAGCGAGCCAAGGTTCCTGGTTGTGAGTGCTTATTTCATTATATGTTTTTTTTAATTTCCACTGCGGAACTGAAAGCAATTTGCTGCCATCTCGGCTGGACGAGAAGAGCAAAGGCAACGGCACTTGAACGGACCCCAACGAGTCACAACTGGGGGTGACTTCAAGGGATTCGGGGACTAAAAGCATCTGGGAGAAGGGGAACTTCCTCTGCGCAGGTAAGGCTACCTAATGTTTGAGTGCGTGTGTGGTTGTGTGTGTGTTGTTGTGTGTGTTGTTGTTGTGTGTGTGTGTTTGATTCCCGCTCACGGCCAACACCGGTGACGATTATTCTGAACCTGTTCTAGGTCTCCTCCTCTAGGTCGACTCAGCCTCAAATGAGTACCTGGTGCGGTGTGTAAACATCGCCACTGGGGAGACAAAGGCGGCCGGGCGTGGTGCTGGCCACCCACCCCCTCCTCTGTCGTTCCGGTCTTTATAGGTGCTACTCGCTAACAGCACTTGCCCCAACAGTTTGTTACAGGCTACACGGGGGATCTTTGTCTGTTTTTGGTGAGAGCGGTGGTGCAGTGCTTAGCGCGTAGCGGTGATGCCACTCGTTCTGACACCGTGGCCTCGACTAAGCATGGGCGCATATTGGTATCTGAAACCTTTTCATTCGTGGGCCTCCCCTAGGGTGACTCGGCGTTAAACGATGGGATTCTCTGGTGGTGTCTGCGTGTGAAACATCAGCAGCGCCTCGTGATGTGCCGTGCATCCCTAAACGGCACTTGCCCCAACAGCTCGTTGAGGCTATAGGGCGGGGGGGGGATCTTTGTCTTTGTGATGTGTGTGTTGAACTTCTTTCGCACCGTACGTAGCCAAACCCCGTTGCTCATGGGGGAGAAAGGATACACAGGAAAGAAGCAAGTAGTGAGCTTTCTCTGTCAAGAAATTTGTTTTGTTTTCACATCAAATCGGTGTCGCAATTGTTCTGAACGTACGCGCGCGTGCCACTCCTTGTTGCTAAATCCACTGCTGGATGAGTGGCTGCCGTGTGCATTCGTCAGTGCGTGTGCCACAGCGCGTGTTGTTTTATGTTTCCCAGCGAAGGGCGACTGCGTTTGTCGTCGGAACAAACAGCTATCGTGCTGTGACGGGTCCACCTGAAGACGGAAGCTTGTTCTAGATTTGAAGCTTTCGTGACTGCAAATATTCATATTCTTATGTTTTTTTTTTAGGTTTTTTTTTACCGAAAAAACCTAAGAATACGGAAGCTTGTGTTGCCTCTGAAACGTCGTGATTTTTATAAAAAATGTATTTTACTTTTATTAATTTAAATCTACATTTTTTATCTACGTGACTTTACCGAAAAAACCTAAGAATATGTCGGGCACGACGTTGCCACCGTAGGTTTAACCAGCCCTCTGGGTTGTTCGCAATGCCCTGTTGTTAACTCCACTGCTGGATGAGGGCAATTGCCACGTCGTGATTGGGGGGGGGGGGGGGGCTCACTGTGAAGTTCTCAATGCGATGTCATTGTCAGAGCTCGCGGGTGCGTCTCTACGCAGCAGTGTTTTCGTCGACGTTTCGGGCAATGGTCCTTCTGCACGGAACATGAATTGTGCTTGTGGATCATTGTGTCGATCGGGGCGGGGGGGGGGCATTGCAGAACAACAACAACAACACCGTGCGGCGTGAGTGGCGTTTGCTGCGGGACACGTAAACGTGCAACAGCTGTACTCAACAATACAGTCGTACTGTGGAGGGGTGGGTCCACATGTCTTGTGGTCCCCATTTAATTCTATGAAACTTATTATTTTTGTTTGAAATAAGTGTTGTTTAAAACAGAAATGAACGTCGTGTAAAGGGATAAACAAAAAAAATTGGTAAATTAATTGGGGGTCACAAGACATCTGGACCATCATGTGTACGCAATGCACACAGAGCTTGTCAAGGTGTATATGTATCAATGTGCATGGTGTTGGACCAGATGACGCCAAAAGGCACACGGCCTTTTGGTTCAACCCATGTGAGACTAGGCTCTAAGGAAAGCTGTTTCGGGTGTGGATCAATCAACTTCAAGGACAGTGCATACATTATCAGAGTTATGTTTTTTTGTTTGTATTATGACTGCAGGTATTGTGGTCTATGCAAACATGACTCATCGTAAAAAAGGTGTCAGTTGTGTTGCCAGATAAAAGGGTAAAAAAACAATTATATTTTTTACTGGCAAATGAGGTACCAAAGGTATGGCACTGATAAGGGGTTGACAGCTTCGGTGTATGAGTGTTAAGAGATTACAGTGGCAGCATAAGTCGGCGTGGTGGTCAGTGCACCGCGCTCCCACTTCACGTTCCCGACTCCAGCGTCGGTTGATTCCAGTCCACGCCTAAAATCCAATGGGCAAGTTGTGGTGAAGTATGGTCAAAACCCCCTCACCGTAACAAACCCCACCCCCCCCCCCCCCCCCCCAAGATATTATCACAAGAGACAGACGGCGATTTGCAAAAGATAATGAACCTCAGCTGGCTGTCACCCCCGCAAGAGAGAGATCCCGGTGCGGCGTGTGAACGTCAGCACTGGGGGAGACAAAGGTGGACGGGCGTGGGTTGTCCCCCCCCTCCCCCCGGCCACACCACCACCAGCCAACACCATCGTACGCTGTGCCAGCTGCTGGCAAGCGGCCCTTGCCCCCACAAGTCTGCTGAAGGCTATACGGGGGACCTTTGTCTGTGTAAGTGCACACAGGTCACCTGGAAATCCCCCCCCCCCATTCACCCATTCACGTACGCAGGCTTCTGTCATCTTCCACCACGGGGAAATGAACTCGTAAAGGTGCCGCTGTTCCGACGTTTGAGGAACTCTTAGCCGGACTCCGGGTCACGCTCAACCTTTAGTCCAGGGTGTGTTTAAACTGTGAACGATTTTGATTTGTGTTGAGTGGGGAACACAGGAGCTCCGCCTGCCAGTCACCTCCGGTCATTCTGTGGCCCCTCTGTGTATAATAGAGGCTTCTGGCTGTTGCCTGATGATGCCGGTTGTAATTACTGGCAAAACGTCGAACTCGGATTGTAAATGTTGTGGATTAGCTCTCCAACACACCGGTGTAGTGCTGTACGAGTAACGAATTGGCACGTTCTGTTTACGTGGCAAACCTTACGAATTGGCTGTGTCGGGTGGTGGCGGGTTTAACGACACATTTATATTTACGCGATCTAACCCCAAAAAAACCACGAGAGCTATACGGGGAACCTTTGTCTTTGTGTAAGGAGAGCTGGCAGGGTGGGTCTTGTCTGGCCTAGTGCGTCTTAAATGCGACCCTATGGGTTTGTGTTACCAGTACGTAACGCACGCTATAAATAGTAGAGGCGAGCTCAGTGTATGTGAGTCAGAGAGGCATGCCAGAGACACGCCATTGGCACAGACGCCATGGGAGTGGAGCGGCCGTCAAGCCCTGCAAGCCACCTGAGTTCGATTCCCGGGCCCGGCTATAAACTAAACTAAAACGATGCTTCTACGACGTTGTCTGCAACGTGCTGCTCGCAGCAGACATCACGGCTAGCGCGATTTTCACCTGAAGACGATGGCTTGTGTTGCGATCGAAACGTCGTGATTTATTTTGTTTCTTTTCTACCTACGCGATTTTACCGAAAGAACTACAGAGTATGGATTCCTGCAGTCACGAAAGCTTCAAATCAAGATTAAAACTATGCTATTGTTATTTTACCAGGTAAGGCCCACTGAGCTATGCCGCTCATTTTGAGAAGGGACCTGGCTTTCACGAATGATAGATCAGCGAAGTGGCTTATCGCGTGGAAATTTACATCAGCCCAATACTCTAAACGCGTGGTGATGTTGATTCTAAATGTGGAGGGGAGAACCGGAGGACCCGGAGAAAAGTCCACGCGACCACACTCCAAATATCCAGGCATCGAGGTCGGGATCGAACCCACCAACTCCTGTGTACCAGGCGAGGTAGTTAACATCTCACCACCAAAACATCAGTGGCGAGTAGAATCTGAACCGCCCCACTCCGGGACATGCTCTTTCATCAGCCCGCACCGACCGGCGTGGTGAAGTATGGTTAAATCACTGACACGGTGTGGGGGGATGCCTTCGTCCAGCAGTGGATTGACAAAGTAAAAAAAAATTTTACCCACGTCACTTTACCGAAAAAACCTAAGAATAAGATTGACAAAGTGTTGGAGCGCAGATGGACTAGGTTGGCACCGTTGTTACGGTAACGGCAGGTGAATGTGGACTCACATTGGCTCCAACATGCACTTTGACACTTTTATAGCTGGCGGAGGGGAATAGGGGAGCGAGTTGAGGTCACAGCAGACAACGTGTACTACTGTCGCCTGCATAACAAAGACAACGACCCCCGTGTAGCCTGTAACAGACTGTAGGGGCAAGTGCTGTTAGCGAGCAGCACCTATGAAGGCCGGAACGGCACACGAGGGGGTGGGTGGCCAGCACCACGCCCGACCGCCTTTGTATCCCCAGTAGCGATGTTTACTACACACCGAACCAGGTTCTCATTTGAGGCTGAGTTGACCTACGGGAGGACCAGATCTGTTTGAGATATTCGTCACGGGTCAGGAGTGCAGTGCGCTAACCACTGCACCACCACTCTTGCCCACCCCCCTCCAAAAGGGGCTGTACATGCACATCCCCTTCGATGGGAACATAGAAGTAGAGTACAACATGGACCACAACGTAGCGCCGAGTCTCGGCTCAGACTCCAGCGCAAACGAATACATAATTGCTTCGATATGAACGAGGATATTGACGTCGAAATTTTGGCAAGACATCAAGTTTCGCTTTTCTGCCAAAGTTCCCGTTTCTGCTGATGGAACTGCCACGTTTCACTTGGTAGGGTAGTGGCGCTGCGCCTGGGGCACTCGTGGTGTTTTGATTCCATCAAAGGTTTTATCCAGGCTCATCACCTGCTTGGCTTGCCGAGTTCAGTTCCCGGCCACGGCTAACATCAGTGGCGGCAGAGTCGTCGTCATCAACCGGTCCTGGGTGGCACTGCCCCTTCCCCCACGCCTCTCCCACAACTTCACCAAGCTGCACCGATAAGCGTCAAGTATGGTCAAACCACGGCCATGATCACAATGCCACTGGGAGGCCCTGTATCCAATGGTGGAGTTGCTGTCACACAAATCAAATCTCTGAAATGATCATTCCATCATTTCCGGTAACTCTAGAAATACTGTGTGAATATGTGTGTGCAGACGCTGCGCTCACAACCAAAAACAGTGGCGCATGTTTGAACCGGTCCTGATCCTCCCCGAGGTTGACTCAGCCAAAAACCCACGACGTGTCTCCGCAGCCTCCTTTGAAGCTGGCTGAAGGATGTGTTTTTGTGTTTCGATCCAACCCGGAGATAAGAGGGATCCGTGAGTCGGTAGTATCACAATTGCTGTGCACATGATACTCAATTTTACATCCGGTTAGGACCAGATTTTGCAACAGCATCATTTGCGCTATCTGCATCACTAACAGTAGTGAATTCGTGGTTGCGCCAAAACATTTTGCAACTAAATGCTGACAAGACCGAAGCCATATTCATCGGCTCCCCTCTGCATCTTTCTAAAATTGGTTCGTCTCGTTTGTTGATTGATGGTCACGATGTCAGTCCCACACGGGAGCTCAGTAACCTCGGGGTTCAGTATGAACGGTCATTATCCTTTGAGGCACAGATATCTAAGGTGCTCCAAATGTCATTTTACCACCTGAGAAATATTGCCAGAATGCATCGCTTCCCGTCACCTGCTGACTTGGAGAGACCGGTCCATGCTGTTGTGTTGTCCCGAATCGACCAATGCAAGGCCTCACTGGCTGGGATGCCGAGCGAAGTGCTGTGCAGACTCCAGCTCGTTCAGAATGCAGCTGCTCGAGTGCTCACATCACGTGCACCGTTACGTCAGCACATTACACCAGGTCCTCCATCTCTTCATTGGCTACCGGTCAAATTCCGAGTGGATTTTATGATACTGCTATGAACTTATGAGGCTTTAAATGGGCTCACCCCACATTGCTTGCAGGAACTAATAAATGTGTATGTTCCATCAAGGTGCTTAAGATCTTGTGATCTCCAACTACTCAGCACTCCCAGGTCTCGGTTGCGCTGTTTTGGCGATCGGTGCTTTTGTTAGCGTGGCAACCAAACTATGGGACGCCTCGCCACTTGAAATCAGGGCAATCAGAGTCGGTAGATAGATTTAAGTCCGCTTTGAAACCCCATCGCTTTAAAGTGGCCTTCCCTCTTTACTTCGGTCGGTTGCCCCTGGCTCTGTTTTTGTTTCCTGCTTTTCATGCATTGCGTATCGTGATCCTGGGATGAAATGCACATTCTACATTTTTATTATTATAGGAGGTGGAGGAAGAGGAGGAGGAGGGAGTCATGGACATGAACGGGGAGTTCTCTGTGGGCGCCGAGGAGGAAGCTCAGATGGAGGCTCCGCAAGTGTGCCCGGAGAAAACTGTGGAGGACTGTTCGGTGGACCTCTCGGACGAGGGCACCGGGCGGGCGATGTACGTAAAGGGTCCCAAGATCACTCGCGGAGACTCCGCGGGGACGAGCGCACGCAACGGCTGGAGTACGGGCGGCACGGAAACCATTCCCGGTATTCCCGAGAGGGTCCCAAGGCGCATCCCGCAGGTTTGTCCCGAGGACGAGGGGCGGGAAGCCTCGGAGAGCGCTCCGGAGGAAGAAGCAGCCGGAAGGTTTCCGCGGGACGGCCGCAAAGCGACGCCGCGGGGGGATCGGGAAACGTCGCCGGGAGCGGCGGACGGAGTCGCCGCTGCCACAGACTCGGCGGCGAGGGATCCCGAGGGGGGGCCGTCGCCGGCGCCCGACCCGGGGACCGGTGGCGCCGACGCCACCAAGCCGTGCGGCAACTGGTGAGAGAGGTGGCGCGTGCCGGGAGTCCGACGGTCAACTCGTCTTTAGCCGCTTTCCCGTTCCGGGAAGGTCTGCGGGTCGCAGGGTTGGTGGGTGTCCCGCTCACCGCCGTATCTCGCGACACGTGAGCCGATTCGGCGTTCGTTTTATTTAGAGATGCGTCGCAGCGCCCGTTGTTTTTTTAATTCGTTGTGCTCACCGCAGAGAACTGTAGCAGCACGACTGCGCTGTATGACAGCTGGCGCCAAACAGCGCCGCGCACCCTCCCCGTAGCCCCTTGTGGGAGCCGTGGTTCCAATTATTGGAATCAGAATTTGTATTTATACTGGAGGAATCGGATGAGCTATGAAGATATTTTTTTTACAGATGTCCAGTAGGGACGGGTAACAACGTTACAACAACAAACAACATAAAAACATGTTATGGCTCACGTGTGCACTTCATCGGAACGGAACAGAGAGGAAAAACTTAATGATGTCCAAGTACGTCTTCGGAATGGGAAAGGGTTAGGAATAATAGTCGTAATATTAGCAGTCATAATAATTAATTATTCAGTACTATTCGGACCCCCAGATTGTATTGCGCAAGGCTATCGCAAAGATGTTCACGACCTCACCTGGCGTGCAGGTGGTCGTTGGTTCGATTCCGACCCTGACGCCTGCTGCTGTATATTTGGAGTTTGCGTGTCTCTCTCTCTTCCCGTGGTCACGTGGATTTTTCCCAGGGTCCTCCGGTTTTTCCCTCCACACATTTGCAATCAACTTCACCACGCGTTTCAGAGTATTTAGCTGGCACTATAGATTTTGGCACGATAAGCCCACTTCGTTTGAGCCACCGTTTGTGATGGGCCGGGTCGCTTCTGAAAAAGACGCTACACAGCTCGGTGGGGCCTTACCTGGTCAAGTAAAAAATAGTTGAGTTTAGAATTAGTAACACTCCTCTCTGCTACTGGCCACATAGCGCTGCTGCTTGCGTCATCAGAATCAGAATAATTTATTTCGACTTTCAGGAGGAATCCGATGAGTTATGAAGCTCTTTTTCAGAGATGTCCAGTTGGGGCACGGGGTGAGCGAGTGACAACAACAACAACAACACAAAAGAAACCCGCTGGGAGCGCAAAGTCTAGGGACGCGAAGCAAGCCACTAAAAAATAAAGTATATAAGTAACAAATTCAGTGTGGCCTTTCCTGGTAAAGTAAAAAAGAACGAATTTTTATGAGTTTAGTTTTTATAGGCAGAGGCTGCGCTCCCGCGCCACGTTGGGGTCTCATTTATTGATTGGTCACGCGGACGGTCCCGTTCAGTCAGCCGTGTGGCGACGTCGCGTCGAGGCTCACCGAGATCCGTCGAGACGCACGGAGAGTCGTAGAGAGGTTGGTGGTGTACGCAGAGTCCGCGTGTTCCCGTTCACCCCGCACGCCCCCCCCCACCACGGCCACCAACACCGCTGACGATTATCTGAAACGGGTTCCTGTGCCTCCCCTAGGTCGACTCAGCCTCCATTGAGTACCTGGTGACAGTGTGTAGTAAACATCGCCACGAGGGAGACAAAGGCGGCCTGGTCGTGGTGCTGGCAACCCACCCCGTCGTGTGCCGTGCCGGCCTTCATGGGTGCGACTCGCTAACAGTACTTGCCCCAACAGCCTGTTGAGGCTACACGGGGGGTAGCTTTGTCTTTTGTTTGTCCCCGTGTCACCCCGCAGTCGGCATCTGATCGCCGTGAGCAACCTGTCCCTGCACGAGACGCACTGCTTCAGGAACCTGCTGGTGTGCGCGCGCTGTGAAGAGCGCGTGCCTCGCGCAGAAATGGAGGAGCACATGCAGAGCGAGCACACGGAGGTGAGGCAGCATGGGGCAGCACGGGGCAGCATGAGACAACATCAGACAGCACAGGGCAGCACGAGCTGCTCCCGATACGACGTAATTTTGAATGCTCTGTGTGTGAATGCGCACGTGTGTGCGTGCCTGGTACGGTGTGTTCAAATCATCAACAATGGGGAGACAAAGACGGGCGGGCAGGGTGCTGTCCACCCACCCCCTCGTGTGCTGCACTTGCCCCGGCAGTCTGTTTGAAGGCTACGCGGGGGATCTTTGTCTTTGTGCGTGCGCCGCAGGTGACGTGTAAGTGTGGAAAGGCCCTGGAGAGGTGCAAGTTGGAAGATCACGTGGTGAGTTGCGCGCTGTGTCCAGGCCTCCGTCTGCCGGGCGGCATGGAGGAGGCTGCAGCGACAATAATTATGATTCTATAATAGTTGTATTATAGTAACAGCGATAGAGGCACCCTCCTTTACGCCCGGGCGTCACGGAGCCGATTTACGCGCGGTAAATCCCATCTCATGTCAACACTAAACTACTCTGGATTTTCTCTTCTTCTCAACTAGAGTTGATGGTCGATTATCCAGCACCGCGCGATTATCCGGCTTGCAACGTTATCCCGCGGTTCCATTGCTGCCCAGCTAATGCTGCTGCTGCTGATACACTTGGGTGATGCCCATCTCCAAACCTTGATAAAGAGTTTCCCTTTAGAGGCTGACTCCTTTGCCTGATGACGACCGCTTGTGTTGTGATCAAATCGTCGTGATATTTTTATTCACTTTATTTTTATGATCAAATTTATCTACGTGACTATACCGAAAGAAACAAAGAATATACTCACACAGAGACACGTAGACTACTCACGCAAGACTCACAGACTCACACACAGAGACCCATAGAGACCCACACAGAGACCCACAGACTCACACAGCAGAGACCCACACACAAATCCAAAATGAAGCTTGCCAAGAGGCAGAACGACTTGGTTTCAAAACACGTTGGGGGCATCTCCATGAAATGCTTTCGACGCAAACCACGTGCGAAATCTGGAAAACCGTCAACCCTTCCCCCGCCGGCCCCACCGCCCGGCAATCCTCTCCCCCGCGCCGCCCCGCCAGGTCCAGGAGTGCCCGCGCCAGGCGGCGTTGTGCCGCTACTGCGGGCTGGAGCAGCCGCGCGCCACCACGCGGGAGCACGAGGACTTCTGCGGCGCTCGCACGGAGCGGTGCGCCGCCTGCCTCGTCTATGTGCAGAAGCAGGACGAGGAGGAGCACCGGCTCACGTGCCCCGGGCACCCGGTGGCGGCCCGCGACCCGGCCCGTGCCATCACGGACGCGGCCAACGCCTCCCTGGCCGCCCTGAGAGCTCTGCACGATGACCCCAACGTGATGTCTGAATATGAAGAGTTCCTGAAGCTCCTGGACAGCGACGATGGTGAGTGACGGTTATAAAAGTACAAAAAACTATAAAATGTTTATTTCGCCAGATGAGGCCCCGTTGAGCTGTGTAGTTCTTTTTCAGAGGTGATCTGGGTTCACAAATGACAGCTCAACAGAGTGGCTTATCGTCACGTGGAAATGTACAGCAGCCAAATACTCTAAACGCGTGGTGATGTTGATTATTAATGTGGGAGGAAAAATCAGAGGACTCGTAGAAAGTCACACGCGACCACGGGAAGAGAGACACGCTAACTCCAAATATAAAGCAGCAGGCGTCAGGGTCAGGATCGAACCCACGGCCTCCTGTATACCAGGCAAGGTAGTCAACATCTCCTAGCCACCGTGATGATGATGAGGGAGAGACACGCAAACTCCAAATATACAGCAACAGGCGTCAGGATTTGGATCGAACCCACGACATCCTACACACCAGGCGAGGTAGTCAACATCTCCTAGCCACCACGGCGCCCCTAACGGCGCGACGCTGCCGCCCGCAGACGAAGATGAGGAGGGGAGCCCGTTGGGCGGCAGAGCGTCGGCCTCCAGCCTGCGGGAGATGATGATGACGGCGGCGGCGGCGGCGGCCCAGTTCACCATGCCGGGGCTGCCATCCTCCACGCAGGGAGGGGGGGGCGCGGAGGAGGAGGAGGAGGGGGGAGAGGCCACGCAGCTCCTCCTGGAGGACGACCAGGAGCTGCTGCCGTGCGAGTTCTGCTCCAAGCCGGTGCCGGCGCACGAGCTGGTGCTGCACCAGGTGAGAGGGGGGGGGGGGTGTGAGGGGGGAGCTCGGGTTGGATGCATGGGGGACGCATGATGAAACTCGAGGACATGCATGCACCAACGCAAAGATCACCTCTCGTGTCGTCATTCACAGGCTGTTGGGGCTGTTAGCGAGCAGCACCTGTGAAGGCCAGCACTGTGGCACACGAGGGGGTGGGTGGCCAATGCCACGCCCGGCCGCCTTTGTCTCCCCCAGTGGCGATGTTTACTACACACCGCACCAGGTGCTCATTTGAGGCTTGATTTGGCGAGGTGTTAACTACCTCGCCTGGTGTACAGGAAGTCGTGGGTTTCAATCCCGACCCTGACGTCTGCTGCTGTATATTTGGATGTTCTCCCCGTGGTCGAGTGGCTTTTTTTTCCCCTCCACGTTTAGAATCAACATCACCACGCGTTCAGAGTGTTTGGCTGCTGCTATACATTTACACGTGATGAGAGCCACTTCGTTGAGTTATCATTGCTGATAGCCAGGCCGGTTCTGAGAAAGAGCTACACAGCTCAGTGGGGCCTTACCTCGTAACATGACAATAATAATTTTATAATTCACAGTTTTTTTTATAGTTTTGAGTTGACCTACAGATGCACTCATCAGGCTACACCCCGAACGGTGAGCATTCACGTTGCCTTGAGCCTCCCTCCCTCCCTCCCCGACCCGCCCTCTCGCAGAGTGGATGCAACCCGGACGTCGCTCACGCCCGAGTTCGATACTCGAACGGGGTGCCAACCTCAGGTCCCTCGCCGCCAGCAGCAGCAGCAGCAGCGCAGCCTCCGGGCGAGCAGCTGCCGTGCCAGTACTGCTACGAGCCCGTGGCGGCTCCCCTGCTGCAGGCTCACCAGGTGTGTGTGTGTGCGCCCACCAGGTCTCATTTGAGGCTGAGTCGACCTAGGGGAGGTCCACAAATACAGATTCCCCCCCCCCCACCATCGCCGTATAGCCCGGTACGAACTGTTGGGGGGTAGCGGCGAATGGTCTGCCTGTTTATTTACATAGTGGGTTGTACGCCACGTTGTGTATGTCGGTGTGTGTGTGTCGGTGTGTGTGTGTCGGTGTGTGTGTCGGTGTGTGTGTGTGTCGGAGTGTGTGTGTCAGTGTGTGTATCGGTGTGTGTGTGTCGGTGTGTGTGTGTGTCGGTGTGTGTGTGTGTCGGTGTGTGTGTTTGTCGGTGTGTGTGTGTGTCGGTGTGTGTGTGTGTATGTCGGTGTGTGTGTGTGTGTCGGTGTGTGTCAGTGTGTGTGTCAGTGTGTGTGAGTCGGTGTGTGTGTGTTGGTGTGTGTGTTGGTGTGTGTGTCGGTGTGTGTGTCGGTGTGTGTGTCGGTGTGTTGCGCGATCAGTGTGGGGAGCGGTCGCGTGGGGGTCAGCGTGCCGCGCTACGAACCCGGCGACCCGAGTTCAATTCCCGCTCACGGCCACCAACACCAGTGGCGATTATCTGAACCGGTCCTGGGCCTGCCCTAGGTCAACTCGGCCTCAAATGAGCACCTGGTGCGGTGTATGAAAAGCATCGCCACTGGGGAGACAAAGGCGGCCGGGATTGGTGCTGGCCACCCACCCCCTCGTGTGCCGCGCCGGTCTTCATAGGTGCAGCTACTCGCTAACAGCACTTGCCCCGACAGTCTCTTAAGGCTAAACGGGGGATCTTTGTCTTTGTTGCAGGATCGGTGTCTGAAGGAGCAGGAGAGTGCTTTCGCAAGGCTTCGTAATCAGCACCCAGTGTGGGCGCCCAGCAAGGAGGAGCCCGAACCGCTGGGTAAATTAGCAAGCGCCTAACGACCTGGAAATTAAAATGGATTCTTAGCTTTCGCGTGTGCAGGCGGTGTAACTGCACCACCCGTGGTAGTGTAGCGGTTGGCGTGCTGCGCTACGAACCCGGCGACCCGAGTTCGTCACCGGTGACGATTATCTGAACCGGTCCTGGGCTTCCCCTAGGTTGACTCCGCCTCAAATGAATACCTGGTGCGGTGTGTAAACATCGCCACTGGGGTGACAACGGCGGGCGGGCGTGGAGTTGGTCATCCACCTCCTCGTGTGCTGTGCCGGCCGACATCGGTGCTGCTGACAGCACTTGCCCCAACGGGTTTTTGCAGGCTATACGGGGATTTTTGTCTTTGTGTTTGGCACAGTAAGGGGGGACCACAGGTGGTGCATCTACCAGTGGCCATCTCAGTCAGTCAACCCATGGCACCTGCTGGGTCTGTCCCGTGACCTCCTGCCAGCAGAGAGCCTTCGACGCTTCACGTGGCCTCAAAGTGCACCTGGCCTGGCACAGGCGCCGTGGTGACGTCAACGCCACTTGGTGGCGAATGGCGGTTGTTGCCGTGTAGGAGCGGGAGTGTGGTGGAGGAGTGGCAGTGCCGTGGTGAGCGCTGCACTGCGCTACGAGCCTGGTGACCTGACTTACATTACTGCTCGCGACCAATAACAGTGACGAATATTCGAACCGGTCCCGAGCTTCCCCTAGGTCGACTCGGTGTTAAACGAGTACCAGGTGTAGTAAACATCGCCACGAGGGGAGACAAAAGGGGCCGGGCGCGGTTCTGGCCACACCACCCCGGCGTGTGCCGTGCCGGCCTTCGTAGGCACTGCTCACGAACAGCACTTGCCCCAACAGTCTGTTAGAGGCTATGAGGGGACCTTTTGTCTTTGTCTACTCCTGCAGACATCGGGGTGACGACGGAAGCAGCAGCGCCGGTCGCCGATGAAGGTGAGAGACGCGTCGCCTTGAATTGAGGGGTTCATTGTGCCGGGTTCATTACACGTTCGGGATTTCTAGCCTCTGCGATGTTTGTGTGTTTGCGTGCTGGGATACAAAAAAGTATAAACGGTCTGTTCTCCTATACCGCCGCGTGGTGTTCTCACGACGCGAATCGGATAGAAGGCGATCGAGTGAACGTTACTACGTCGCAGGAATAAGCGGTCGTGCGGCCGCCTCGGCGGAGCGTCATCGCACGAGGCCTCGGGATGTGGTGGATGCTGCCCAACACGCGCCTCGGTCTTTGTTCGGCCTGCGTACGCACCTCGCGCGTTTTATATATATATCATGATAGTAACGCGATTTTTCCACAAGGGGTTGTTCTTCAGGAGCGCAACTACTACTGCCGCGTTCTCGGAGAACAGACCGTACAGAGTAAAAGCGAGGGGCGGGGGCCTTCGGATGCCTCTTAGAGAATTCGGTGCCGACTCAACAGCGACTCTGATTCCCGGCACTGTGCGCATGTTTGCCTGCAGAGATGACGGAGATGGCGCCCTCCTCGTCAAGCGCAGGTAACTCGCTGCCCGGCTCGCTGGAGCGTCCCCAACGTGCAAGGTTCACGATGCCGCCTTCAGCTGTTACTCTGAGCCGAGTCAACGTCGAGCGGGACCCTCCCCCCACCGCACCCCCACACTCCCGGCGGACATCCTGAGCCGCTGGCGAAATTCCCTGTTCCCACGATTGCATTGGGGCGGCGACGCGGGGCCCAGCCGGTGGCGCGCTTGCCGGTCGGTGCAGCGATTTGCCGTTCAAGCCTCTTGGGCCGCACTCGGGTTGACGCTGCGGGGGGCGTTAAGCTGAAGTTCGCGTGGCGTTATTCTGAGTTAAGAACAAAAACGATATTTGAACGATCGAGATGGGCTGAGATCGTTACATATCGGGCTGGTCCGTGCCGCTGGCTTGCCCTCGAGGGGAGGCTCGTTTCCACTGACGACCGCCGAGGCCGAAACGGGCAGCGTCGGTGACGCGACCGGCGGTCGGAACGTCGTCTTTTGGACTCCGTTTGTGAGTGGCGCGTTTTGACCGCAGCTCGCTGGTGGCCGAGGCTATTGGCCAGGTGGCAGGCGAAGAAGAAGTCGCGCGGGGTCACGTCCGCCGTGGAGATGGAGCGGTGAAATCGCCTCCCGTGCAGGTGCCGGAGAACGGAGCGTCGCGCCGGGAGCCGTTTCGGAATGGACGGTGGCGGTGACTTGCGGGTTGGGGGGGGGGGAGCGAGAGAGGGGCCTTCATCCAGCAGTGGATAGATCGTGGCCGCTGACGATCATAGTTAATGTTTGTGTCCTGAGTAAATGGGCTTTTGTGTTTTGTTTCTGCAGATGCCGCAGAAACTTCCGTTTCACCAGGAGGTGATGCGAGATTTTTTAAATAAATGTTTGTTTTGTTTTTTTCTAATCTCTTGACGATTCCTCTCGTTCCTCGCTCCCGATGCCAAATTTACGAATCGCCTTTCTCGTCTCTCCACCCCTGAGCTGTGCGGCCGTGGTCACCACCCAGAACAGAACCACGGGGACACTCGCAACCACTCGACGCCCCATTCACTGAGAGGAAGGAGGCATCGTCACAGCAGCGATGATTCGCAACTCCGCGATTATCAACCACCTCAATGTTGCTCTACCTCAACATCAATCGTAGAAGACAGATCTATGGTTTTATACTAAGACCCATAGACTGACATAGAGGGCCATAGACTCACACAGAGACCCATGGATTTACACAGAGGTCTATAGACTCACATAGTGACCCAGAGACTCACACAGAGGTCTACACCACCGCATGGGGGTGGCGGCGGTGGTGGCGGTGGTGGCGGTGGTGGCGGTGGTGGCAGTGGCGGTGGTGGCGGCGGTGGTGGTGGTGGCGGTGGTGGTGGTGGTGGCGGTGCAGCGTCACGAGTCGACATTATCATCACGAACTGCCACCGGGCAGTGCCATGGCGCGCTTGCCCTGCACTCTTTGCGTTTGGTTGTGATGGGGGCGGGAAAATACTTAAATGATCTATCTTGACCTTCGCGGGTTTTAAGAGCCTTTGTATAAACTGGGCAACTCTAACCGGTGAACTCTTAAACCCTGCGACACTTTTGATGTTGTCTCCCCGCCCAGTCGCCCCTGACAAAGAGCTTCTCAGGGGGGCTTTACTCGGTGGGAAACAAACTTCGGATTCTTCTGAACTTTGCCCCAAATTCCCCAGAGGGAGACTAAGAATCGCGCACCTCAACCATCACCGTTGTAATTATTGTTGAACTGGCCAATGGTGTTCATGATAATCATAATAATAATAATCGCTGCTTATCGTCAACGCCATCGTCATCGTTCATGATCATCACCACCGCCGCCCGTGGCAATAACGTGCAAAGGTGTGCAGAAAGGCACGAGGCCCCACAATGCCGTGCACGAATGTCACGTGGACACCACGTCCAGGGCCCCGTTTAGGCTTTTGAGGGGTCGAAGGCTAATAACAATAACGATGCGTTATTATTACATATTGCAAATGTGTACTATGAACTCATCAAGCATTTATTTTCTCATGTAAAAGTAATGAATTCGTCTCTCGAGGTCAATTCGTACACCATAAATCATTCACTCCACTAATTTATTCCAGCAAATAACAATTTCCCTACTGTTCATGCCCCACGTGAATGTTTTTGTTTTTATCTCGCTGCAGATGTCAAGGACATGGAAACGTCCGCTCCGTTTGAAGGTAAGGCGTGGACTTATATGCACACATGCATAATATACAGTGTGTCCTTTAAGTCCCTATCTATTTTAAAACCAAAACTATGTTTATTTTTCTTGGTTCTTTCGGTAAAGTCACGTAAAAGGGAAATAATAAAATAAAAATATTTACTTTTTTCAAATTTTCTTGCTGTGGATTTCACACCTGATGATGATTGCTTGTGTTGCAGTCGAAACGTCGTGAGAATTTTATTGTTTTATATATTTTTTATTTTATTATTTCCCTTCTACGTGACTTTACCGAAAGAACAAGAATATGAATCCCTGTCGTCACGAAAGCTTTAAATCAAAATTTATGTTCATTTTACCAGGTAAGGGCTGTGTAGCTCTTTTTCAGAAGCGACCTGGCCTATCACAGATGATAGCTCGACGAAGTGGGCTTATCACCATCACGTGGACATCTATAGCAGCAGCCAAATACTCTCAAACACGTGGTGACGTTGATGTTGATTCTAAATGTGGAGGGGAAACCCGCAGGAGAAATCCACGCGCCCACGGGGAGAGAGACACGCAGACTCCAAATGTACAGCAGCAAGCGTCACGGTCGGGATCGGGATCGAACCCACGACCTCCTGTATACCAGGCGAGGTAGTCAACATCTAGCCACCGTGATGATGATGAGAGAGAGAGACACGCAAACTCCAAATATACGGCAGCAGGCGTCAGGGTCGGAATCGAGCCCACGACCTCCTGTATGCCAGGCGAGGTAGTTAACATCTCCTAGCCACCGTAATGATGATGAGATAGAGACACGCAAACTCCAAATATACAGCAGCAGGCGTCAGGGTCGGAATCGAGCCCACGACCTCCTGTATGCCAGGCGAGGTAGGTTGGGTTGAGAAACGAACGAACGAAGGGTCCTGAAAAGAAACATATATATACCATTAGTTCAATAAACATTGATCGGGATTCTTACGTACTGCGGCCAATGTAACTGTTGTTTCACTGCCCTTGATGCACCGCCACCGTCCCCGCGGTCCCCTCTCTCAGACCCAGGCTCCGCGTTTTAGCCGACGGCTTCGGGAGGACGAGTCCCGAGCGGAGTGCACTGGAGGAGTCAACGCGCGAGACGAGGGGATGCCGGATGTCTGTGGTTGTGAACTGTGAACCGCGGCCGCGAGTCACGAGCTGTGACCTGCGAGTCGGAGCCCCTCGCGATGTTTCTTTGTTTCGCACTATGGTGGGGCGGCTTTCAGACGCACTCTCTTCTATTAGTGCGTCAGCCTCAACGTGAACCCACAGCCTCAACACTGACACACAGACTCAACACTGACACACAGACTCAACACTGACACACAGACTCAACACTGACACACAGACTCAACACTGACACACAGACTCAACACTGACACACAGACTCAACACTGACACACAGACTCAACACTGACACACAGACTCAACACTGACACACAGACTCAACACTGACACACAGTCTCAACACTGACACACAGACTCAACACTGACACACAGACTCAACACTGACCTACAACCTCAACACTGACACACAGTCTCAACACTGACCCACAGCCTCAACACTGACCCACAGCCTCAACACTGACCCATGTTGCAATCTCGAATGAATCAATTTGTTTTTCAAAAAAATGCACATAATCACAACTGTCATATATCAAAGGCCTCTTTTGAATCGGGCTTTGTATAGTTAATATTTACACGTGAGCATCATTGTCCAAGCCAAAGCACCTTCATGGTTCTGTATGGAACGGGAGTAAGGATTCTGTAATTAGATAATTGTAATTCGTATACTGTATATCTAGAGGTTTGTATTGATTGGTACGAGGGTTTCCATATTGCATGAGATGCGATCTCTATACCGGGCGAGACGAGGGATGCATGCGGGACGAGACGGCTGTTTTGTGCCAGCCCAGGCAACGGGTTGAGTGCTGGATGTGACGGAAGTTCCGTCCTCTCTGTAGCGTGTGGCAAGTATGTGAAAAGCCTGCAGTTCTGCACTGGATGTGCCGGATGGGAAATTGCATTTGACAAATCAGAAGGGGGATGCGGGTTCCGTATGGGATGAGGCAGGTTTTGCCTCGGATGAGACGAGGCTTTTGTATCGTACAAAATGTAACACATCTTTGTTCATGTAACGTTAAAGTCCCTTCCGCTTCTTGATGCTTACCGTAAGGTTACTGTTCACGCAATGATTCTGCCGCTCTGCCCGTACCGAGCGCACGTACGAATGTTGAACTTTCTTTCGCACCGTACGTAGCAAACCGTGAAGCGGCAACTGTTGTTAGCGAGCACCTGTTAGGGGTGGAATGGCACACGGAGTGGCGTCGCGTAGCCGTTACACGCAACCGCGAGCCTTTCTTATTTGACCAGGTACCAGAGGTCGCAACCGGGTACCCGATACCCGTACCCTACCCGATACTCGGCTACCCATACCCGGCCGGGTACCCGTTTGCGACCCTGGTGCGGCCGGGTACGGGTACGGGTAAGGAATCAAAACCCGTTTGCGACCTCTGCCAGGTACGGCCCCCTGAGCGATGTCGCTCTCTCTCGGAAGAGACTTTTGCTACCACAGATGGTAGCTCAACGAAGCGGCTTATCACCACGTGGACATTTGAACCTCATGGCGGGACCCCGTGGACCCATAAGCCCCGGGCTCTCGCATAAACTTCGTTGCGACGTTATTTTACGTCTGTTGAAGGCGAACGGTGCGGGGATCTGTTCCTCTGGACGAGCTCTACACGATGCGCTAATCAAAGTTTAAAAGTTTTGTTTACGACTACGGCAATTTTGGCAACGGCGGGTGCTTGGTGAAGAACGAGAGGATTGATTCCTGGTGGGTGGCGGCGTTTATGTGAGCGGTGTGGGACGGAGTCGTCAAAAATAAATCAATAAATTGCGATTTTCACTTCCGTTTATTCGGGATCCCGGGGTCCCGCCATGAGGTTCATTTATAGCAGCCAAATACTCTAAACGCATGTTTCGAAATGTGGAGGGAGAAACCGGTGGATCCGGAGAAAAATCAACGCAGCTGCGGGGAGAGAGACACGCAAAACTCTAAATATTCAGCAGCAGCAGGCGTCAGGGTCGGGATCGAAGCCACGACCTCCTGCACACCAGGCGAGGTAGTCAACATCTCCTCGCCACCGTAGCGCCCTCATCCAGTTTTGAATCCAGTCTGGTCACCGAAAGCTGCACAAACACCACCGCAGTAAATCTGGTGCTGCACTTCATGTGGCTGAAGTTGCAGCTCTGGTGAGAAGGAGCGGCGCTCCTGCCCGTGCCGGGGATCACCGGGACGAGGAACTCTCGGAGGTTCGATCCGCGGCTTCCTCTTCCGTGGGGCCCGTTTTTTTCCTGAGAGATCCGAGTGGATTCTTCGTCTCGTACGTCGCGTCACTCGTGTGCACGTGGAACTTGTGTCGTGTCACGTGGAACTTGTGTCGCACCGCACGTAGCCACCCGTGCTCATCGGAGGTGCGGGGAGGTGGGACAACAAACTCGACACAAACAGCCACGACAGCCCCCCACTACAGCCCCCCAGCCACCAGCCACGACAGCCCCCCACTACAGCCCCCCAGCCACCAGCCACGACAGCCCCCCACTACAGCCCCCCAGCCACCCACTGCCCCCCACCCCCGGGCTTAGTGTCCCAGCACCGCGTGTTTGCTCTCATGGACCCATTCTCGTCCAAGGTGGTGGTGGTGGTGATTCATGTTGCGCTGATTGTTGTATTTCGTTCGGCTGGGCTTTAATCGATGGGGAAAGTGGCACATTTGGGGGGTGCTATTTTGTTCGCTCGCTTTAAATAAAAGATGATGATTATGAAACCGGTACTGTGTTAAAACAATGTTTGCATTCATTGTTGTACATTTAACACATTTTTTAATTATAGCGCGCACACTTTTTTTTTCACAAGCACAGAAATGACGGTGACTCTGAGGCGTGGGACCGGTAAATGCGCTGTGTATGTGCTGTTTATGCGCTGTGTATGCGCTGTTTATGCGCTGTGTATGCGCTGTGTATGTGCTGTGTATGCGCTGTGTATGCGCTGTTTATGCGCTGTGTATGCGCTGTGTATGCGCTGTTTATGCGCTGTGTATGCGCTGTGTATGCGCTGTTTATGCGCTGTGTATGCGCTGTTTATGCGCTGTGTATGCGCTGTGTATGTGCTGTGTATGCGCTGTTTATGCGCTGTTTATGCGCTGTGTATGTGCTGTGTATGCGCTGTGTATGCGCTGTTTATGCGCTGTGTATGCGCTGTGTATGCGCTGTTTATGCGTTGTGTATGCGCTGTGTATGTGCTGTGTATGCGCTGTTTATGCGCTGTTTATGCGCTGTGTATGCGCTGTTTATGCGCTGTGTATGCGCTGTTTATGCGCTGTGTATGCGCTGTGTATGCGCTGTTTATGCGCTGTGTATGCGCTGTGTATGTGCTGTGTATGCGCTGTTTATGCGCTGTGTATGCGCTGTGTATGCGCTGTTTATGCGCTGTGTATGCGCTGTGTACGCGCTGTGTACGTGCTGTGTATGCGCTGTGTATGTGCTGTGTATGTGCTGTATATGCGCTGTGTATGTGCAGCTACGTGTATACTGTCAGGATGTTTGTGTACATTATTTTCGTTGGAACGAGCCCGATTTTGTAGCCGAGTATGGGGTTGAGCCTGGATAGCTAGGAGTTGTTGGGATGGGCGGTGGCTAGAAAATGTTGACTACCTCGCCTGGTGTGCAGGAGGTCGTGGGTTCGATCCAATCCTGACGCCTGTTGCTGTATATTTCGAGTTTGTGTGTATCTCTCTCTCTCCCATCATCATCACGGTGGCTAGGAGATGTTAACTACCTCGCCTGGTATGCAGGAGGTCGTGGGTTCAATCCAAATCCTGACGCCTGCTGCTGCTGTATATTTGGAGTCTGCGGTGTCTCTCTCCCCGTAGTCGCGTGGATTTGTCTCCGGTTCCTCCGGTTTCTCTCTCCCACATTTAGAATCAACATCACCACGCGTTTAGAGTATTCGGCCGCTATTAATTTCCACGCAATTCTGACAATCCACTTTGTTGACCTGTCATCTGTGATAGCCAGGTCGATTCTGAACAAGAGCTACATAGCTCAGTGGGCCTTACGTGTTAAAATGAAAAAATAGTTAAATTTAGCAAATCGGGTAGTTTATTGGTTTGCGCTGATGTCGTCTGCTGGCCGAGTCGCGATTGAAAATGAGCGTCTTAGCTCCACGGGCTTTACTCGGGGAATACATTTCTTAACAACTTCCTATTCTGCTTGACTCGGCGAGGCTTTTCTGTATCATAGAATCTCACCCAGACCCAGAGGAACGCTGCTGCTGCTGTGCGAACAGAGTGGAGCAATGCAGGCGTCCAGAATACACATCTCAATCATCATCTCCTCCTGGCTTTGACATCCCCTCTGCCCTTCGAAGTCTCCCGTGGAGATTCAACCGCTTCATCAGAACATCAACAGCGGGCTCATGCTGCACCACATCCCAGAACATGGGAAATCAGAGACAAGCCACCGCAGTGTGATTGTGGGTACGCAGACCAAACTATGAATCACACAGTGAACACCCACTGCGTAATATAAGAATAGGTGTTTCACCTTTCTAGCAATAAAACAGTTGTGTTAAGATGTTAAAACACCAAACAGAAACCTTTTGCAAGGAATCCTGTCTGCATTAACCACACACACGTAAAATTTCGATTTAAAGATTTCGTGACTGCAGGGATTCATCTTCTTGGTTCTTTCGGTAAAGTCACGTAGAATGGAAATAATAAAATAATAAAAATTAAACATAATAAAATAATTTCTCCACCTGAGGACGGCTGCTTGCGTTGTGGCCGAAACGTCGTGAGAATTATTTAATGTTTTATTTTTATTATTTTATTATTTCCATTCTACGTGACTTTACCGAAAGAACCAAGAAGACACACACACGTACTTGTGGTGAACATGCAAACAAAACAACACGCTCTGGTAGGATATGATGATGCATTGTCTTTCAAACGGATTGGCACACACCAGAGGCAGCTTTCTTTAGAGCCTCGTCTCAGTGTGAGACCAGGGGACGCCAAAAGGCGAACAGCACAAAGACAATGCCACAATGCCAGGGCATTGAGACACCCGATTGTGGTCTGCGCTCTTTCAATGGAGGAGGAACAGCGGGCACGACACGAACTCTCTCCCTGGTCAAGCCCTCTCGTCATGGCTGTAGCGGCAGGAACCGGACATTGCTACTGAGCTTCTAGAACGCGCATCGCCATTCGCTAAAGATGACAGCGGAGACTTTTAAGTCGTACTACAAGTACAGAAAAGCACACAAAAATGGCAAAAGCCAAACACGTTTTAAAAAGTGCAGCAAATGAAGCAAATAGAAGACGACCACGTAGGCTTTGGTGACCAATATCATCCATAATAGGGTTTTTTTTGGGTTAGATCGCGTGAATAATAGAAATGTGTCGTTAAACCCGCCACCACCCGACACAGCCAATTAGTAAGGGTTGTCACGTAAACAGAACGTGGCCAATTCGTTATTAGGGGCCGTCCATAAATGACGTCACGCACCTAGGGGGTGGGAGGGGGGTTAGACATTTGTGACGATGTGTGACGAGGGGGGAGGGGGGGTTTGAGAAATGTGACGTCACATACAAATGCGCAACTTCAAATAAATATAAATTAAATAACGATTGTTATAACAACACTAATTTTCATTAATTGTCATTAACTATTTGATTATTTAAATTTACTAAGGTCACCTTTTATTTATTTCATGAAGGAGCATTTTGGTTCTCCATGGGAGAATGGAGAAGCATACATTTAGAATGTTTTTTAATGATTGTTATTAAACATTTTGATTCTAATGATTCTACCAGGGCTTTTCATTTTGTGGAATGAATATGTGATTGTTATAATTGTACTCTCCATTTTGCTTCGTTCTACTACAAAGTTTCAAGTATTTTTTTCGTTATAATTACTGTTAAAATTTTTATAATTATAAGAGAGTTTCAATATAATATTCTGAACAACTGCAGTTTTAGTTAGACGTTGAATATTTTAATATGAATTTTATGCAAAATTTCAGCTTTCCAACGCCTCCTTTTTAATAAATGTTTTCTCCTCCGACATCAGAGTGCAGCGCCACATTAAACAGTCCCTCCAGAAAAACGCGGAGTTTTTTGGTGATTGTTGCGGGCAAAAATCGTTGATTATGCGGCACGTTTTCTTAAAAAATGCGATGGAATATGCGGGATATTTATGCAATTTTATGCGATTAAATACGCATTACAATGACAACAGTTTTAGTTTAAAGTGATTTGAAGCATGTTTTATTTTAAAATTTGAAATATGGGTTGGGGGGGGGGGACAGAGCTTTGTGACGTCATATTTGAGGGGGGGTCTGACTCTTTGTGACGCCGTGTGACGAAGGGGGGGAGGGGGAGGTCAAAAAGCGGCCAAAATAGCGTGACGTCATTTATGGACGGTCCCTTATTTCAGCAGCAATGTGTCGGAGAGAAAACCCCCAACATTTACAATCTGAGTACGGCGTTATTATTTTTTAATTGTTATCTTTTAATAATAATTCTTTTGAACAATTATTATCTTTTAATAATTACAAAAATGTAAGTCCACGGCAGAGGAATTCGCGTAAACTTAACAAGATGGCCGCCTGCTCTCAGGGACGGGGCCGCCATTGGGGTGGGGGGGACACACTGAACTAATGACGTCACGTCCTGTATATTGTTTTTTTTTTACACAAAATTATTTAGCATTTAAATGATAAAAAGAAAGGCAAACGGACGACGCGTCTCCTGCACCTATCCGTCTCTCTGTATAAATACAAAAACAATTATTTACTTCGTTGGGGAAGGCTCGCCGGCGGTGACGTCACGGCCGCGCGTGCGCGTTTACGGTGGCGCGCGCAAACGCGAATTTTGTTCCCGCGACCGCCGCAACAGCCCCCCCCTCCTCGCTCGCCGTGCCCCCCACTCCGCCCCCCACCGTGCCCCCCACCGTGCCCCCCACCGTGCCCCCCACTCCGCCCCCACCGTGCCCCCCACTCCGCCACCCACCGTGTCCCCCACCGTGCCCCCCACTCCGCCCCCCACCGTGCCCCCCACCGTGCCCCCCACGACCTCGGGGCCCGGGTCTTCCATGATCTGGGGGGGGCATCAGCGCTGCCGAATCCGTGAGACGCCAACTCGCGCTCACCGTATCCCACGACAATTACCACCAACGACGATCATCGCTGTGCGTTGTTACATCGATTATGTTTGAATCAATGATTCTGCGGTTTGTTGATGTCAAGAGAGCAACACCTGCTGATGTTGTTACATCGAGGTGGTCGAAGGAGGCAGATGATTGCGTCAGGAGTAGCTAGCGGTGTGATGATGCTTCATTCATATGGGTCTCTATGTGGGTATATGGGTCTCTATGTGGGTCTATGTGTCTCTGTGTGAGTCTATGAGTCTATGTGAGTCGATGGGTCTCTATGTGGGTCTATGGGTCTATGTGAGTCAATGGATCTCTATGTGAGTCTATGGGTCTCTGTGTGAGTCTCTGAGTCTCTGTGAGTCTATGGATCTCTGTGGGTCTATGTGAGTCGATGGGTCTCTATGTGAGTCAATGTGTCTCTCTGTGAGTCGATGGGTCTCTGTGAGTCGATGGTTCTCTGTGAGTCAATGGATCTCTATGTGAGTCTATGGTTCTCTATGTGAGTCGATGGGTTTCTATGTGAGTATATGGGTCTCTATCTGAGTCTATGGGTCTCTTGAGTCGATGGTTCTCTGTGAGTCAATGGATCTCTATGTGAGTCTATGGTTCTCTATGTGAGTCGATGGGTTTCTATGTGAGTCTATGGGTCTCTGTGAGTCGATGGTTCTCTGTGAGTCGATGGGTCTATATGTGAGTCTCAGGGTCTCTGTGATTCGATGGGTCTCTATGTGAGTCAATGGATCTCTATGGGGGTCTATGGGTCTCTATGCGAGTCGATGGGTCGGGTCTCTGAGTCAATGGGTCTCTATGTGATCAATGGGTCTCTTTGTGAGTCAGTAAGTCACGATGTGAGTGGTTTTAGTGTGAGTCTGTGTGTCTGTCTATGGGTCTCTGAGTCTGGGTTTCGGTGTGTGGGTCAATGGGTCTTTACGTGACTTGATGGGTCTGAGTGTGAATCTACAGATCCGTCTTCTTCTATGGTTGATGTCGAGAAACATCGAGCTGATGGTTGATGGAACCGGGTGATTGTGGAGTTAGGAGCAGCGGAGTGGTGAATCGTCGCTGTTGTGATGTCTCCTTCTGTGAATGGGGCACCAAGTCGATGTCACGAGTTGCCTCTGTTCGGGGTGGTGTGACCACAGTCTGGGTGGTGTGACCACAGTCTGGGCGGTGTGACCACTGTCTGGGCGGTGTGACCACAGTGTGACCACAGTCTGGGCGGTGTGATCACAGTCTGGGCGGTGTGACCACTGTCTGGGCGGTGTGACCACAGTGTGACCACAGTCTGGGCGGTGTGACCACAGTCTGGGCGGTGTGACCACAGTCTGGGCGGTGTGACCACAGTGTGACCACAGTCTGGGCGGTGTGATCACAGGCTCAGCACGTTGCCCCGTAGAGAGAGTTTGTAATTTCTCCTCAGTGCATCATCATGAACATCATCATCTGCTTCTGCTGCCGTGGTCCGTGCGGTGTTGTTGGCACAGTAGGGGACACGCAGCTGCTGGTGCATCAGCCAGTCATCGCAGTCGGTCTACTCATGGCGCTCCCTGGGTCTGTTCCGTGACCTCCTGCCAGCAGCGAGCCTTCGACACTTCACTTGGCCTCAAAAGAGCACCTAGCCTGGCACAGGCGCCGTGGTGAGGTCACCGCCACTTCGTGGTGAACGGCGGTTGTTGTTGTTGTTGCAGCGGATGCGGTTCGTGGGTTGTGTGGCCGCATGAGCATCAGGGCGGGAGATAGAAGCCAGGGCCATGGTGTGCATGCCCTGTGCGCCCTTCTCGAGGAGGGTGTTTGTGACCTCTCATTGTGAACTTCCCATTTGACTTTGCAGGCTTCGTTCGTCTGAGTTGACGCTTGCACCGTCTCACTCGTCACACGTGATGAGCGATGTATTACGTATTTAGTCATGATCGGTTTGTACACATTTATGATGGCAAGTCGGCCGGGGGGGCGAGAGGGGGGGTTAAGGGGAGGCTTTGTCGGGGGGGATTCATCATTTTAGTTTTCACGACGAGTGGGGAACCCGTTGTTGTTCTGTCACGGAAAATGATTGACAGCTGTCATTGCCATGCTGATCTCACTAAGCTCCTGTACTCAGAGCACATATAGTAACATCTACTTGTATATGTAATAATACAATGGCAAGATAATATGGATTGTGAGGGTTTGTTTTGACATTCAATAGGATTTAAATATATTTCGGCAAATTACATTAGTGGGAGCACGGATTAAAAAGTTAGAGCAACTTTAATTAGACCTTGGGATGAGTCTTTTGTATTTGCTACTGTCATTTCGTCGGTGTCGTTATCCATTATGTATAATCATGAAATGTCTTCTGAACTTCCGCCTTTTGAATTCAATGTTTGTTCGTTTCACGGAAAAACAAATAAGAACGTGTCGCCAGTTCCCCAGCTGTAGTTTCTGTGCCAACGGGCCCCAGCAGCCACGAACGGCAGCAGAGTTGGTGTCGGGGCGGTGCACTGGAGCCCAGCCAGCAGCCAGCCAGCCAGCCAGGAAACTCGAGGCATAGATTCTTGTTCCGAGTAGTATGATTGATTTTATTGAATATAAGCTCTTGTCACGCTTCACCGTGCTGTGTTATGGCAGAGGGTAGGAAGCGTTGGCGAGCCGTGGCGATTGGGATCAACCGCTTTGGCCGTGACCATTTGTCACGCACAGACAGCGAAGAATCTTTGTGCCAAACATGAACTGCTTTTGCTGCCATACACCGCCATCTCAAACGGATCATCTTATCTTCACGTGATTTGTAAAGTGCCTTGTTTGTAATGGTGGCGATGAGGTGAATGAAATAGGTGAGAGGAAGCAATGGGGGCAAATCTGTGATGATGATGCGTGAATTTGGCGAAAGCGAAATTGATGACAGTGACGATAAATGGATCGAATGAGTGGGGTTAATGAGTGGTAGCTGTGTAATGAGAATGTGAAGAGGGAACAGCAACGGTGGTGGTGGTTATGAGGGGGAGATTATAGGAGGGTCGTAGGGTAAGCTAGGTAACCATGAGTGAGTTTTGAGTGAGGAGGGCAAGCTAGTGATGAAAGGTGACTTCTTAATGTGGAGGGGAAGTTTGTTCCAGTGGCCATGATGGGGAGCGCCGTGATCTTGGACCGCCATCGTTGGTCATGCTGCTGCGCCTGCTTGTGCCTTGCGTTGCAGAGATATGATCAGCCCGGAGGGCAGCGTGCCCAAAGCACGGTGGGACTCGCAAGCGAAGCCCCGTGAGTTCAAGTTGCCGCACAGGGGTCGAGTCGGCTCATCGTCACCTCCATCGTCACCTCCGTCGTCACCTTCGTCGTCACCTCCGTCGTCACCTCCGTTGTCACCTCCGTCGTCACTTCCGTCGTCACCTCCGTCGTCACCTCCGTCGTCACCTCCGTCGTCACCTCCGTCGTCACCGCCGTCGTCACCTCCGTCGTCACCTCCGTCGTCACCTCCGTCGTCACCTCCGTCGTCACCTTCTTCGTCACCTCCGTCGTCACCTCCGTCGTCACCTCCGTCGTCACCTCCGTCGTCACCTCCGTCGTCACCTCCGTTGTCACCTCCGTCGTCACCTCCGTCGTCACCTCCGTCGTCACCTCCGTCGTCACCTCCGTCGTCACCTCCGTCGCGGCTGCGTGGTCCGCGCGACGGAACGCCACTTTGTGGGATGTCAAACAGCAGTGGCTGTCCCACGGGAAGTGAATAATAACAAATTGCATAAGTAACAAATTGCATAAGTATGTAAAATTCTTGCCGACTTTTCAACACTAATTGCAAGCAAAGGCACGGCATCAAAATGCACAGTGACCGCCCCCATCCCAGCACTATCCAGGCTCAACGCTGCTCAGCGTCCAGCATCTGATGAATATGGCGGAGGGGGGGGGGGCCCGCGCTTTGTGGGTGATTTGCTCATGTAAACAAAAACAAACAAACTAAAGATCGTAGAGGTCCTTGTGGGATGCTTGATTATGACGACAACGGGGGTTTAATCTTGTTTATTCACTTTCACGAGGCTCGATTTCCTTCTGCTTCGCGACGTTTGTCCACAGAGGCCGTGACGATGGCAGCGAATGTCTACACGATCGGCGGCACCAGGGTGGAGTTCCCGTGCGTGCCGTACCCATCGCAAGTGTCGCTCATGAACGCCGTGCGTAAACAATCGCTCGCCGCACTCCTCTCACCGCTCGCTAATCACTCTCTCTCGCCACTCTCTCTCGCCGCTCTCTCTCATTCCCCTCTCCGCACTCCCCTTCCTACCGAACCATTACCGAACGTCACCCATGAACGCCGTACTTACCCAGTCCCTCGCCACTCTCACCACTCGCTAATCGCTCTCTCACCGCCCTCTCACCGCTCTCTCTCACCGCTCTCTCACTGCTCTCTCACTACTCTCTCACCGCTCTCTCTAGCGTGCCCTTCCCCAGTGGCATCCAGGAACGCTGGGCGTGAGCAGTCCCTCGCCACTCTCACCACTCGCTAATCGCTCTCTCACCGCTCTCTCTCTCTCTGTGCGACACCAGATCATGAGTGGCCTCAACGGCAAGGAGCACTGCCTGCTGGAGAGCCCGACCGGTAGCGGAAAGAGCCTGGCTCTGCTCTGCTCCACGCTGGCCTGGCAGAAGCACCAGTACGGTACGCGATCAGTTTGGTTTGGTGTCCTTCCCCTGCACCTCCGATTAGCACGGTTGGCTACGTACGGCGCGAAAGAAGTTCAACATACACGCGTACGAACAGATGAGTGTAGCGCTTTAGAATTGCCACACGTGCATGGCAGCAGTGCTGAGTATCCCTGCGCGATCATGCACCCCCCACCCCCGAAGGTGACCACCGCAGTTGCGTAAATGATCTGGCGAGCTCCCCAGGGGATGTGCCGCTTACCCCGTGGGGAACACGCACCGACGGCTGGGAACCGCTGGGCACGCAAATCAACGCAGTGACCTGCACGAGTGAGCGAACCCCGAGCGGGTGTTTGTCTAAACTAAACGATTTAAACTATTTTTTTATTTTGCCCCTCTGAGCTATGTAGCTCTTTTTCGTAAGCGACCTGGCTATCACAAATGATAGCTCAGCGAAGTGGCTTATCGACGTGTGGAAATTTATCGCAGCCAAATACTTTAAACGCGTGGTGATGTTGATTCTAAATATGGAGGGAAACGCCGGAGGATCTGGAGAAAAATCCACACGACCACGGGGAGAGAGAGAGAGAGAGACGCAAACTCCAAATATACAGCAGCAGGCGTCAGGGTCACGATCGAACCCACGACCTCCCGCACACCAGGCGAGGTAGTCAACATCTCGCCACCGCGGCGCCCCCTTCTCACAGAGAAGCTGGCGAACGGAGACTCGGAGAAGGCCCCCGGAGAGGACAAGAGCTGCAAGGAGTCCGCGCCCCCCCAAACCCCCGCCCCGTGCGGTGGGGGGCCCTGCGACTGCTCCTGCCACTCGGCGCCCGGCGCCCAGGCGGGCGCTGCCCCCTCCGCTGCCGCCGAGGCCGGGAGCCGCTCCCCGTACTTCGGCACGAGCTGCCGTGCGCCCGGGGCCGCCCTCCCGGGCAACGGCGGCTCCCCCGTCACCTCGACTCTGACCCCCCCCGTGACCCCGGCGGTGGGCTCCCCCCTCGCGTCGCCGTACTTCCTGTCAGGTGGGTGGGGCCGTGTCTCTCCGTCCGTGCGTCAAGGGAAGACGCGAACACACAAACCACACGCAACACACGAACCACACGCAACACACGAACCACACGCAACACACGAAACACACGGACAACGGCTCGACTCTCGTGGTAACGCGCTGCGTGTATCGCTGACCGTCCAACGCCGGCACGAAGCTTCGTTAACCCGTTCCGAGATGCCTGCACGTTGCAGGGTGCTGGTCCCCATCACCGCCTAATCCCGGAGCGCGCTAGCGGGTTCAACGTTAATTTTATGTAGAGAGCCATTTAGATGATTTTATCAAAAGTATTCACCATCACATGGACTCGAACTCTAAACCTCGACTCCTAACTCGATCCATATCCTTCACCTCCGATTAGCACGGTTGGCTACGTAACGGCGCGAAAGGCGTTCAAGTTACATACGTACGTACGTACATTTACCGTATCATTAATCCTGCATGTAATTCTAACTCCCTCTCCCCCACTTCCTCCCCTTCCTCTGACTATGAACCCTACCCTGATCCCTTTTGGGGCAGGGGTGGTTCTCCACTCCCCATCTCTCTACCCCCCTGCTTTTTATAACCAGTTTAGTTTTATGTTGACGGTGTGTGTACGCGCGCGTCACCACGTGATGTCACGAAGCCGGGCATTTCCTAGATAATTCTTTTTTTCAAAGCCATGTAATTAAGATTTTAACGCAAATTCTAACTCCGAACGACATCATCGCGCTAACCCGGCCTCCACCGCTCTGCCCCACCCGTGTTTGTATCCCAGCGGCCCCGGGGATGAGTCGCCCTGGCAAGCGGGGGTCTCCCGTGGACGGAGATGACAAAGGGGATGACGATGATTTCCAGGTGGAGAAACGGCGGAACAGAACCCCCCACGGCAAGGCGCTGGTGGTACGGCCCGGTCGCGGCGTGGCTTCAGTGTTACCGCAAATGCAGCGGTCGGGGTTAGGAGTTGTCTGTGTTCGGGTTATGGGCAAAGTTCAGCTTAGAAAGGGTGTTAGGACTAGGGTTAGAGTTAAGTGTTCGGTTGAAGATTACGGTTTTACTCAGTCTTTATTAAGAGTTAGAATTGGGTGCCTCGATGGCGAGATGTTAACTCCCTTGCCTGGTATACAGCAGGTCGTGGGTTCAATCCTGACCCTGACGCCTGCTGCTGTATATTTGCAGTTTGCGTCTCTCTCTCTCCCCTTGGTCACGTGGATTTTTCTCCGGGTCCTCCGTTTTTTCCCTCCACGTTTAGAATCGACATCACCACGCGTTTAGAGTATTTGGCTGCGATAAATTTCCACGCGATAAGCCCCCACTTCGTTGAGCTAGCATTTGTGTCAGGGTTGGGATCGAACCCACAACTTGCTGCATAGCAGGCGAGGGAGTTAACATCTCGTAGCCACCGCGGCTCCCTTCTCCGTGGCAATAGGTGTTGGACGTGAGCCTGATGGTCGGGTGACGTCGTTGTTTCGTGGTCAGCAGATGAAAAGAGGCATTCCCAAGGGCGTGCATTACGATGACGACAGTGGTGGCGTAAGCGATGATGGCGCTGCTGGTGGAGCTGGTGGTGCTGGAGACAAGGCGGGCGGCGTTGGTCACCCGAGGCCTCTCATCACCCTGAACCAGAACGGTCAAATCCCCGCGTGGAGCCCCGTCGGCAAAACCGTGAGTGTTCTCACAAACGTTCGCTGACGTCACCGTGGTCATCACCCGTCACCTGTCACCTGCCACTATCACCGTCGTCATCGTCAGACGAGCACCGCACACCGTCGCCTCTCAGCCCGGTTAGCTATTTACGGTGTGAAAGAAAGTTCAACGTACATACATCTCCACCGCCGTCATGACAACCACAGTTACTGTGACGTCGACCGTTAAAATTGTCGTCACCGCCACTTCCATTACCACAGTCTGTGAGTGGGGAGTGGTGGTGTAGCGGTTAGCGCGCTGCGCTATGAACCCGGTGACGTTCGATTCCCACTCACGGCCAACAGCAGTGACGATTATCTGAACCGGTCCTGGGCCTGCCCTAGGTCGACTCAGCCTCAAAATGATTACCTGGTGCGGTGTGTAGTAAACATCGCCACTGGGGAGACAAAGGCGGCCGGGCGTGGTGCTGGCCACACACCCCCTCGTGTGCCGTTCCGGCCTTCATAGGTGCGCGCTAATAGCACTTGCCCCAACAGTCTAATTAAAGCTACACGGGGGATCTTTGTCTTTGTGTGTGCTCCACGCCCCCCCCCCCGCCCCCCCACCGCTCGCAGCCGTGCGGCGCCACCTGCTGCGGCTGCGGCTGCGGCTCGGCGGGAGTGGCGGCGGGGGCCCCGGGGGCCCCGGGGGCCCCGGGGGCCCCGGGGTCCAGCGGCCGCTGCGGCGGCCCGGACGGCGGCGGGGGCGGGCGGCGACCGACGCGGCCGCCCAAGATCTTCTTCGGCACGCGCACGCACCGGCAGATCACGCAGGTGGCGCGCGAGCTGCGGCGCACGGCGTACGCGGGCACGCGCATGACGGTGCTGTCGAGCCGCGAGCACACGTGCGTGCACCCCGTCGTGGCGGCCTCGCCGCACGGGCGCAACGAGGCCTGCAGGGAGCTGCTGGACAACAAGAACGTGAGTGGCCGTGGGCGGGGATGGGGGGGGGTGGTGCCGGGGGGGGGTCGGGGGTGGGGGCTACGTTCAACTGTACGTAGTGCAGTTGACCATTAGGTCTGCATGTGTCCTGATCCGACATGAGCCTGTGATGCGTCTATTTCTGCTGCACTCACTCCCACCTGGTGCCCCAGCCCGCGCAGGGTGCCACGTGCTCGTTCTTCCGCAACGTCTACAAGCTGGGCTGCCAGGCGGCGCTGCCGTCGCTGGGGCTGGCGTCCGCGTGGGACGTGGAGGACCTGGTGAAGGCTGGCCGGCGCGTCGGGGCCTGCCCGTACTTCTCCGCTCGCGAGCTCATGGAGGAGGCCGACATCGTCTTCTGCCCCTACAACTACCTCATCGACCCGCAGATACGGCAGAACGTGAGTTGCAGAGACAATTGGAGACCTGCTCTTGTATTTTGCTCACTCGCAGGGGGCTTACAACAGATCTGTGTGTGTGTGTGTCTCTTTGTGAGGCGGATTGGGCGTTGTGCTGGCCACCCCCCTCACCCCCCTCACCCCCCTCACCCCCCCCACCCCCCCCCCCCCCCACGCGAGCAGATGGAGATAAGCGTGCGGGATCAAGTGGTGGTGCTGGACGAGGCTCACAACATGGAGGACGCGGCGCGCGAGGCCGCCAGCGCCAGCGTGCCGCAGGATGCGCTGCGCCGCGCCCGCGACGAGGCCGGCTCCCTCGCCGCCGCCGGGGTGCGGCCCGACGAGCACACGCGGCTACAGGCCGTGTGCATCAGCCTGGACCGGTACGTGCACCGCCACCGCCACCGCCACCACCGCCACCACCGCCACTAGCGCTGGGGCACGCACGCACCGCCACCACCGCCACCACCCCTGGGGCACGCACCGCCACCACCGCCACCACCGCCACCGCTGGGTCACGCACGCACCGCTGGGGGACGCACCGCCACCACCACTGGGTCACTCACGCGGGTCACCCACCTGGGTCATGACCCGGGTCACCACCTCGGTGCAGGCGGGTTGGGCGAGTCAGGCTGGTCACTGAGTCAGCTGGGCCAACCGGGTCAGTCGGGACGACCCGGTCAGCCTGCTCAGCTGGCTCACGGCCAACATCGGTGGTGAATATCCAAACTGGCCCTTGGCCTCCCCTAAGAGTAGCTGGCACACCGTGCACACATCACGGGAAGACGAAGGCCGGCCGGGGCGTGGTGCCGGCCCCCCCCCCCCCCCCCCCCGCCTAAATAGGTGCTCACGAACAGCTAACAGCACTCGCCTCGGTTCCGTCCCCCGTCTCGCAGGTGGATGACGCAGAGCACTCACCTGTTGAAAAGCCACGACTTTGAGATGGACTGCCACAAGCTGAGCGGCCGCGAGATGCTGGAGGTGTTGCACACCTGGGGCGTCACGGCTCACACCTTCCCCGAGCTCAAGGTGCCCCCCCAGCACCTCGCGCTGCGCGGCGACAGCGACGGGACCTGCGGTTCTGTCTTCCCGTGGCGCGCGGTGCTCTTCGTGACGCGACGAATGTGTCGGGGAACGGAGTTTTTTTTTCTTTTTCTGATGCGGGCGAGATTTGGGTGCGTGTGACACGCGTGTGTGTGTGTGTGATGCGTGTCGGGCGGACGGAACTACGTCGCAGCGCGAGCGGAGATCGAGCGGTCGTGCAGCTGCCTCGGCGTAGCGTCGCTCGAGGAGGTTGGGATGCTGCTGGATGCGTCCAGAAGCTACTGCCCACGTGCCTCGGTCCTTTGTTCGGCCCGCGTACGCATCTCACGGCGCTGTCGCGGACTGTTATTTATCCCTACGTTATATGTGTTTATTACGACGCGATTTTTCCATCACGCGGTGTTCTTCAGGAACGCAAATGCTACCGCCGCGTTACAGGAGAACACGGCCGCATTTGCAAATAAGGAAATGCATTGCTGCTGGCCTCCTCAGGTGCAATTCCTTCAACAGTCTTTGTAGGCTACTCGGGGGATCTTTGTCTTTGTGTTTTTTTATTGTATAGCGTGGGGAGCGGTCGTGTCGCGGTCAGCACGCTGCAATCTGCGGCGAACGAATCCGGCTACCAGAGTTCGATTCCCGCTCACGGCCAACATCCGAACCGGTCCTGGGCCTCCCCTATGTCGGCTCAGCCTCAAATGAGTACCCGGCGCTCTGCGTGAACATCGAGGACGAAGGGCGGCCGGGCGTGCCGCTGGCCACCCCACCGCGTCCCGTCGCGTGGCCGTGCCGCCCTTCATAGCCAATGCTGCTGCTGCTCGCTCCTCGCGGCACTTGTGTGTGTGTGTGTACATGTGTGTGTACTGAGTGTGTGCACTATGTGTGTGTGTGTATTGTGTACACGTGTGTGCGTGCAGCGTAGCCTGGGGCGCGTGCTGGAGAAGGAGGAGACTGTGGCGGGCAAAGGGCGTGACAAGGGTCGGGCGGTGAGCGTCCCCATGCCGGTCGTCTCCGCGCCCTCACAGGTGCTGCTCGCAGCGCTCTTCCTCGTCCTCGACTTCATGTTCCGTGACGGCTCCAGGTGCGCGCGTGTGTGTGGTGTGTGTGTGGGGTGTGTGTGGTGTGTGTGTGGTGTGTGTGTGGTGTGTGTGGTGTGTGTGTGGTGTGTGGGTGTGTGTGTGTGGTGTGTGTGTGGTGTGTGTGTAATGTGTGGTGTGTGTGTGGTGTGTGTGTGGTGTGTGTGTGGTGTGTGTGTGTAATGTGTGGTGTGTGGTGTGAGTGTGTGGTGTGTTTGTGTAATGTGTGGTGTGTGGTGTGAGTGTGTGGTGTGTGTGTGGCTGTGTGTGTGGTGTGTGTAATGTGTGGTGTGTTTGTGGTGTGTGTGTAATGTGTGGTGTGTGTGTGGTGTGTGTGTGTAATGTGTGGTGTGTGGTGTGAGTGTGTGGTGTGTTTGTGTAATGTGTGGTGTGTGGTGTAAGTGTGTGTGGTGTGTGTAATGTGTGGTGTGTGTGTGGCTGTGTGCCCGGTTGCTCGCGGTTATCGGGGCCGCTGCCCATCGCGCACCGCGGCGTTCTGGTTGTCCTCATTCACGGTCGCGTCGCGGGTGCCACGGTGGCTGGTGGATGTTAGCGCCCTCGCCTGGTATGCAGGGGTAAGTGAGTACCTGGTGGATTTCTCTCAGGGTCCTCCGATTTTTCCTTTCACGTATATCATCAGCATCATGCTTTCAGAGTATTTGACTGCCCTACATTTCCACGTGATGATGATAGGCCACTTACTTTGTTGAGCTGCTATTTGTGGCCTGGTCGCTTCTGAAAAACAGCCACGTAGCTCAGTGGGGCCTTACCTAGTAAACAACAGACAACATTTTTTTTTTTTTTTCTTCCCACCCGTGCATGCGGCCGTGGCCATCGTGCCGTCCTTTGCACCGTGACCCCCCCTCCCCCCGCAGGTTCGCGGAGGATTACCGCGTGGTGCTGATGCGCACGCTGGCGTGGGGCGCTCCGGACCCGGACGTCCCCGACGCCGCGGGGTTCATCGCGCGGCCTCGACCCGGCTCGCGAGCGCGGCACAAGCGGCAGCTGCTCACGGTGCACTTCTGGTGCCAGAACCCAGCCGTGGTGAGTGTGGCCTTGCGCGCCTGCACGCTCGCGGCACCTCGGTCTGCCTACAGCAGAATCGGAATCATCCGTTCGCCTGGATATAAATCCTGGCTTTGTGTAAAATCGCTGGCAAAAGGTATCAGAGCCTTTGGTGCGACTCTCCTAGGTTTGCTTAGGCTCAAGCCGATGTCTGGTTTGTTTGTGTGTATACACCGGCACTGGGGAGACAAAGGCGAATGTGAATGGTTCACGGCCACACCACCCGCTGCATGCCAACCCGAGTAGCCGCTCGCGAACAGAACATTCCCCTGTGCTCTGTAAGCCCCAAGGGGCCATTGTATTTACGTGTGTGTGGCGCCTCAAGATGTGCTGCATGGAAAGTGCGGTATAAATAATAAATGATGGTAAATGATGATGCTTGTTTGTACTTGTGGGGGGGTGGTTAGACGCTGTGCGACGAACCCGGCGACCCGACTTCGATTCCCGCTCACGGCCAACGGCGGTGACGGTAATCCGAACCAGTCCTGGGCCTCCCCCTAGGTCGACTCAGCCTCAAATAAGTACCTGGTGCGATGTGTAAACAATTCCGCTAGGGATACAAAGGCGGCCGGGCGTGGTGCTTTCCATCCACCTCTCGTGTGCCGTGTCGGCCTTTATAGGTGCTGCTAAACGCTAACAGCACTTGCCCCAAAATTATGTTAAGGCTATACGGGGCATCTTTATCTTTGCGCGCGTGAAAACTGGTGACTAAGCGGTAGGAGCGGGTGAATCGCAATCCTAAGATTCGGTGTTGAAATCCTTGTTGAGGGGTTGACTCAGCCCATCATCCCCCCTTGGGTCAATAAATAGGTACCAGTTTGTGAGGGGGGGGGGGAGGAGGTGGTAGTCAACATCGGTCGTCCATTGGAGATACTCGCCCCCCCCCGTCGTCGTCATAGAAATGTGGATAATGTCCTTCCCGCCACGTCGCTCAAGAGCCGTTAACAGGCGACGAGCACCGATGCCCGTGTCCGTGCGCGTGTTCGTGCGCAGGCTTTCTCGGACCTGAGCGCCCACGCCCGCACCATCATCCTCACCTCGGGCACGCTGAGCCCCATGGCGTCGTTCTCCTCCGAGCTGGGAGTCTCCTTCACGATCCAGCGCGAGGCCACGCACGTCATCAACCCCTCGCAGGTGCGCGCGCGCGACGAGCCACGCGCGGCGCAGCCCAACGCGAACAGACGGACACAAACTCTGCCCCCTTGTAGGTGCTCTCTACTGGAGAGGAGTGTTGGTTTAGAAGGACACACGTGGGCGCCGCAGTGGCGGGACATTAACCACCTCGCCCGGTACGCAGGAGGTCGCGGGTTGAGAATCGGAATATTTAATCATGCTGGAAGAATCCGATGAGCTGTAAAGCTCTTTTTCACAGATGTGCAGTTCGGTCCCGACCCTGGCGACTGCTGTATATTTGGAGTTTGCATGTCCCTATCTCCCCGTGGTCACACGCATTTTTCACCGGGTGCTCTGGTTCGATCGCCGCTTTCATGGCAATCGTCGTGATTTCTCATTTATCAGAATGGGATGCGTTTAGGCTGCCATCTTCCACTCCAAATGCATGAATATCACAACAATGTGACCTTTTTGGTGCACCACCATAACGCTCTCGTACCAAGTCACTGTGTGCCACACTCCGGACACAATAGGGGGCTCGCAAAGCAGCGCTCTCATTGGCGCTCTCCTGTGCGACAAATCGAGAGGGATCCCTGTGTCTGTGGCACCCTGTGCGTGTCCGTCCCCCTCCCCTCTCCCCCCCGGTACCCCGCGGGTGAGGTGTGGGTGGGCACGGTAGGGCTGGGCCCCAGCGGGAGGGAGCTGTGCGCCACGTACTGCCACACCGAGACGTTCGACTTCCAGGACGAGCTGGGGGAGCTGCTGCTGAGCGTGTGCCAAACGGTGCCGCGAGGGGTGCTCTGCTTCCTGCCCTCGTACAAGGTACCGCCACCGCTGCCGCCACCGCCGCTCGCCACTCTGACCCTCTCCCGTTGGCACGGTTGGCTACGTACGGTGCGAAATGCGTTCTACCGTACTTACACGTGCGGGGCGGGTGTCCCGCTCAGCGCCGAATCATGGCAACGCGCGAGCGGGTGTGCATATGCACGATAACGCACGACAGTAAGCACACGCGCACAATCGGTACAAGCACGTGCACCTTCAGATGCGGTCACGTACACCGGTGGAGACAAGGCTAAGGTCTCCCGTTGTAGTCTGCAACAGGCTGTTAGGACAAATTGCTGTTTGTGAGCGCCTATTAAGGCGTGCCTAGGATCACGATGGGCTACCTTTGTCTTCTACACCCCAGCAGGTACTAATTTAAGGCGAAGTCGCCCGGGTCAGATGTTCACGAGTGATGTGACGGCGCTGAGCACGAACCGCTGCGCTACGTCACGTTTCCCTCCACTCACATTCACGCGCACACGGCTTCGGGGTGGCGCCCATCGCATGATGATCTCTGCGTGATCCTTCAACCCCACCTCTGAAGCCAGGTCCACACCCGAACGATCAGTTGCGCAATCTAATCTCTCCCGAAAGCCGTGCGGCTCGATCATCGCCTGCGACCGCTTTGTCCGCAATCTCAGCGGGAAGTTGCGTGACAAGGAGGTGGAGTCTGGGCGTGGCTGGAGTATATGGCCACGCCCCTTGCCAACAGAGCCCCGCCCCTCAGTCTGGATAGCTCCACCCACCCCTCCACGTCACCAATACGGCGAACAATCACAGTTCTCGAATGTGCAGCAACGCACTGATGAACCGCGTCGCGACAAATCGCGGAACGGATCGCCGCTTGAAAGTCAAGTCTCCACCTTTCTGCGAACAACCAGTTGAGGAATTTCTGCCTGCAACCGGTTGGGCAATTTCTGCCTGCAACCGGTTGCAGGGGACGTCCGCATGAAAGCCGTTCGGTTGCACGCAACCGATCGCTCAGGGTGCGGACCCTGTTGGTAACGACTCGATTCCAAGCTGTGTGCCAGGGTCATGGCACAAACCGACCCCTCCCTCCCTTCCCCCCTCCCTCCCTCCCTCCCGCTCCCCCTCCCTCCCGCTCCCCCTCCCTCCCTCCCACCTCCCTCCCTCCCTCCCACCTCCCTGTCTCCCACCTTGCTCTCCCCCCCTCCCCGTAGAGGGCAAATCGGTGGAGCGAGGGGGTGATGGACACCTGTTTTTGATAAGAATTGGGAGGAGGAGGAGGAGTAGGAGACGGAGAGCGGAGGGAGAGCGGGGGAGAGAGTGGGGATGAGATAACGCTGGAGGAGGAGGGGGACAGGGCAGAGCCAGGGATGATGAACGAGGGTCGGGAAAGTTGTAGGGGTAGTCCGGTAGAGGGAGCAGCGGTGCACGGGAGGGAGGGGAGTGCGGACAAGACCTAGCCAAGGAGTGTGCGTGAGGAGTGGATGATGGGAGTCGACTGGAGACGGGAGAGCGTGCTGGAGTTGAGTGGAGGTGCAGAGAGAGATTGTGAGAGCATCGGCGATGAGCAGTGAAGGAGGTATTGGTGTTGAGAGAGAAGAGTGAGATGGGAAGAGTTGGGAAGTGTGAGAGTGTGCAATGGAGCGGTCATGGAGGAAGGAGGGGGAGAGCGGGGAGATGGAGAGAGAGGATGGGAGGAGAGCGTGGCATGGAGGGGGTGGAGCGGTGGGACAGCGTTTGGCGCGCTGCGCTACGAATCCCGCGGATCTGAGTGTGATTCCCGTGGGCGCTGCTGGCGCCGGTGGCAACTCATGATGTCTGAAGCGTTGCCCGGCCCGCCGTCCACCACGCCAAACTCGCGCTGACTTAGCGCGGTGAAGTGCGGTCAAACAATATCGCTCCGCGTGACTGACACGGTGGAGGGAGGGGGTGGATTAACAAAGGCCTGTAAATTAAATGAACGTTACGGCATCGCGAGCGTCGGAGATGGGAGAGTGCGCATTAACGAGCATTACAGCGAGGAGTGGAGCGCATTAAAGGAGGTGGGGGGGAGGGGGGTTAAGATACTGAATTGAGAAGGGAGAGTGCAGAGAGAGAGAGAGCGCAAGGGGAGAGTTTGGCGAAGAGAGTTCGCAAGAAGGGCTGCGATTGTAAATCGCGGCGGAGGCATTACGGTGGCGCCGCGCGCCGCACGCGTCCCGGGGATTGCCAAAGTCTCCCCCCGTAAAAAACCAGACGCACAGCGCGGCACGCGGAGAAGTGGTGGTTCCGGGAGGGGGGGGGGTGTGGGGGAGAGATAGCGAGCGAGACAGACACACAGACGGACGCACGCACATCCCCGCTCGTAAATCCCACGGGCTGATGGGCTCGCTAAGCTCTGCGGCTCGCCAGTTCCTAAGTCATCTTTAAAGAAGGCCTCTTAAGAAGTCTGTCTTTTCCCTCTCTGTCTCTCTTCAAGTACCCCCCCCTCCACGCAGCGTCACCCCCCCACCCTCCTTATCTTCCCTCTCCGGTGTCTGTCGTATTCACTTTGTGATCTGCCACCCTAATGTGTGTCCTACCCCCTGTATATTGGGTTCTGCACGCGCTTCTGTGCCTTTCATTTGTCAGCGCTCCACTCCGTGAAATTCCTCTCTCGCTCGCTCTCTCTCTCGCTCGCTCTCTCTCTCGCTCGCTCTCGCTCGCTCTCTCTCTCTCTCGCTCGCTCTCTCGCTGTCCCTCTCTCGCTCGCTCTCGCTGTCGCTCTCTCTCGCTCGCATCTTTTCTCGCTCTCTCGCTCGCTCTCTCTCGCTGTCTCTCGCTCGCTCTATCTCTCGCTCCTCTCTCTCGCTGTCTCTCGCTCCTCTCGCTGTCTCTCTCGCTCGCTCTCTCTCGCTCGCTCTCTCTCGCTCGCTCTCTCCTCGCTGTCTCTCTCGCTGTCTCTCTCTCTGCTCTCTCTCCTGTCGCTCTCTCTCGCTGTCTCTCTCGCTCTCTCTCGCTGTCTTCGCCTCGCTTCTCGCTCTCGCTGTCTCTCGCTGTCTCTCTCTCGCTCTCTCTCGCTGTCTCTCGCTCGCTGCTCTCCCTCCTCTCTCGCTCCTCTCCTCTCGCTGTCTCTCTCCGCTCTCTCTCTCCTCTCTCGCTCTCTCTCGCTCGCTTGCTCCGCTCGCTCGCTCTCTCTCTCGCTGTCCTCTCTCGCTCTCTCCTCGCTATCTTTCTCTCGCTCGCTTGCTCTCCGCCTCTCTCCTCGCTGTCTCTCTCTCGCTCTCTCTCGCTCTCTTCTTCTTTCTCTCGCTCGCTTCTCTCCTCGCTCGCTCTCTCTCTGTCTCTCTCTCGCCTCTCTCGCTATCTTTCTCTCGCTCGCTGCTCTCTCTCTCGCGCTCTCTCGCTATCTTTCTCTCGCTCGCTTGCGCTCTCTCTCGCTCTCTCTCTCTGTCTCTCTCTCGCCTCTCTCTCGCTATCTTCCTCTCTCTCGCTGCTCTCTCTCGCTCTCTCTCGCTGTCTCTCTCTCGCTCTCTCTCGCTGTCTCTCTCCGCCTCTCTCGCTGTCTCTCTCTCGCTCTCTCGATATCTTCTCTCGCCGCCTCTCTCGCTCGCTCTCTCTTGCTGTCTCTCGCTCGCTCTGTCTCTCGTTCGCTCGCTCTCTCTTGCTCTCTCTTGCTCGCTCTCTCGCTGTTTTTCTCCTCGCTCTCTCGTTCTCCCTCATTGTCTCTTTCGCTGTCTCCCGCTCTCTTCTCTCGCTCTCTCTCGCTCGCTCTCATCTGCTGTCTCTCGCTCGCTCTGTCTCTCTCTCTCTCCTCGCTCTCTCTGCTGTCTCTCGTTCGCTCTCTCTCGCTCTCTCTCGCTCTCGCTCTCCTCTCACTGTCTCTCTCTCGCTCGCTCTCTCGCTGTCTCTCTCTTGCTCTCCTCCATCTGTCACACTCGTCATTCTATCTCACTATTCTCTCTCTTTCTCTCTCCCTTCCCTTTTTTGCATCACAGTTTCTCCTCTGTCTCTGATATCTCTCCTCTCCCTGCCTCTCCCACGTCTCTTCCTCCCCCGTACCCTTTACTTCGTCACCTTTCCTGTCACGCATCTCTCTCTCTCGTCCCGTGGTCACGTGCATTTTTCTCCGGGTACTCCGGTTTTCCCCTCCACATTTAGAACCAACGTCACCACGCGTTCAGAGTGTTTGGCTGCCACTATAAATTTCCAAGTGATGATCGTGATAAGCCACTTCTTTGAGCTATCAGCTGTGATTGGTCGCTTCTAAAAAAGAGCTACATAGCTCAGTGGGGCCTTACCTGGTGACATAAAAACAAGTCGTGATTTATCTCTCGCTCCCTTCTCTCTCCCTCCTTTATCTTTCCCTCCTCAATCTTTCCCTCCCTCACCTCCACCCCTTGCCGTCCTTTCTCTCTCTCTCCTGCATCCTCGCGTGCCTCCTCTCCTTTCCTCTCTCTTCACGTCACCTCGCCCCAAACTCCCCTCCCCCTCCCTCCCCTCCCTGCACCCCCCCCCCGCGTCGCCTCTGCAAGCTCCGGCCTCTGTCCCTCCACGCTGCGGGTGCCGTGTCCGCGGCGCCCGCTCGTGGGGTCGCGTCACGGCTGACGAGGGCGGCGGACTGCGCGCTGGCGTCGTGGTGGCGGTGCGAGCGCGCGGCGACCTGTCCGTGCTCCTCTTTACGGGCGGCTGGAGACGAACCAGGGGCGGCGCGATGAAAGGGTCGCCCGGCCCCCCCCCCCGCCCCCCCTGCCCCCCCCGCCCCCCCTGCCCCCCCCCCCCCCCGCCACCCCCTGCCCCCCCCCCGCTTTAGGACCTGGTCCGAATCGAGGGCCCCGTTTTGTAGGCGTCCACTGTTGGCATTTCCAGGTGCCGTGAGATGAAACGGAGACGGTTTTAAAATACATTTTTTTTTTGCTCGCTCGCTTGCATTCTGGATTAGGAGAAATCCCTCTTAAAAATGTTGAATGATCGCTCGCCCACTCGGGGCGTGCGCTTAGCGGAAATCCGTCTCAATAAAATGCTCCGATGTGAAAGGGCCGTTGCTCAAAACGCCAGCCTACCTCGGCACATTTTTCTTTTTTTTTTTGCTGCCACACGGCAGCACGGCAGCACGGCAACGATGAATGCGGTGCGTCGTGGCGAGTGCGCGGACGCTCTCGCCGACCGGCAAGCGCGGCCCCTCCGAATTCGTTTCGTGGTTCGCGAGACGTTCCACTTCCCCGGCAGCAGTGGGAAAGTGTCATCGTCACACCGGGCGATTGTACGGATCGTCGGAGTGTCGACTGCCCAGTAAGGAAGTTGCATCTCGCAATTGCCACAAGCTGGAATGGCAGCCAGCCCCAGCCAGGCGGCGAGCTGGCGCCTGCCTAACAATTGCCCCAAGCTCTGTCGTCCTCCGTACGTCAAGATGTTTCCCGACAAATTGAGGAGCGTTCTTACACGTGGGAGGAAACCCAGGCGTGCGATGGGGCAACGCTCTATCCCAAGCAGATGGTACAGCAAAGTGCGGATGTTGCTGTCCCAATTAATAACAACAACATTACAAAAGACTGATTTCCTCCTCAAATGATTACAGCGGGAGCGAGTCTCTCCATACAAAGTAAACTAAAAATTTTTACTAGATAAGGCCCACTGGGCTCGATAGCTCTTTTTTTGGAGTCTGCGTGTCTCTCTCCTCGTGGTTGTGTGGATTTTTCTCCGGGTCCTCCGGGTTTTCCCCTCCACATTTATAATCAACATCAACGTCACCACGTGTTTCAGAGTATTTAGCTGCTGCTATAAATATCCGTGATGATGATGATGATTAAAAGCCCACTTCGTTGAGCTATCTTCTGTGGCCAGATCGCCTCTGAAAAAAAAGAGCTACATTGCTCAGCGGGGCCTTACCTGGTCAAATACAAAATAGTTTGTAGTTTAGTTTCAGTCTCTCCCAAAACTGTCGGGGCGACCAGGCGGACCGCAGCACGACGAAGGCTGACAACCTGTACATGCGCTGCCCCCTCTTGCTGCCAATCCACTGCTTGATGAGTGTCGGGGTGGTTGTTGGTGAGGGGGGCTGGCGTTGGGCTTTGGATCGTAGTACACGGTACAACGTTGCCCCTCTTCCACCAACAGAATCCTGTCTCCCACTTGCCGCCGATCCGAGTGCTACCCAGGCTGAACCCTGCGGAGCTTCCGAGATCTGACCAAAACCCACGGCCAAACCACGCTTAATTTGGTGATTCGCTCGTAACCCAAGTCAAGCCAATTTAATTTCTTTGCATGCGCAGGTTTTTTGCCCCCATCACGTCGCACATCTGCCGCTCCAAAGCGCCATCGTCAGACCAAGACACCTGGGCACGTTGCTGAACGTTGTGCACAGGTGCGCCGAGAAAATAACAAACAAAAAACAATGATCATTGGGGGGCGGTGACGCGGCCCGGCCGGTTCGCGCGTTTGCCCGCTCGTCGCCGCGCAGCTCCGCGGCTCGAATCCGGCGGCCGTGCGTACAGATACGGATCGTGTGAAGATTTGCACAAGAAACTTTGCATTTGATCGTCGGTGTGCGGGAGCCGTAGTGCGGTGGTTAGCGCCACGGAACACGGCCACCCGAGTTCGACTCCCGCTCGAGGCCACCGACCCGTGACAACTTTCTGAATCGGTCCTGGACTTCAAACGAGTGCCCGGTGACGGCGCGTACAGCAGCGCCACTGGGGAGACAAAGGCGGCCGGGCGCGTCGCCGGCCACTCCGGCCTTCGTAGGTGTGCCGCCACTCGCCGACAGCGCTTGGCCCCCAGCAGTCTGTTGAGGCTACACGGGGGGGGGTGGGGGGGGATCTTTGTCGTGATTATGAGCACAGAAGCCAACGAGCAGCCATCAGGGCCCTGGTTGGGTGTTTTGCAAAGGGTTCTTATTTGCCGCTGGCTTGTGTCTCTCAGCTTTGGGGAAACCTCTTTGATCAACGTGGCCGACGAGCGAAGCTGACCCTTGACTCGAGCCTCCTTGATATTGCATCGTGTTTACGAGCGCCGGGGAGCCCTGTCCCCCCCCGCACCCCGTTGCGGACACGGCGGACGGACGAACGCGGCGTGGGCCCCCTTCCGCCTCGGTCGCAGAGCGTCGGCGGCGAAGAGGAACGGCCGTCCCTCGCGGCGGCCTCTGCGTCCGCTCCCGGCGGAGCCGCACACGGTAGGGCCAGTGGGCCAGTGTCGGGGCGCGCGCGCGTCTGGCAGCCCCAGGTTTATCATCATCGTCGTCGTCGTCGTCGTCGAGATCGGCCGCGTTCAATCCACTGCTGGATGAAACCCTCCCCCAAGTGACTGCTGCCGCCGCCGCTCGCGACGCTGCGACGTTATAATCTGAATATTTATTGACGTGCAGGAGGAATCCGACTAGCTGCAAAGCTCTTTTTCACAGATGGCGTTAACCCTTTGTGGGAGCTCTGCCTGCCGCCCGTATGCGCTGTCATATGTCCCCCCCCCCCCCCCATGCGATGTCCCCCCCCACCACCACCTCCCTCTCCCTCTCCTCCGCCCGTTAAACTCTTTACAAAGCGCAGAGCGTCTGGGCTCCCGGGCCGCCACGCCATCGTCTCCAGCAGCCGCCCTGGATCTCATTATGGCCGAGATGTCCGTTTGAGATGTGCCTGGGACCGGGGATTATGTGCGCGTGTGTGTGCGTCGGGGCAAGCGTGCCCGCGTGTGTGTGCGCGCATGCCGTGTGTGTGTCTGGGCACGCGTGTGCGCGTGCGTGCGTGTGTGCGTGTGTACGTGTGCGTCTGTGCGAGTTTCGGAATGGGGGGTGGAAGTGCGGTTGTTAGCGCGCGCTGCGCTTCGAACCTGGCCAACCGAGTTTTATTCACGCTCACAGCCAGCATCAGTGACAAGTATTTGAACCGGTCATGGTCCTTCCCATAGGTCGACTCAGCCTCAGTTGAGTACCTGATGCGGTGTGTAGTAAACATCGCCACTGGGGAGACGAAGGCGGCCTTCACAGGTGCTCGCTAACAGCACTTGCCCCAACAGTCTGTTATGGCCCACTGAGCTATATAGCCGCTCTATTACGTAAGCGACCTGGCCACAAGTGATAGCTCAATGTTGTGGCTTATTATGTGGAAATGCATAGGAGCCAAATACTCTAAACGTGTGATGTTGATTCTAAATGTGGAGGACCCGGAGAAAAAATCCACGGATTCACGGGGAGACCATGAAAAACTCCAAATATACAGCAGCAGCAGGCGTCAGGGTCGGGATCGAACCCACGGCCTCCTGCGTATCAGGCGAGGTAGTTAACATCTCCTAGCCACCGTGGCCCACTCTTTGTTGAATGAAATTGCTGCTGGGCAGGGGGCAGCGGGGTGGGGGAGGCGTCACCCCCGACGGGTGGAATGGGCGCCCGGTTCTCGAGACGCGTCCATGGCGGTCACGCGAGCGCATTCGGGCCCACATTTCGCCCGGCTCGCCCCCTTCAAATGCCCGCGGATGCTTCGTAATGTTTCAAGACGGCTCCTAAAAAATTAAAACGCACGCACAGACAGGGGGGCACGCAGCTGTCCTGACTTCTGTGAACAAAGAGCTTCATAGCTCATCGGATTCCTCCAGTCTAAATAAAGATTCCGATAAGAGATACGTGTCTCGACCGCGCGTCCCCGCGCATTCCCGCACGGCCATGAAACATTCGGAGCGGAGCTTGCCTACGTCTGGGGCTTGCCACGCGGCGCGATTGACGCGCCTCGGTTTGCCGAAGCGGTGCCCGCGGCAGACGAGTGAAAACGCACGCGCTGGTCGCACCCCGAGAATACGCGGACAGCGCCCGTGCCCTGCCCGCGTGCCCCCAGCGCGCCTGACGCGCCGCCATTCGAATCGGTCTCGGGCCCCTTCCCCGGGTCGACTCGGCCTCAAATGGGTACCCGGCGGCGGCGGGCAAACGACCTCGCCGGGGAGATGGCGTGGCGCCGGCCACCCGCCCCCTCGTGCGCAACGCCGGCCTTCGTGGGCGCCGCTCGCCGACGGCGCTCGCCCCGGCCGTCCGCCGAAGGCTACGTGGGGGATCTTTGTGCCGGGCGCCGCGTGCGCAGATGCTGCAGAAGGTGAGCGAGCGCTGGCAGAACACGGGGCTGTGGGCGGGCCTGGAGCGGCGCAAGCTGGTGATGAGCGAGCCCCAGCGCGGGGAGCGCGCCGAGTTCGACCGCCTGCTGGAGGTGTACTACGCGGCGGTGCACATGGAGGGCCAGCGCGGTACGCACCACCCCACCCCACCACCCCCCTCCTGCCCCCCCACCACCCCCACTCTATGTTTCTATGTATGTATGTGTGTGTATGTATGTGTGTGTCGTGTGTGTGCACGGCTCAGACGGCGCGCTGCTGTTGGCCGTGTGCCGGGGCAAGGTGAGCGAGGGGCTGGACTTTGCCGACGACAACGCGCGCGTGGTGCTCACCGTGGGCATCCCCTACCCCAACACGCGCGACCTGCAGGTGCCACGCGCAGCGCCACCACCACCAACACCACCACCACCCTCGTGTCACCGCCAAACACCCTCCATCACTACCCACCGTTACAACCCACCACCACCCACTATCATCACCACCCACCCAGCATCGTCACACACAATTACGACTCACCCACCACCACCACCACCACCACCCACTAGCGTCACCACCACCACCACCACCACCACCCACTATCGTCACCACCACCACCCACTATCGTCACCACCACCACCCACCATCGTCACCACCACCACCACCACACACCGTCACGTCCGTTCTAGTCCACGTGCAAGTCTTGTCAGTGCGGCAGTGTCGCGGCGAGCGCTACGCTGCCCTACGATCCCGGCCACCCGGTTCCGATTCCCGCTCACGGCCACCAACACCGGTGACGTTTATCCGAACCGGTCCTGGGCCTCCCCTAGGTCGACTCAGCCTGCACTGAGTACCTGGTGCGGTGGTGTGTAGTAAACATCGTCGCTGGGGAGACAAAGGAGTGGCCGGCCGTGGTGTTGGCCACTCGCTCTCTCGTAGGTGCTGCTCGTAAACAGCACAGGGGTGCCACGGTGGCGAGGAGATGTTGACTACCTCGCCTGGTGTGCAGGAGGTCGTGGGTTCGATCCTGACCCTGACGCCTGCTGCTGTATATTTGGAGTTTGCGTGTTTCTCTCTCTCTCCGTGGTTGCGTGGATTTTTCTCCGGGTCCTCCGGTTTTCCCCTCCACATTTAGAATCAACGTCACCACGCGGTTAGAATGAACATCACCAGGCGGTTAGAATCAACATCACCACGCGTTCAGAGTGTTTGGCTGCTGCTGTAAATTGAGAAGCCGCCACTTCGTTGAGCAGCCGTCATCTGTGGTGGCCAGGTCGCTTCTGAAAAATAAGTAAACGGCTGAGTGGGCTCTGCCTGGTAAGTAAAAGAAAATTGTTGTTGTATTTGCGTGTTTTTTTTAGTGAATTGTTTACCTCTCCTGTACTTTGCACTGTGTTCGTTGTTGTTGTAACGTTCTGACTCCGTGCCCCGACTGGACACCTGTGAAAAAAACTTAAATGCTTCATAGCTCATCGGATTCCACCCGCAGTCCAAATCGACGTTCCCACTGGGATTCGGCGCGTGCAGGTGAAGCTGAAGCGTGACTACAACGACCTGCACGTGCGCTCGCGCGGCCTGCTGCCCGGGAGCCGCTGGTACGAGGTGCAGGCCTTCCGCGCCCTCAACCAGGCCCTGGGCCGCTGCATCCGCCACCGCCACGACTGGGGGGCCCTGCTGCTGGTGGACGCTCGCTTCGGCAAGAACCCCGCCAAGTACACCGAGGGTACGGTGCCGGCGGCGGCGTCCGCCCGCCCCGATATCCGCCACGAGCACCCTCGTTTCCGCCACACGCGCGCACCCCCGATATGCACCGCGCTCACCGACGCGTGCTGCGCGCGTGCGTGTGCGCCCGCAGGTCTCTCCAAGTGGTTGCGACAGCGAGTGCGGCACTACGCCGACTTCCCCAGCGGCCTCCGCTCCCTCGCGGCCTTCACGGAGGCCTGCCGGGCCACGCTGAGCCCCGCCGATCCCGCCGGCCCCGTCGCGGCCGGGCCCTCTCCCGGCCAACCCGCGGCCGCGATAGAGCCGGTCGCTCCCCCTCCCGGTCACGACGCCGCGTCGGACCGCGGCACGGCCGGATCTGGCAAGGCCGGCCTCGCGCACGACGGCGGCGGCGGCCCGGCGACGCCCGCCCGCGACCCCCCTCCGGCCACGCCGGCGCCCGCGTTGGGCACCCCCGGCGGGAGACGGCAGCAGGGGCAGCAGCGGCATTGGCGGGCGCGGGGACGGGGGGCGCGACACCGCGGCTTGGCGTCGATCGCCCGCTTCCTGTCGCCTCCCGGCGGCCGCGGTGGAGCCGGCGTCGGTGCCGAACGGCGCGAGGCGACGCCGGCGCCGTGGCCCCCGGGCTCGCGGCACGGCCTCCCAGCGGAGGGGGGCGACGTGGTCGCCGCCAACACCGCCGCTACCACCACCTCCGGGGTCACTGCCCCCACCACCGCCGCTACCCCCGCCACCACCGCTACCGCCGCACTCGTCCCTGCCGCTACCGCCGCCGCCGGGGTCACTGCCCCCACCACCGCCGCTACCCCCGCCACCACCGCTACCGCCGCACTCGTCCCTGCCGCTACCGCCGCCGCCGGGGTCACTGCCCCCGCCGCCGCCGGTGCCACGCTCGTCCCTGCCGTTACCGCCGTCGGCGCCGCGGCGCCGCCGTGCCGGGACGACGCCGACGACGCCGACGAGCGTCGGTGCTACACCCCGGAGATGTTTGAGCCGGAGTGGGAGGGGGCGGAGCGGGAGGAGAATCCGGAGCGCCGCTTTGCGGCTCCGACCGCCGCCGCCGCGGCGGCCGCCTCGGAGAGCGACGCGGCGGAGACGGCGGCGGGACCGGTGGGGTCGGCGGTCGGGGAGGTGGAAGCGGTCGCGGAGGACGAGCGGGAGGAGACGGAGGCACCGGCCCGCGGCTCGCCGACGAGCCCCGGGGACGGCGGCGACGGCGGCAACGGCGGGGACGGCGGGAACGGCGGTCTGTGCCGCAGGGTGAGGTTGTCCAAGACGAGGCAGCGGCGCGAGCGGCGCGAGTCGGGCGGCACCAGAACGCCGTCGTGGTGAGGAGGCGCGGGGGGGCCCTGATTCCTCGCTGCGAGCATCGATCTTGTTGTTTTCGACGTGACGCTAAAGTGCGCGTGCGTGTGTGACCGTCTGCGGCGGTCGCCCGCTCAAGGTTCTTTTTCGGGAAATTCCGTCGTGGCCCTCGGCCCGGGCGGAGCACGCTGTGTAAACGCGCCGCGGTGGCTCGGAGATGTTAACTACCTCGCCTGGTATACCGGAGGTCGTGGGTTCGATGCAGACCCAGACGACGCCTGCTGCTGTATCTTTGGAGTTTGCGTGTCTCTCTCGCTCTCTCCCCGTGGGCACGTGGATTTTTCTCCGTTGCGTTCGTTTCAAGCTCCCCCGGTGTTCACCCGGGGGGGGGGGCGGGGGGGGGAGCCGAGGGTGGAGGGGGCGCCGCCAACTCCAGGGCGAGTCCCTGAAAGTTTCACTTTGCCGGGGTCACCAAGCCGCCTCTCAAAATTCGGCCCTTTTGGCGTAACAAGTCAGTTGAGCTGGGAACGTCGATCTTATATCGAATATCCGTGAACGTTTACCGCTTTCTCAGGGCTTCCTCACTCCTCCGTCTCCTCTACCTTCTCTGCGTTTATCAATATTTTTGCCGACACGCTTAAAGTTATTGCGAAATAAAAACAAATCTGTTGCAATTTTTCGTCTTCTCCATCCACATTTCAAATGTTTGCCCTGAACGCTCCGAGATTTTTGTTCGCGTGACGAACGTCGACAGCGTTCAAGGTTCTTCACCACGAACGCGACGTGACCATGAAGATTCTGAAGGCGGCGTATCCCTGCACGGCACACAGCACACACGAGCGCTAATTCTGTACGCACGTCGGTTGGACTTGTAGCCAACCGTGCTAATCGGAGGTGCATTTATAATATGATGTTCATTTATATTATGATGTACAATTATAATGTGATAATTTATATTGTTCACTTACATTATGATGTACATTTATAATATGTTGTTCAAATATAATATGATGAACAATTATATTATGATGTTCATTTATAATGTGATGTACAATTATATTATGATGTACATTTATAATATGAAGTACAATTATAATATGTACAATTATATATTATATATGTGCATTTATATAATGAACCTCTTTATATTGAAATACCATGTTATGTTCTCCAAATAAAATATATATATTGCACTTGTATATATGTATATGTTCTTTACACGCTAAATAATTGCACGGTCCATTATGTGAAAGGTCCACACACCGCATGTCCAAGCAGCTAAACGATTACAATGACAACAACAACACAGTGCGTAGCCTTCAAATTAAAACTAAAACGTCATCGGTGACGGGTAGGGGCTGATGGGAATGACAGTCAGAACTTGTTCAATCTTGATTTAATCTTGACCAGAACGTGTTGTGTGACTCATGGCCCCAGTGTTGCTAAACAGGCGAATGAATCGTGACACTTGGGAGTGGAGCGATTGAGTAAGCAGACAACAACAGCAGTCAACTCGACGACCTGGGCGAATGAACAGCAGCAGCAGTCGATAGGAGACGCGACTTTGCCAGCCGGACTCGTGACCACGGCAGCAGTAGATGCACCTGATGATGATTCACCTGATGATGATGCACCTGATGATGATGCACCTGATGATGATGATGATGCACAAATGGTTACCGATTACAAACTCCCTCCTCGTGTGTCGGTGGCGACTGCGGCCATCCAGAGCAGAGGCAGTGGTGCCTCTGCTCTGGATGGCCGCAGTCGCTGCAGAGAGTCGCCACCAGGGGTCGCGCGCGGCCCGCGCGTGGCCGCGGCGCGGCGCTGTGCAGGTGAGTGAGCAGGTGAGTGGTGAGCAGGTGAGTGATGAACAGAGGTGAGTGAGTAGGTGAGTGAGCAGGTGAGTGAGCAGGTGAGTGCTGAGCAGGTGAGTGATGAACAGAGGTGAGTGAGCAGGTGAGTGAGCAGGTGAGTGAGCAGGTGAGTGAGCAGGTGAGTGAGCAGGTGAGTGGTGAGCAGGTGAGTGATGAACAGAGGTGAGTGAGTAGGTGAGTGAGCAGGTGAGTGAGCAGGTGAGTGCTGAGCAGGTGAGTGATGAACAGAGGTGAGTGAGCAGGTGAGTGAGCAGGTGAGTGAGCAGGTGAGTGAGCAGGTGAGTGCTGAGCAGGTGAGTGATGAACAGAGGTGAGTGAGCAGGTGAGTGAGCAGGTGAGTGAGCAGGTGAGTGAGCAGGTGAGTGGTGAGCAGGTGAGTGATGAACAGAGGTGAGTGAGCAGGTGAGTGAGCAGGTGAGTGAGCAGGTGAGCGAGCAGGTGAGTGCAGGTGAGTGACGAACAGAGGTGAGTGAGCAGGTGAGCGAGCGGACAGAGGTGAGTGACGAACAGAGGTGAGCGAACAGGCGAGTGAGTGGACAGGTGAGTGAGCGGGCAGGTGAGTGAGCAGGTGAGTGAGTGGACCGGTAAGATTTTGTTCTGGTGACTAGCCAGGCTGATGAACGGGCGAACGGGTGAGTTGGGGCGAGTGAGTTGAACAGGTAAATATATAATGTGAATGGACAGGTGAGCGGACAGGTAGGTGAGTAGAGAGAAAGGCCGCTCAGTTCACTAAGCCCATAGCGGCCAATCACCAATATAGGTCGACTCAGCCTTTAATAAGTTCCTGGTGCGGTGTGTAAACATCGCCACTGGGGAGACAAAGGCGGCCGGGCGAATGTGGTGCTGACCACCCACCCCTCGTGTGCCACAGTGATGGCCCTTCATAGGTGCTGATGGGGCACTTGCCCCAACAGTCTGTGCAAGGCTACAGGGGGGATCTTTGTCTTTGTGTAGCTCACACACATGGTCTGTTCGGGTTCGATTCCTGCCCAAGCATCAGCACCAGTGGCAAATTCGTACTCCGAACCTGGCCTGGACCTCTTCTAGGTCCACTCGGCCTAAAGGTCGCACCGCTGGTACTGCGGAGTCACAAACAATGGCGCTGCACTGCGGAGAGACAAAGACGGCCGGGCTGTCAGTGTCTCTCCGTGGAGTGGAAGCCTTATCCTGACTTCAGCCTTGGATGGTGAAGGGGCGGGGTGAGGGGGGAGGGGTGGGGGTGATAACCCCCAGCCCCTCCATTTCCCAAAGACGGCCCTCTCGTTAAATTCAAGATAACCTCTCACTCGCTCACACACCCCCCTCTCCTCTCCCCCCCTCTCTCTCTCCCCTCTCTCTCTACTCTCTCCCCCCCTCTTTCTCTACTCCACGATGGCTAGGAGATGTTGACTACCTCGCCTGGTCTACATGAGGTCGTGGGTTCGATCCCGACCCTGACGCCTGCTGCTGTATATTTGGATTTGCGTGTCTCCCTCTCCCCGTGGTCGCGTGGATTTTTCTCCGGGTCCTCCGGTTTTTCCCTCCCACATTTAGAATCAACATCACCACCACGCGTTCAGAGTGTTTGGCTGCTGCTATAAATCTCCACGCGATGAGCCGCCACTTGGTTGAGCTATGAATTGTGGCCGGGTGGCTTCTGAGAAAGAGTTACATAGCTCAGTGGGGCCTTACCTGGTCAAATACAAAGTCTAGTTTATTCATACTGATTTTCGTAACTATCCTATACATTACTTTACACTCCCATCGTGTTGTTGTAACTTGTTGACCCGCCCCTACTGGACGTCTGCGACAAAAGAGCTTGATGGCTCATCGGATTTCTCGAGGATAAATAAAGATGCCGATTCTGATGTTGTCTGCTGCTGCTGCAGCTGCACCAGCACGGACACCGCGTGCACAACAGCCCGCACACCGACACCACACAAGGCCATCCGTGGAACGATTTAAACAAACTCAGTCTTTAGCATTTTTAAGGCAGCAAATATTGACGAATGCGTTGATGTTTGTTGTTGTTGTCGTCGTTGTTGTTGTTGTCTGTGCGTGTGCACCGATGCTCACGGACCAGCAGCATCACCGAATGATTTAAAAACCCATGGGTGAGCTCACGGTCTCAGCTTGGCCACCGACGGCTGCATAAAAAAACCACAACAAACCCACGGCGTAAAAGCCGTGAATGGGTCTGCATTTGATTAAAATACATCCCCGCTCTGAGACTCAAACCTAGTTGCTGTACTGCCGTGCTGTGAACACTCCTCTCGGCGGGAGAACGGAGATGGGCACAAGCGCTGCCCCCGCCCGCGTCACTTGACGGGGCCTCGGAGGTAGCTCCCAGGGTGCCGCTTCCGCGGGACCTTACCACGCGACGCCGACAACACAACTGGGATCGCTTTCAGCAGATACTCAAGAGAGAGGCAGAGAGAGGGGAGAGTTAGAGATGGGAAGGGGGGGGGGGGCAGAGAGAGGGGAGAGTTAGAGATGGGGGGGGGGGCAGAGAGAGGGGAAAGTTAGAGATAGGGGGGGGGGGCAGAGAGAGGGGAGAGTTAGAGATAGGGGGGGCAGAGAGAGGGGGGAGTTAGAGATAGGGGGGGGGGGGGGTGGCAGAGAGAGGGAGAAAGTAAGACAGCGAGATGGGACATCGAGAGAGATTAGGGAGACGGAGAGAGAGATATGAGAGAGAGTTTAGGGAGCGTGAGAGGGAGCGCGAGGGAGGGTCAGGGGAGGGAGAAAGAGAGAGAGAGGGAGAGATAGAGAGAGTGGGTGAGTGAGAGAGTAAGAGGGCAGGATTAGGGCAGAGGGAGAGGGTGCAATGGGGGGGGGGGGGGGGGGGGGAGGAATGGGCGATGTTCAGGAGGAGCACTTCAAAGTGCACGAGGAATGCGCAGAGGTCGACTGGGGGCGAGTGAATCAGCGTCATCCCAGACTCGGCCCGAGCCTGATAAATGACGCGTCTCGCGAATAACAACAACAATAACAACAACAATAACAACAGCAGTGGCAGCAGCGGCACGGAGGCGCGAGGTGGGGGCGGTTGTGGGGGGGGGGCACCGTGGGGGGGGGGGGAGTCGTGGGGGGCGGGGCGGGCGGGGGACGTCACTCCTCGAGTTCCGAGCCGCGATGATCACAGCACGGCACGCGCCCAAACCATAAATCCACAAATTTTTTTTTTAATGTTTTTTTTTTATATTTATCCACGAAAGCCACAACTGAGGTGTCGGGCTTGTGTTCAGTAGGGCCCCTTGCTGCTGCTGCTACCGGCGGCATTTGATGTTTTATTGTTTAATATGAGGTTCTCCGCTTAGCGTGCCACTTTTGAGGAACGCATCGAACTATCCGCGTTAAGCGGGGACTACCTTGTTCTGTGTTGACTCGGACCGGCGTTTACCGCCACGCGGGGAGAGGTTGTGGGTTCCATCCCGACCCAGACGATGCCTGCTGCTCGCCACGTGGAGTCTCTCTTTCTCTCTCTCTCTCTCCCCGTGGTCCCGTGGG